GGCACTCCGGTACCACTTGCCGTGCGGTAGCAGAGAGAACAGTCTATGACTAGGGTGGCTGGAGTCTTTGACAATTTTGAGGGCCTTCCTCTGACACCGCCTGGTATAGAGGTCCTGGATGGCAGGAAGCTTGGCCCCAGTGATGTACTGGGCCGTACGCACTACCCTCTGTAGTGCCTTGCGGTTGGAGACCAAGCAGTTGCCATACCAGGCGGTGATGCAACCAGTCAGCATGCTCTCGATGGTGCAGCTGTAGAATTTTTTGAGGATCTGAGGACCCATGCCAAATCTTTTCAGTCTCCTGAGGGGGAATAGGCTTTGTCGTGCCCTCTTCACGACTGTCTTGGTGTGTTTGGACCATGATAGTTCGTTGGTGATGTGGACACCAAGGAACTTGAAGCTCTCAACCTGTTCCACTACAGCCCCGTCGATGAGAATGGGGGCGTGCTCAGTCCTGTAACGCTGAACTTCCGCGATACGGATTTAATAGATCCCCAACAGCTTTTGAGAAGAAAAAAAAATCTGACCATAATTTCAGCCATGAGTGCCATACTGAATGTCAGTGAGGAGGTGGAGGAGAGAAAGAATGCAGGTTCAAGTCATTTGGCCAACAACTGTTTCTCATGAGAAAGAAAATGTTTAAAATGGTATTAGATGTTTCTTTATAGACTGTTTATTTTATGCCTATTTCTCAGATTTGTTTGCTTATGTTTCCTTTTTCATATTATTTTAGCCCTGGAGGCCAGCGTGACAGCCAGTGAGAGTGGCAACACAGGTAATTAAACTATGTAAAAAAACATTATACTTAAGGTAGGTTTAACAAATGTTAAGTTTACTAATGTATCCTTTCCTGCAATCACAGCATTGGAGGCCAGACTGAGTGTCAGTGTGAGGGAGGTGGATGAGCTGAAGAGAGAGAAGGCAGGTAAAACCAATACAGAAAAGGAGTGTTGTTTTCCGGTCAAAAGTGCTGCACTTGTTTGTAACCTGAGAAGGTGTTTGGGTGACTGTTGGTGAAGGTTTTTGTTTTAGCTTCTTGGCAGAATGTTTGCTTTCATGGGCTTTATTCATCTTTCAATAATCAGTGTCAATACTGAAACCACACTTCTACAGCAAAGTCTTCACCAACATCTGCAAAGCCTACAACCCAACTACAGGTAGACTTATAACCACACAAATCAACACACACTGAATCCAGCTATAGTCCAGCATTTCCAGCAGTGTCTCTAGCCCTGTTTATACCTGCCGTTAACATGCGTCCTGATCTTGGCCAGATCTTGTCTGTTTACACTTAAGATCTGATCACATCACAACAAGTCTTTTAATCGCCTACAGGTTTAAAACTGTGGGCACAATGAGAATGTGGACAGCATCAGGACAAAGGCTGCATGTTTGAACCAGGTATAAACAGGTCTTCTGAGAGACTGACAGTCAATCAATCAATCAATTTTATTTTATATAGCCCTTCTTACATCAGCTAATATCTCGAAGTGCTGTACAGAAACCCAGCCTAAAACCCCAAACAGCTAGTAATGCAGGTGTAGAAGCACGGTGGCTAGGAAAAACTCCCTAGAAAGGCGAAAACCTAGGAAGAAACCTAGAGAGGAACCAGGCTATGAGGGGTGGCCAGTCCTCTTCTGGCTGTGCCGGGTGGAGATTATAACAGAACCATGCCAAGATGTTCAAAAATGTTCATAAGTGACAAGCATGGTCAAATAATAATCAGGAATAAATCTCAGTTGGCTTTTCATAGCCGATCATTAAGAGTTTGAAAACAGCAGGTCTGGGACAGGTAGGGGTTCCATAACCGCAGGCAGAACAGTTTAAACTGGAATAGCAGCAAGGCCAGGCGGACTGGGGACAGCAAGGAGTCACCACGGCCGGTAGTCCCGACGTATGGTCCTAGGGCTCAGGTCTCTCAGTTGGCTTTTCATAGCCGATCATTAAGAGTTGAAAACAGCAGGTCTGGGACAGGTAGGGGTTTCGTAGCCGCAGGCAGAACAGTTGAAACTGGAATAGCAGCAAGGCCAGGCGGACTGGGGACAGCAAGGTGTCATCATGCCCGGTAGTCCTGACGTATGGTCCTAGGGCTCAGGTTCTCAGAGAGAAAGAGAGAACGAGAGAATTAGAGAGAGCATACTTAAATTCACACAGGACACTGGATAAGACAGGAGAAGTACTCCAGGTATAACCAACTAACCCCAGCCCCCCGACACATAAACTACTGCAGCATAAATACTGGAGGCTGAGACAGGAGCGGTCCGGAGACACTGTGGCCCCATCCGAAGAAACCCCCGGACAGGGCCAAACAGGAAGGATATAACCCCACCCACTCCGCCAAAGCACAGCCCCCGCACCACTAGAGGGATATCCCCAACCACCAACTTACAATCCTGAGACAAGGCCGAGTATAGCCCACAGAGGTCTCCACCACAGCACAAACCAAGGGGGGGGCGCCAACCCAGACAGGAAGACAGTGCTGATCCCTCCCTCTCCTATGACGCAGGTATCTTCACAGCACCAGTGAGAGGAGTCTACTACATCAGATTCACTGCAATGGATTACCTCACATCGCCGTTCATGGGTCTATATATTTTTAACACAATGACGAGAGTTCTGTTAAAAGACCTATATGGTACCCATGTAGATTGTAGGTACATGTGCAACGCATTGACTCTAGAGGTGGAAGAGGGTTAATGTGATCTACATTGTCTCCCCTCAGGCAGGAGGCTCTTTGATCATTCTAATAACTACAACACACCTGCAGTGGCTTCATGCTCTTCCCTATGTGAAGGAAGCACCATAAATGATGTAATGACCTCTGCTTTCTGATGTGAACAGTTCTGATTAATCAATAAATAGCACCATAAAAAAAAAGCCAGACAATTATTTGGTTTACCATTTTTTTTAAACATTTGTAATTTAGCAGATGCTCTTATCCAGAGCGACTTACATGAGCAATTAGGGTTACGTGCCTTGCTCATGGGCACATCGGCAGATTTGAAGCTCTAGGCTTCAAACCAGCGACCATTCTATTACTGGCACAATTCTCATAACCGCTAGGCTACCTGCCACCCTCAGTCATTCACAGTTTACCATCATTGACGTAAAGTGTCTCCATCACAGGAGGTTGGTGGAACCTTAATTGGGGAGGATGGGCTCGTGGTAATGGCTGGAGCGGAATAAATGGAATGGTGTCAAACACAAACACATTGTTTCCATGTGTTTGATTCCATTCACTCCATTCCAGCCATTATTATGAGCCGTCCTCCCCTCAACAGCCTCTACTGGTCCTTTACTGTACATCTGCTTTTCTTTGTATTTCTGAAAGTTAGAATTGCAGAGGCGCAATACAATTTAAACCAACAGAAATGGAGACAGTTTTTACCAGAGTTGAAGAAACACACACAAAAGCAGAATAAATTAGATTTGAAACCACAACCTCCTAAGCTTTGAGGTAGAGATTGAACCACTACACCACCACCTCCATCACATTGTATACCCTTCTCTTTGTATGTTTGACATTTGAGAGTTGCGGAAACATACACAAAAGCTGAATAGATGAGGTTTGAAGCTAGAACATCTTGGTCTCAAGGCAGTAATGTAACTATTGCACCACCACCTCCATCACATTTTATACCATACTCTTTGTATGTTTGACATCGAGAGTTGCTGAAACGTACACAATAGTATAAGAAATTAGGTTCGAACATACAACCTCTTGGTCTGAAGGAAGGGATTTATCCATTGAGCCACCAGCTCATTCACATTTTTCACTCTTCATATATTTGACATAGCGAGTTGCGGAAACACACAAAAGCATATGTTTAGATTTGAGCCCACAACCTCTTGGTCAAACGGCTGTGATTAAAAGTACATTTTTAAAGTCATATAAAGTTGTTACATTCCTATGTTGGACATCATAAGAAAGTCTGCTGGTGAGTCCAGACCCCTCTTTCACCAGAAACCAAATCCACGTGTGAACTAGTATTGTGTACTTAGGGCTTGATTCAGTCCGCCGTATCACGGCAGTTGCGCGATTTAAATGTAGTTCATTTCCGAATGAGCCGACATATGAAGCATTTACTGTGAATGTAGTCTCCGCGAACGCGTAAACATTGCTTTAAATGTATATCGCACTGTAGCGCGGATCTTCAGCACTACGGATTGAATCGGGGTCCTTAGTATCATGATTATGGATGGTGTTGAGGGTCATTTCTATACAATGCTGACCACAGAGGTTCTGGGCTTAGTAGTGACTTAATGGGATCATTTCATAACAAAACACATTCTACAGATCCCTTTCTATTTACAGACAACAGTTTGGTGATTTATTCTCTCAAAAACATAAATAAATAGATGTCCTATTAAGAGAAGTGACAAATCCTCCCTCAGTTCTAGGACATTACCACAGACTTTAGATTGACTCCCCATTTGAAAACAAAGGAAACCTAAGGATTACTTCCTTGGTAAGTTCTGCTCATAGGCACAGAATCTCCAGAGTTCCAGGATGTTTCTTGTTGGCTCCACTCCTCCAGAATAAGAGTGTTAGGGATAGACATGAATGGCATTCCTCTGTGCTGTACATTTTATTGACAGACAGGAAGGTGATGGTTAACAATCCAGATTGAGCGTCCATGAATGTCATAGGACAGTGCCAAGAGCCAAATTCCATTAGTCTTTTCTTGTTCAGTGGCTCTCTCCATTCATTCGGTTTTTTTGGCCTGAGGGTCTCTGGCTATTTGGCCCCATATTCATAAAGTGTCTCACAGTAGGAATGCTGATCTAGGATCAGGTCCCCCCTGTCCATGTAAGTCTTATTCAATGAGCTCTAAAAGGCTAAACGGATCCGAGATCAGCACTCCAACTGAGACGCTTTATGAATACAGGCCCTGGTCTCAGCCTTGCCAAAGTATTCTGACCACTCATAGTCCAGACTGTCTGCATTGAGTCTGTGAGTGTTAAGGACCCTGTAGGTCAGTCAGTGTGCTACCCAGGCCTCAGCTGCAGCAAGGTTGATCAGTGATAAGGAGGCTGTCATAACCATATGTCTCCAGCAGGTGGAGCAGGAAGAGCCTGTCTCCGTGAGGGTCCAGCCCCATGGCCCTCACACTCTCCTGGGTTAGGATGGGCTCAGGGCTCCCTGCAACCTCACTCAGCGTCTGGAAGATGCGGTTGTTCTGCTCCAGGAAAAACCTACAACGGGAGGGAGAAGTCACGTTAAAAAAAGTATAAATACTTTTAAAATATTTTTTAAAATCATGGACATTTGTAATTTGTTTATATATAGAAATAAACTACTTAAATGTAAAAAACTATTGAAGGATTCTTTGTAATGCCAGTTGTAGACTGGGTCCTGGCGTAATATACTCACAGAATGAAGTGGTCCTCTTCACTGGACACACAGTCTCCATTCTCCTCCTGAGAATATAACAGCATCTGCCTGGAAACACAATGTTATCATTAGTATCATCATCATCACTTATATCCTCTGTCTCAACTACAAGAAGATAACATTATAAACATTCTCCTCAGGTTGTTTTGCAGACTGCACTGTACCTCTGTTCAGTGAGTTTGCGGTACTTCTCTCTGTCTGCAGCGCTGAGCCGTAGTAAAGGCTTCAGACTCTCTCTGGTCGTCCTCACATTCTGGTTATCCACATAGACGTCATACAGGTCCCGCTTCTCCTCAAATATCTTCTCTGTGGTGCCTACACACACAAGCCCCTCAGGTTTATTGAAATTAGGGTCAAAGTAAATCAAATGTCAAGTGTATTCTGCTCTGTGTCTCTCATAGATGTGAAAGAAATAGACAGGTTGAAGAAGTGAGTGGTCCTCTGTAGCTCAATTGGTAGAGCATGGCGCTTGTAACGCCAGGGTAGTGGGTTCGATCCCCGGGACCACCCATACGTAAAAAAAAAAATTATGCACACATGACTGTAAGTCGCTTTGGATAAAAGCGTCTGCTAAATGGCATATTATTATTATTATTATTATAAGAAGTGATAGCGAAACCCTACAAGGCATCCTCCATATTGCTTTCACCCATCTTTAGTTTTCAGATCAGTGCAGATTAATTAAAGGGGACGTTTAAGACTATGAAGATGCCCTGGCCTATTCCCTGACTCCAGACACTCACATGCTACGTAGGACAGTTCCGTATCCAGGGTATCGATGTCTGCCACGTTGACATAGAAGAAGGGGCGGAACTCTGGCACGGCCACGCCCACCCCCGGGATGGACACGTTGGCCAGGCAACAGCAGCAGTACACTAGCGAGGACAGGAAATAGAGAAAGTTAATGAAAATGTATAAAAGTGTTTAAGAGTACATAGGTGAGTAGCATTGTGTTCTTTTGAGCATGAAGAAAAAAATAACCCAGAGGTTACGGTGTGTGTCTGTGCTTGTGTCCGTATCAGTGTGTGTCTGTGCTTGTGTCCGTATCAGTGTGTGTCTGTGCGTGTGTCTGTGTTAGTGCTCCCCCTCACCTCTATAACAGACCACCCCTACAGGTGGAGGAGAGAAGATGAGGATGCGTCTCCTCAGCAGAGCTAACTTCCACAGGACCATAATCTGCTCCCCAAAGAACTGGATGAACTGAGACATGCAGCCAGCTGGGTGGGTGATCTGGAGGGAGGAGGAGAGGTACTGTCATCATCATCATCATCATCACCATCATCACCATCATTATCACTAGCAGCATGATAACGCACACACAAAATCCTGCCACCTGAAATACCATTTCATATTCCCGTAATAGTAAACCACACCCTCTCACCTTCATCTCAGGGTGCATACAGTGGGTGAGTGCTGCTTCCCAGGCACTGCCAGGACATGCAGTAACCACACTCTCCCCGTCGGGGGGAAGCACTGATCGCTTATCCTCAAAGAACGCCTCCAGAGGAGAGTACTGGCCAGGAGTTTTCAACTGGAGCCTGGATCAAACACACACGTACACACACACACAAATTTAAAGTAATACAGACAATGTAAGCAGAATGCATGCAGGTAATTATATTCGAGCAGGGCCTGTGATGGACAGGAAAAGACAGGCAGAAAGAAAGAATGAGACTGGGATTCACATCAGGGGGTTCTAATATCACCTCTGAAGGGTTAATCCCAAAATATGGTCCATTTAACCCTAGATTAACCAGTGGTAATCCAAGATTTGGGCTAATTTGTAGCCATCTAATGTAAAGCCATTGTGTATCTGTCTGGGAATGGGTCTGTCTAGGAGTCTGGGGGTAGATTACCATAGTGGGGTCACTCCTTGTCACGCTATAATAACAGAGTAGGTAGAAGTTGCTCCTAACCACTGATACAGGAACAGTTGTTTCCATCCCCCCTAATGATAAAATAGGATTGGGAGTAGGGTAATATGATCTGTTGTTAGGGGCAACTTCTACTTCGAGCTATGCTAACATCGTCAGCATTCTCTCTTCAACTCTACTAAGGACTGACATCTAAATTCCGATCTGTGTGTGTAACCTTGACAACTGAAAATTTGAGGTATGCGTGCGAAGTAGACCGCATGTTAGGATCCCATCCTGGCCTATCAATGCAACAGTAGTGTCCTTGAAACAACAGATGAGAATGCTACTCATACAAAAAAATGATGGTACTAAAAACAACCCAATTTGGGTTATTTTGTAACCCAGAGCTGGTTAAATAATCGACAGAACACATGTTGGGTTATTTTGACCCAGCCAGTTGGGTGCATGAATAACCCAACAAATTGGGATTACCCAAACATGGATTAATATAATTGGTTATTTTTACTCTCGTGCTGGGTTGATGTAGCGGCTAGGTTATTTTCAGGAGGCGTGGCTTATTTGGGGTGTGGCTTTCAGATACATCTTATTGGCCACTCATAACGGTAAATGTCATTCCTGTTCATCATGTTATGTTTACATACTGCAAATGAAAAATGGTCCTTATTTTTATTTTTATAATTTCAGTTTATGTGACAAAACAAGCAAGTATAGTGTACATAGGCTTTTAGTGAACTCATATACTTCTGTAAGCAGCTACAAAAATGCCAATGTTCAACCATAACATGTGATAACTATGCAACAGAACAGATGAACAAGAATTACATTTACTCTCATGGGTGGCTAAAAAGAGGAAGAGCGAAAAAGAGAAAGGGCTGTTTTTCACTCTACAGTATGTCTGTGTCCAAAATGACACCCTAGTCCCTATTAGTGCACAACTTTTGACCAGACGGTGCCAGCACAACTTTTGACTCTGGTCAAAAGTAGTGTACTATATCGGGAATAGGGTTCCAATTTCAGACTCAGCCTATCTTGTTGAGCAGGATGTGTGACAGATTGCAGTGTGACACCCCTTGACTCTCACACACTATGTTTAATGCATGAGATCATTATAAATAGCAGTGAGACGACTGTGACTTGAGGGTAGAGGGTGAGTGAAAGAGAGAGTACAAGAAAGAGAGAGAGAGAGAGATCCAGTGACAGAAAAGGAAAGAGTGAGGGGAAAGAGTGTGTGAAAAACAGCGACCAAAAAAAAGAGAGAAAGAGAGAGACAAAGACAGAGAGCAAAAAAACAGAGAGATTTTATAATATCGATAGATAATATAACTTAAACAGGTTCTACCTGACTTGGTGTTCCAGGAAGCTCATGTATCGGTACAGCAGGGTGTAAGAGGTTGACAGGATACCGACAGACTTCATTCTTGCACCCCTCTCCACCACACTCTCCACCGCCATGTTGGCAAAGCATGCCAGGCCAAAGTACCCGCCCTTACGGAAGTATCTGTGGGGGGCCAGAGAGAGAACCATGAGTCAAGCCAAGGGAACATACTGCCCTGCCAGTTGGCCGTTGTTTCTGCTTACCATAAGTTTTGCTGTCCTGCCAAGGAGGTGCATCTAAATATTTAGTCTAAAAGGTATTCCTCGCCTTCACCTGTATGCTTTCCATCATCAGCTTTGCTATGAAAGAACAGGGCAGAAGGCTGATGCCTGGGAGCGTTCCTCCATGTTCATTTCATGGCTTTTCCTGTGATTTCAAATAAGTTTCAATGAAAGTGACTAGGACAGGAAGTCTATTAAGACTATTGAGATGCATCCAGGATAGGATACAAAGAAAGGATGCCACTTTATACTATTGAGATGCACCCAGGATAGGTTACAAATAAAGGAATCCAGTTTGTATGATTGAGATGCAGCCGGATGTACTTACATGAAGTCGCTGGAGACTCTGTGGGAGCCGCTGGCCATAGCCTTGAACTCTACTCCCTCCAGGTTCATGTCCCCTGGCAGACACCACTCTAACATGTTACCTAAAAAGTAGACACACACACACACATACGCGCATGCACACACGCACACATACATAAAGGGGAGTGAAATTAGGCAATACTGTAGGTATGGTTATCACAACTGTCCTAAAATGTTAAAGTTTTCACAAATGTGCAAATCTGCATGTAGATCAACCAACCAACCATAGGTCTCAAACTATTTGGAATAGGCCGTCAATATCAAATGAAGTCAATGCCCTCATTGATTTAAGTAATTCAATCTGCAGTGAAATCCACAGGCTGACTCCCTCTGTCTCCACCCCCTCGCCTCTCCTACTCATTCATTAAGAATGTATAGTCCCAGATAGTCTCAAGACTACGTACATAACAACTCATTGGTTGTAAAGCCGGTGGTCAGACATTATCAATAGACCTACAGTTGAAGTCGGAAGATTACACACACCTTAGCCAAATACATTTAAACTCAGTTTTTCACAATTCCTAACATTTAATCCTAGTAAAAATTCCCTGTCTTACGTCAGTTAGGATCACCACTTTATTTTAAGAATGTGAAATGTCAGAATAATAGTAGAGAGAATTATTTATTTCAGTTTTTATTTATTTCATCACATTCCCAGTGGGTCAGAAGTTTACATACACTCAATTAGTATTTTGTAGCATTGCCTTTAAATTGTTTACCTTGGGTCAAAAGTTTTGGGTAGCCTTCCACAAGCTTCCCACAATAAGTTGGGTGAATTTTGGCCCATTCCTCCTGACAGAGCTGGTGTAACTGAGTCAGGTTTGTAGACCTCCTTGCTCGCACACGGTTTTTCAGTTCTGCCCACAAATGTTCTATAGGGTTGAGATCAGGCCTTTGTGATGGCCACTCCAATACCTAGACTTTGTTGTCCTTAAGCCATTTTGCCACAACTTTGGAAGTATGCTTGGGGTCATTGTCCATTTGGAAGACCCATTTGCGACCAAGCTTTAACTTCCTGACTGATGTCTTGAGATGTTGCTTCAATATATCCACATAATTTTACTTCCTCATGATGCCATCTATTTTGTGAAGTGCACAAGTCCCTCCTGCAGCAAAGCACCCCCACAGCATGATGCTGCCACCCCTGTGCTTCACGGTTGGGATGGTGTTCTTCGGCTTGCAAGCATCCCCCTTTTTCCTCCAAACATAACGATGGTCATTATGGCCAAACAGTTCTATTTTTGTTTCATCAGACCAGAGGACATTTCTCCAAAAAGTACGATCTTTGTCCCCATGTGCGGTTGCAAACCATAGTCTGACTTTTTTTATGGCGGTTTTGGAGCAGTGACTTCTTCTTTGCTGAGCGGCCTTTCAGGTTATGTCGATATAGGACTTGTTTTACTGTGGATATAGATACTTTTGTACCGGTTTCCTCCAGCATCTTCACAAGGTCCTTTGCTGTTGTAATGGGATTAATTTCCACTTTTCGCACCAAAGTACGTTCATCTCTAGGAGACAGAACGCGTCTCCTTCCTGAGCGGTATGACGGCTGTGTGGTCCCATGTTGTTTCTACTTGCGTACTATTGTTTGTACAGATGAACGTGGTACCTTCAGGCGTTTGAAAATTGCTCCCAAGGATTGCTCCTGAGGTCTTGGCTGATTTCTTTTGATTTTTCCATGATGTCAAGCAAAGAGGCACTCAGTTTGAAGGTAGGCCTTGAAATACATCCACAGGTACACCTCCAATTGACTCAAATGATGTCAATTAGCCTTTCACAAGCTTCTAAAGCCATGACATAATTTTCTGGAATTTTCCAAGCTGTTTAAAAGGCACAGTGAACTTAGTGTATGTAAACCTCTGACCCACTGGAATTGTGATACAGTGAATTATAAGTGAAATAATCTGTCTGTAAACAATTGTTGGAAAAAAAGACTTGTGTCATGCACAAAGTAGATGTCCTAACCGACTTGCCAAAACTATAGTTTGTTAACAAGACATTTGTGGAGTGGTTGAAAAACGAGTTTTAATGACTCCAACCTAAGTGTATGTAAACTTCCGACTTCAACTGTATATATATTTAAATTTTAGTCATTTAGCAGACGCTCTTATCCAGAGCAACTTACAGGAGCAATTAGGGTTAAGTGCCTTGCTCAAGGGCACATCTATATCTAGCCTACTATGGCTTATCTCTCTGATATTCAGAGGTGAATTACAGGGGATGCCTTTAGGGTGTGGTCATAGATAATTCACACATTCCCTGTGACTTTGGGGTTCCTGAGTAAGAATATAGAGGTGTTTGTGTTCAAGAACACCCTCAAGGAGTAGGCGAATACCACATATGACCAGTGCATGCCATGGTTGGGTTCATCAATTCTCTGGCCTAATTCAAATGAATCCATCCCAAGCTCTCTGATGCAATTCCTGCAAATAATAACCAGTAGGCCTATAATGAACAATAAAATAATTATTATATACATGGATGCTAAAGGCCTATAGATGTTACAAATTGATAAATGGGTGCGACCTTGCAGGTGCTTCCCTGGGCAGCAGCACAGCACGCAAAAAAATTCCGAGGTCTTCGACTCGACTTACCTGATCTTGTATCAAATGTCACCACAAACACGGCCACGATCTGATCCTTTTCCTCCCATTTCACCATGATATCGTGCGGCACCTCTCCTTGTCCTGAGGCCGGGGTAAGGTCATCCTTATCGGGACACTGAGCATCCCATTCCGCAGTGGTGGGGACCGTGCTCCTGGATGAAAGGGATGTGTCTGTGCTAGAGACTGCTGCTGTTAAAGACCCAGGACCCCCTGGACTGGTGCTCCACCCTATCCCCGGCGCAGTGCATCCCAACGCCCGACTGTTGGCGGGGCTCGGCCCCTTGACGTCCTTCTCCTGTTCTGCGGTGGGAACAGGCTTCTCCGCCGGAGGAACCTCCTCCCAGTCCAGCAGCGGTGCCCGGTCGGACTTCTCCACCATTGCGGCTCAGCTGTCGGCGACCCCCGGCTTGACTCTGTGACGAAAGGATGCAGGAGAAGAGAATCGTGTACAGACACGGAGCGGAGAGCCCATTCGTAATGCATTAGCTAAGCGTTGGTTGAAATAAATCCATACTCACAATTGCAAAGGTTAAATTGATTGATTCCGTTGAAACACAAGCTGTCTAATTTGTGTATGATAGCCTGCTCCTTTTGCATAGGGCCATCAAATGATGTACATTCACTTAGGTATAATAAGAGTGTACATAAATTATTATTCCGTTCTTTTGGGGTGCGTTCAAGATTCCACAGTAATATACGCGCTATTTGCAGCTCTTTCTACAATAAAAAACGATCTGAAACGTTGGCATCTTGAATACAGCTCATTGTAGGTCTCCTTTCCTAATCAACGCACATTCAATATAGTATTTTTCTAATTGAACTCGCAACTAAATATTAAGGGGACAATTTGCTATAAAACAAATGATATTTATCGTTTTATGCAATTGTGTTTGAACTATTTAACATTTCTAAAATATTTGTTTGATGTTGAATCTACCGACAATGAAACCGGATTTTCTATTAATGACGTATTCCTGCGACACGTCACTGAATTCCAAAAGCGGTGTTGTGTCGAGCTCTACAACAGCGTTGATCAAGGGTTCGGTGTCTTCAGAATGGGTACGTTTTAAAAATATATTTTTTAATCTCTTTAAAAACTATACTGGGAATGCGCACGGTTGTGTTTTATGTACAAATTCGGGCTATTCTGCCACGCACTATGCAACTGGGTCGCTTACTAAGCAACATATAGATGGATAACGCGTTAGCTAGCAAACGTAAACGCAATAATTACTGTCGTCTCGCGAACAGCTACTGTGTTATTTAAGTTGATCAAGCTATCAAATCCCCCCTAACGTGTCTGAGTCACTAATTGTAGTCACTAACTGGTCGTGATTCGTAAATACTGACAGTTTAGTCAAAACATTCTAGCTAGCTAACTGTACTGCTAACCCCATGTGCCAACAAGCTGAGTACTTGTAGCCCAGCTAACGTTACAGCGTCAAATAGCCCACCAATTAGTTGACTAACGTTAATCACTAACTATCTATTCAAATACCTTTTTTATGTTTAAATGCAGGAACGTGACACTATGTATGTCAGAGACACATAGTAACATGTGAGCCTTCTGTAGCGCTGAACTTACTGGACCTTTATGGCACAGACCACAACAGGATATAGCCAAAGACACTAGCTAGCTAATATAGTTATTAGGTAGCTGGTGTGCTTACCCTGTAACCACAGGGATACTGGTTCAGCCCCTGGTTCAACTGTTCCCCCTTAATCGCTACAGTAGTAGTACTAACGTTAGCACTAGCTCAGGAAAACCTTATTATTATATGTGAATTTCTGGGCGACTAGACGCTGTGCTGCGTATTGCGCCCGGCACTGGGTGAAAAAATCTGTGATGTGCTTGAGCATCGCTTGATAAGTGTTGCTAATGCCAAAAAAAAATGAAATATTACCTCAAAATTACTCTGCTGCTGCACTACAGTCTATCTTCCGCTCCATCAGTGCAGTTGATCACCATGGCTATACACACAAGAAATCCTACCTTACTAAAACTCGTTCTCTCTTCAGGCCTAGGCCTACTCACTGGTGGGCTCCCAGTCGAATCACTCACCCTCGGGCTATCATCAACTCTCTTCACTGCCTCAGCATAGGAAACTTTCTGCCCCACTCGGAACTCTGACAATCTCAACCTCTCTCACAGGGCACTTTGGATACCCAGCTGCATGGGCACCCCCACAGTTGACACAGTGCTTTCTCTATCCCAAATTTACACTCCCTCTGACTATGCCCTCCTGCACATTTCTCACATCGTGGGATCTCCCTTATACACACTGCTGCATCATGTCCGAATCTTTGGCACCTGAAGCACCGTAGCAGTTTGGAACATAGGCCCTCAAAGAATACAAATATAACCTAATCTGACCTTATCTGGTAGAAACTCTGTGTCAAGGCTCAACAAGACAGATTAGGTATTCTCAGTCTCGCCATTGCCACTGGGTCTGTCTCACCAATTTATCCACCACTACACTCAACACTACCCCACTGATCTTCTTTGAGCGGTCTCTGCTCCGGAGAGCAAAGCACGACACCGGTTGAGCCCTGAGATGCGTCACACCCGCTTCCTCTGGGCGGAGGATGCACAAAAAATTTAAAGAATTGCACTTCTCGAAACTTTCACAGATGTAACCATTCCCAGTTTGTCCCAGCTTGACACAATGTATTGGTAGGTCAAAAAGCAGGAATCCACTCTTTCCAAAAACTGCACTCCTACCGGTCTAAAATCATCTCCGCTAGGATTCTCAGGGCAAACGTTGAACATCTCTACTACCTGTCGCCGCAGGTAGGCCCACTTCATCCTGGTCTGGCTCAACCTTGCGTTCACCACTGCTGACCGACTGCCATTTCAAGATCCTCAAGGTTCTCAAGAGAGCAACTAAACCTAGATGTAAGTTTACTTGGTTTGTATTCAGGAGACGAAGGTCTGAACTTAGCGCAATTCTTATGCCTTCGCGTCATCGCACTTCCGTCCTACCACCTGCACCCCTTCCGGAAACTGGGGGAGCATCAAAGATGTCGTTAGCTCAACTGTTCGGCACAGTCCCGTTGACAGCACTATGGAAAGCCCTTCTCTCCAGAGGGTTTTCAGCGGTTCGCTTCGCCCACAGCTGGCCGTGTGAACGACAATTCCGACACTGTTATAAACATCAATAATCATCGCTTGCGAAATGGTTTTCAAATAAAGATACACTTACTTTGTGTGCTTCCAGTTGACAAACTACACTTCCTCCCCAGTTAGCTTACATTCAGGTGTTCAGAGAGCTAGATTTTTTTTTTATTTATTTCACCTTTATTTAACCAGGTAAGCCAGTTGAGAACAGGTTCTCATTTACAACTGCGACCTGGCCAAGATAAAGCAAAGTAGTGCAATAAAAACAACACAGAGTTACATATGGGGTAAAAAAACATAAAGTCAGAAATACAACAGAAAATATATATACAGTGTGTGCAAATGTAGCAAGTTATGGAGGTAAGGCAATAAATAGGCTATAGTGCAGAATAATTACAATAGTATTAACACTGGAATGCTAGATGTGCAAGAGATTATGTGCAAATAGAGATACTGAGGTGCAAAAGAGCAAAATCAATAACAATATAGGGATGAGGTAGTTGGGTGGGCTAATTTCAGATGGGCTGTGTACAGGTGCAGTGATCGGTAAGGTGCTCTGACAACTGATGCTTAAAGTTATTGAGGGAGATAAGAGTCTCCAGCTTCAGAGATTTTTGCAATTCGTTCCAGTCATTGGCAGCAGAGAACTGGAAGGAATGGCGGCCAAAGGAGGTAGATAGGGAGATAGATAATTAGCACAGGTGGTCACCTCTGTCTTCCGTAAACAAGCGCTGTAAAGTGGCGATATGGCCGTGTGGGAACACTAACCCTATAAAGGTGTGTAGTAATTTAACCTTTTAACAGACTTAACAAAACTCAGCCGGGAAGAAGATACAGTACCTTCATCAATAGGAGCTAAAGGTAGTTCACGTCTATGATTGGGCTATACTAGCACTGATTGTCTGTGTAGCTCATCTCATGTCCATGTGCTGTAGGTGGGTGGTTTTCCAGTCTCTTCTCTGGCCTGTTTGGCACCAGAGAGATGAGGATCCTGATCCTGGGGTTGGACGGAGCCGGTAAAACGACCATCCTGTACCGCCTGCAGGTCGGAGAGGTGGTCACCACCATTCCAAGTACGTAACGCTTTTCTTTCTACTTCGAAAGACGGTTCAGGCAAGATCTGTTGCCTAGTTCCAGGTGGATACATGGAAAATCAATTAGTGTGCTCCACAATGAGTTGAATTAGTCTTCCCACATGTTTGTACACAATGTCATACATAGAGGGATGGTTAAAGTGCATTCCTTTCTTTGCCACGTGTGCTCAAGGTTTTTAATTACATTTACATTTTAGTCATTTAGCAGACGCTCTTATCCAGAGCGACTTACAGTTAGTGAGTGCATACATATTTTTCCCCATACATTTTTTCATACATTTCTTACAATAACAATTCACTCAGTCATTGTTTGTAAGCCATTTAATGTAGTTCATTCAACTTAAACAATTTCCTATGAGACAACACAACTATTCAAGGAAATAACCTTTTTACTCCATCCACATAGCATTTAGTCATTGTGTATATTGCCCCAGTGCTGCATACTTTAGGAATGACAAAAGCAGCAATATGATCATAGGTTGCAGGATCAACATCAAGTTCTTTTAAAGAACATACAAACATGAAGTGTGATTACAAAAATACATATAGGCAAGCACAAACGATGTGCAAATGGAACTTCATCCATTTGCACATCGTCTTGCTTTAGTTGGTTGTTGTATTGTTCAAATCACATTACAATCACACCCATGAAGAGAAGTCGTAGGACCATCAGCAAACATATCCTGCCATGATACCACCTGGCATTATTTTCCCAGATTTCTTGAATCTCATTCCCATCACTATTGTCAGCGCTCCTGAGGCAACGAGGGAGTAGAAAGTCTTGGTTGGGTCATTTGAAATCATGAAGGACCCATAGGCTGCTATGCTGCCAAACAATAGCCCAGCTATCAATGACGTGACACTACCTTTTCTCTTGTATCCCATGAATCCCCCAAGGTCTATGGCTGCAGCGTAGCCAAATCCAAGCCAGTCAATTGCCATTGCAGTGACACCTGTGCTCCCAATGAGTTTGTTCGTTTTGCATGGCCCGGTGTCGTCGTCTTCTTTTAATCTCTGCCATTGTTTTGTACAGCGATCGGCTTCAACGTGGAGACGGTGACGTACAGGAACCTGAAGTTCCAAGTGTGGGATCTTGGTGGACAGACGAGTATCAGGTAATTATATGAATATCACAACAAGCGTTTCCTTTTTATGTATACACATACATTGTTGAATGTAAAAGGTAGACAGAAGTTCCTCAAGACGGCACAACTTTCATATACATTGTGCCATACCTCTTTATAATTTAGAGGGTTTGGCCTACTTGCCTCTGCCCTTCCTTCTCTCTCCCCCTAACCTTTGTCTCTCTCCTTGTATCTCTCTCCCAGGCCATACTGGCGTTGTTATTACTCCAACACAGATGCTGTCATCTACGTGGTGGACAGCAGTGACAGAGACAGGATGGGCATCTCTAAGTCTGAGCTTGTCGCCATGCTGGAGGTAGGTCATGTGGTGTGGGTGGCTAGGCCTACATTCATTGCATTAATAAGACTGCAGGTGTCATTTGTGTATGAGGCAGCGATAATGACCATTGGTTGAGGTGCTCTGGAGGGCAACTTTGGGCAAATAGTAAAGCTCAATGTATTTTCTCCATATGACTAACTCGCGCGCTCTCTCTCTCTCCCCCTGTGTCTCTCTTCAGGAAGAGGAGTTGAAGAAAGCCATCCTGGTGGTGTTTGCAAACAAGCAGGACATGGAGCAGGCCATGACCCCGGCTGAGGTGGCCAACTCCCTGGGCCTCCCCGCCCTCAAAGACCGGAAGTGGCAGATCTTCAAGACCTCCGCCACCAAGGGCACGGGCCTGGACGAGGCCATGGAGTGGTGAGGGTTTGCTTTTGGTTGACATTATAGTCACGTAACAGATGCTCTTTTCAACAGTGATTTTACTATACTTGCATTTAACCTCACTGATTTCAGTTCTCATGGACTAGAACAGGCTGTCATCTCCAGTTGGTTAACCACACAGTCACTGTGGGTGAAATGATAACCACATAACCTCTGCTCTACCTATTAATATGCTATTTTATCATATGGAGAAGAGACGTGTCCTGTCCTTGTCCCACCCCTTTCCCTTGGGTGTTTCCCCTCAATAAACCCACAGTTGACATTGCGCAACACCATGTCACCTGCATGTTTGTGTATTATTACTCAACAATGTTTGCTCTCTCTCTCTCTCTCCATAGGCTGGTGGAAGCCCTGAAGAACAGGCAGTAAAGACAGCTCACACCTCTTGTTCTCTGTAAATACTCCCGACTTCCTGTATAAAATACTTCCTGATTGGACCGCACAGGAGGACCAGTGACTGCACTCCTTCCAGGGGCACGTTCAGTACGCAAATGTAGATAGAAATGTCATGAATAGAGCTGACGTGATTCCTTACTCTACATGTTAGATGTCACGTGTTTGTTCTACACAATGCATTTCTATATGAAGGTTCCACAACGTACCCTGCTGAACACAGCTCTGCCCCATCCCTGATGCCTGAAGCCTTTGCCATGCATAGCCCCTCCATGCCTTCCAGCCTGGGATAGAGGCACTGCAATATAGTATACTACCTGGTCCCAAAATACAGTTATCAGCCCATAGCCCTGTGGTGTTTGGAGATCTAAAGGGAACCAGATAGGTGTAGGTCAGACCAGGTAATGTGGTGACGGCTCCACATTAGCCCTCCAATTGGATGTGTGGCACACATAATTATATAGTATCTATGTGGTGGAGCTTCTGCCATTTTTGGTGAACCCTTCCAGTTCCTTCTGATCTGCAAACACCCAAGGGAAAGGGGTTGGTGTTGGCTCAGGCTCAATTAACAGTGGTAAAGAACTGACTGGCCCCTTCAAGGAAGAGGACCTGAGTGACAGACTGACCTATGGTGATGTTACTGCAGCTGGTGCTGTTTTTGTATTGTACTAATGCTGAATCATTCATCTGAATTTTTTTTCGTACATTTCTAAAACTTCCGTTGGGTGTATAAAGTTTGGTTGTTAGTTTAGGCCTTTTCATTGGAATGCTCAAACTTTAATCAAACATTTGGTGTATATGCCACTAGTCACTTAGTTGAACACTGATTCATTTGTATGCTACTTTTATTGCATATTTATGAGCTTGTACAGTGAAAATGATTTCACACTGAATATATAAACCTTTGTCGTCAAATTATTGTATATAATCTCCCTCAAGATAAGCGCTATTATAATATTCAACAGGCCCACTGTGATACTTTTCCAATAACAAGATTGTCTAAAGAAAGTAGCACAAGTGTTTTTATTTTAAAAAATTTAACTGCACAAACATATATAAACCCCTTAGACAATCTTGTATTTCTCAAATCCTTGACTGAGAATTCATACAGGGGTGGCTTGCCACTGATGTGCTGACTCCGCTCCTGCATTAAGTAGGGCATGAATGCCTGGTCTTCTCATCCATCCTTGCTATACAATGGATAATAACATCATTTCACCATAGCCAAGTCCTTGAGCGAGTTCCTCTGTCTCTTGGCTTTGTAGCCAGGCCTCAGGAACTCAATCTTCCTCTTCTTGGCCTCGATCTTGTTCTTGTGTTTCTTCAGCTTCTTCCTGGCTGCGATGTCAGGGTTAGCCACCGCCTGAGAGATAAGGAGTAAAAGGTGAGATGCTTGGTATCCAACATTACCCTGCCATGATGATATAAATATACAATTAATATAAACATTTGCTTGAGGCAAAACGGTGTCTGCTGTTCTTCATGTATTGTATGGCTAGCTCAAAGCTTTCCCAGTTTGGCACAGCAGCATGGCCCCATAGAGCAGGGTTCTCAAAATGGGGTCCGAAGACGCAACATTTCACAATATTTTAAAAAATGTAAATGAATATTACTAACAGATTAAATGAATTTTGGCCAAGGAATATGTGCAATAAGTTCAGAGGGTGAAATACAATGTAATATTAATCTACAACTTCTCAACCCTGGGTAACATGGGCCTGGGAGGCTAACAGGGATATTGGTATCCACCAATGTTATATATTTCAACTTAATACTTATTGTATTCTCCCCACACACACTTTTCTTTTTTTAAAACAAGGATGGGCATCTTTTATGGGGTGGGGTTCACAAAAAAATCTGAACTCATGATGGGCCGCAGTTGCTCGCGGGTCTGCATACACAATGGGGGCCCCCCGGATGGTAAATCGATCATGATAACAAGTTTAGATAGCTGGCCGCCAAACTAACTTAGCAATCAAAACATATTTTTGCTGACATGGGCTAATTGACTGACTATCAGTGACTGACATAAGAGCAAAACTGCTGATGCACAACCAATTTTCGAAATTGCAACTTGTGTATTCTATTATTCTAACTCGCAACAGTAAATTGAGCCCCCGACTGATTTCCGCCAGTTGCGCATCCCTGCTGTAATTTGAGTTCCGCCAGTTGCGCATCCCTGCTGTAATTTAAGTTTTAAAAGTACGTTTTCTCTTTGCTACATGACAAAATCTGTAGAATTGCAGAAAATGAGCTTGAAAACTGCTAAATCTTCTCTCCGTGCCAAGAGGTGGGCCTTTAAAATGTTCCTTCCCAGGGCCCTAGACTTTGTTCGTCCAACCATGTACTGCCGAAGTCAGTTGAGAACCCCTGCCATAGAGTACATACCTGCATAGCCTTGTGTTTCTTGCGGTTGGCCCTCCTCTGTGAGGCATCCTTCTGGACGGCTGAGAAGGCCAGGGAGAAGATCTGCAGCCCCACCTGCTTCTTCAACAGCTCTATCAGCTCCTGGGACAGGTTTTTCAGGGTGGGATCTGGGGAGTAAAACATACATGTAATTAGTGCTCTATTTAATTCTATCTCTGAGACAAACACCTACCGAGGGATCAGTCAGAAGAAAACAACTACACAGAGTTGTGTTGACATAGAATAACAAGAGAGCAGTCAGACAACAGGACAGCTACAATGAGCACAGTCGGAAAATGATCACACAAAACAGAGAGAAAACAAAGGCCAAAGAGCCTAGTTATGATTAGGATGATGAATTTGAGTAGTGGTGAAAGGGAGAGGATGATGAGACAGTGTAGTGTTACCTTGATCCACATAGCTGTTATTAAATGATGAGGACAGTACTACAGTATGTTACCTTGGTCTGCATAGGTGCTGTCCAGTTCTCTGTAGAGAGGGGCGATGATGGTGGTGAGGTAAGGACCCAGCCTGTCTTTACCAAGGTCCACAGCTATGGCCCCCAGGAACTTAAATACACATGTTCTCTATAGGAATAACAACAATACAACCGTTTATTGCTGATATTCATCAACTCACCATCTCACCAGCAGTAAATAAGCAGTGGTGTTGGGAAAAGATCTAAAAGGACCATGTATTGGGGTGTTTGTGTTTACCTTGAGGGGTATCTTGGGCGTGTCTGCAGCTTCTCTCTTAGCCATTAGAGACAGCTTCTTCATCATCCACAGTAAGGATGGAGGACGATCATCCTTCTCATCCTCTTCCTCATCTTCCTGTTTCTCTTCTTCATCCCCTTCCTCATCTTCTCCATCTTTCTCTCCTTCATCATTCTCCTTCATCTCTTCCTCCTCCCCTCCCTCCTCTACTTCCTGGGCAGGTGTGATTTCAGACTCAGGTGAGATCAGGTAGATCACCTTGGCGACGAACAGCAGGTTCTTGATCACCTGGGGAACGGCAGACGAGACGATCAAACCTGTCAATCGAACTACTGCCTGATGTGTGGCACCTCAGACCTAAATAGTCTGTTTGCATCAGTGTAATGTCGTCCTTACCTGTTCTCCTGTTGACGTGTCCAGGTACTTCGACTGGAGCTGGTGACAGAAAGACAGGACCAACTCTCTCATCTGGTGGAGGGAAGGAGGGAAAGTCAGTTAAAAGACACATAAATCAGTATAGCTAAACATCACTTGAATCAAACCCTTGTTTCCAATACAATGCATTCAATTATCTCATTGTTATTCAAACCAACAAAAGTTTCATGTCATTCTAGAAAGTTGTTCTCCCTGTTCTGTTTCATTCACTGATTAGTCCATCTTGGTGACATGTTTGATCTTGGTCACTCTCAGCAGGTCAAGTCATCGGTTTGCATCTTTGGCTAAGTGATGTTCAGTGCCGTCTCACCTTCTTGTCCAGGTTGGTGGTAAGGAATGTGGTCGCCACTGGTTCTGGTGTGGTGTTGTTGGCACTGCCCTTCTCTGTGGTCTCCTCTCTCCAGCGGGCAACCAGCTGGTCTGGCCGGTGGGCAGCAAACAGCTGACCAAACAGTTGAGAGGCGGTCAGCCACACCCAACAGTGAGGGTAGCGCAGGTGGGTCTCAACATGACCTGGTGGAGGGGGGAAACGTATTGCTCCGTTACACCAAGGGTAAGCCAGCAGTTTAGAGGATAAAATATGACATTCAATGATCGATGAATTGATCTAGATCTATAGTTCTAGACTTTATCATCAACCCATAGAACAAGAGACATTTCAGGTGAAAACATGTAGGCACATGGGTTTAACCACACTGCTATACAGAGCAGGCAATAAGCTTAACGTACCACAGTACTGTAGGCCTAGTTATCTCACCACAGACAACTGAGATGTCTGAGGTGATTTTCAGACTGGGCCCATCTGATAGACACATGATGTTTGATCTACAACCACCGCTCCGACCATAGCAAATGGCAAGACAGCACAAACAAATGTGGGACCAGACTAGAGGTAGTAGTGTCTTACCCAGGATGTTGGTGAGTGTGTCTTGCGGCTTGCTGAGCTCCAGTAGGCTACAGTCCTTGGTGAGTTTGGTGACCAGGGTCAGGTAGCTGAACAGCAGTCTGTCTGCTGCTTTCTCATCCTGCTCCTCCTCAATCTGACAGACACACAGACATAGAGCAGCTGTTAGCACAGGTTATATAAAATAGTAATTAAAAGACGAATACCTACATCCTGCTTAGATAATGCTTTTGAAAGTATAACTTTTCACATTGTTTATATCTTAAAAGTTTGATTTGTAAAATAGTTCATGTTCGACTCACGTCTTCAAAGTTGTCGGGGTGGATCTCTTTCTCGATGAGGGGTAGCAGGGCATCTAGACGACGGCCAAACTGAACCCCCTCTACCTCCACAAACAGCCCACACACCTGGGCCCCGAGACGACGCAGAGACACCTGGGGGTAGGGGTCAGAGGTTACAGCAGGAGAATATGGGGTGGATCTCAATAGTCTAAAGTGGATTTCTCTCCTTTCCATTATTTGCACTTTATCAGACATTTACATTGCTTTATTAGACACGTAGAGAAAGCCAATTAAGACTAATGTGTGTGCGTGTGTCTGCATGTGTGTGTGTCCGTGCATCCATACCTTGTCTGCAGACAGCCAAGTGTTGACCAGGGTGAACAGGGTGTTCTGGTGTTCCTGGTCCAGTTGACTCAGCAGTGATTTGATGGCCACTGCGGCCATCTTCTTACAGCGAGCCGAGTCATCGTTCACCATGGCCAGAGCCATAGGGACAAAGAACAACCCACTGTGCTGCAGCAGCAGGTTCTAGGACAGAGACAAATCAGATACACACAGGAGTAGAATTAGGTTGTTCCAAAAGACTGATCTAATGTCAGTTTTGGTGAGAGTTTCTATAGTCAACTTCTAACAGGAGCAGTGGGTGTAGAACGCGAACAGAGTTACTGCGAGTCTAACTCAGGTAATTATGGGATGTGTGTGTCAGGAGGGTTGTCTTGGATACCTGAGGGAAGGTCTGGAAGATATAGGCCATCATCTCCAGAGCAGCCTCTCTTCCTGTGTCAAACTCATAGCTAACACACAGAGAGAGAGAGAGAGAGAGAGATAGAGAGAGAGAGAGAGAGAGAGAAAGAGAGATTTTAGTATCAAACAAGTCACAAACAATCGACTTACATATTAAATAACGAATCCCTTTAAACACACATATATCCTACCTGAGCTGGGCCACGATAAAGTCCAGATGTGATCTCAGTTTCTTCCCCAGAGGATAATCCAGGATATACTTCTGGTAAATCTACAGGTGAAAATAATAGAAACACTAAAATAAGAATCTAAAAATAATACAAATTGTTGCCTAAAGCACAGTTAAACCACTGTTTTATAATTCACCTTCAAAAATAAAATACAAACGGTAAAATACAGGGTTAAATATGAATATAAAAAGAAACACAAAACCGTACATGTCTGCACTGGACCCTGATCATGCCGTTCTGCCCGGTAACAGACAGCTTGGCAACTTTCTTCATCAGCTCCTCCATCTCTGGTACTACCAGCTTCCTGGACAGGATTGCCTGTAGGGGGAGATAGAGAGGATGCAGTCCATATTACAGAGGAGGACAGAATACGAATTTCATTATAAACTTTCATTATAATACATCTATATGTCTGGTTAAATAAAGGTATAAAAATGTTGGGGTCTGATGTATTAGCTGTAGCAATAAAGTATGGTCTCCATCTCCATCTCTCTCCTAGATTTGGAGGGCGTTAGCTACCTTTAACAGCCCGAAGGCTGTCGCCTGACGTGATTGGTCATAAATGTCCTCCTCAGCGTATCCCAGCAGCACTTGCAGCTGCGTCTCAGTTATCTTGTGTGTCTTCATGTTCTTTACTAGGATGGTAATGGACTGACAGAGAAAAGAAGGATCATTCAATTCATTTGATATAGCCACATTTCTGTCATTTCAAATCATTCAAACATACAATATGGCATGTTTTTGCATTGCGGAATGAATGTACTGTTGATATTATATTTAAGCAATAAGGCACCTTGGCAGTGTGTGCTCGGGGTGCCTTATTGCTATTATAAACTGGTTACCAACGTAATTAGAACAGTAAACAAGTCGTCATAGCCATGGTATATTTAAGCAATAGGGCACTAGGGGGTGTGGTATATGGCCAATATACCACGGCTAAGGGATGTTCTTAAGCACGACGCAACGCGGAGTGCCTGGATACAGCCCTTAGCCGTGGTATATTGGCCATATACCACAAACCCCCAAGGTGTCTTATTGCTATTATAAACTGGTTACCAACGTAATTAGAGCAGTCCAAATAAATGTTTTGTCATACGGTCTGATATACCATGGCTGTCACCCAATCAGCATTCAGGGCTCAAACCTCTCAGTTTATAATTAAACAATAAGGCCTGTGGGGGTTTGGTATATGGGCAATATACCACGGCTAAGGGCTGTTCTTAAGCGCCTGGATACAGCCTTTAGCCGTGGTATATTGGCCATATACCACAAACCCCTGAGGTGCCTTATTGCTATTATAAACTGGTTACCAACGTAATTCGATCAGTATAATGTCTCATACCACGGCTTTCAGTCAATCAGAATCCAGGGCTCAGAACAACCCGGTTTATAATTGATACTACACTGCTCAAAAAAATAAAGGGAACACTTAAACAACACAATGTAACTCCAAGTCAATCACACTTCTGTGAAATCAAACTGTCCACTTAGGAAGCAACACTGATTGACAATACATTTCACATGCTGTTGTGCAAATGGAATAGACAACAGGTGGAAATTATAGGCAATTAGCAAGACACCCCCAATAAAGGACTGGTTTTGCAGGTGGTGACCACAGACCACTTCTCAGTTCCTATGCTTCCTGGCTGATGTTTGGGTCACTTTTGAATGCTGGCGGTGCTTTCACTCTAGTGGTAGCATGAGACGGAGTCTACAACCCACACAAGTGGCTCAGGTAGTGCAGCTCATCCAGGATGGCACATCAATGCAAGCTGTGGCAAGAAGGTTTGCTCTGTCTGTCAGTGTAGTGTCCAGAGCATGGAGGCGCTACCAGGAGACAGGCCAGTACATCAGGAGACGTGGAGGAGGCCGTAGGAGGGCAACAACCCAGCAGCAGGACTGCTACCTCCACCTTTGTGCAAGGAGGAGCACTGCCAGAGCCCTGCAAAATGACCTCCAGCAGGCCACAAATGTGCATGTGTCTGCTCAAACGGTCAGAAACAGACTCCGTGAGGGTGGTATGAGGGCCCGACGTCCACAGGTGGGGGTTGTGCTTACAGCCCAACACCGTGCAGGACGTTTGGCATTTGCCAGAGAACACCAAGATTGGCAAATTCGCCACTGGCGCCCTGTGCTCTTCACAGATGAAAGCAGGTTCACACTGAGCACATGACAGAGGTGACAGAGTCTGGAGACGCCGTGGAGAACGTTCTGCTGCCTGCAACATCCTCCAGCACGACCGGTTTGGCGGTGGGTCAGTCATGGTGTGGGGTGGCATTTCTTTGGGGGGCCGCACAGCCTTCCATGTGCTCGCCAGAGGTAGCCTGACTGCCATTAGGTACCGAGATGAGATCCTCAGACCCCTTGTGAGACCATATGCTGGTGCGGTTGGCCCTGGGTTCCTCCTAATGCAAGACAATGCTAGACCTCATGTGGCTGGAGTGTGTCAGCAGTTCCTGCAAGAGGAAGGCATTGATGCTATGGACTGGCCCGCCCGTTCCCCAGACCTGAATCCAATTGAGCACATCTGGGACATCATGTCTCGCTCCATCCACCAACGCCACGTTGCACCACAGACTGTCCAGGAGTTGGCTGATGCTTTAGTCCAGGTCTGGGAGGAGATCCCTCAGGAGACCATCCGCCACCTCATCAGGAGCATGCCCAGGCGTTGTAGGGAGGTCATACAGGCACGTGGAGGCCACACACACTACTGAGCCTCATTTTGACTTGTTTTAAGGACATTACATCAAAGTTGGATCAGCCTGTAGTGTGGTTTTTCACTTTAATTTTGAGGGTGACTCCAAATCCAGACCTCCATGGGATGATACATTTGATTTCCAGGACCAGAATAAGAATAAATTTCATTATAAACTTTCATTATAATACATCTATATGTCTGGTTAAATAAAGGTATAAAAATGTTGGGGTCTGATGTATTAGCTGTAGCAATAAAGTATGGTCTCCAACTCCATCTCTCTCCTAGATTTGGAGGGCGTTAGCTACCTTTAACAGCCCGAAGGCTGTCGCCTGACGTGATTGGTCATAAATGTCCTCCTCAGCGTAACCCAGCAGCACTTGCAGCTGCGTCTCAGTTATCTTGTGTGTCTTCATGTTCTTTACTAGGATGGTGATGGACTGACAGAGAAAAGAAGGATCATTCAATTCATTTGATATAGCCACATCTGTCATTTCAAATCATTCAAACATACAATATGGCATGTTTTTGCATTGCGGTATGAATGTACTGTTGATATTATATTTAAGCAATAAGGCACCTTGGCAGTGTGTGTGCCCGTGGTGCGCACTTCAACTATGTAAAGAAAAAAGTATTTAATGAGATTATTTCATTCATTTAGATCTAGGATGTGTTATTTTAGTGTTCCCTTTATTTTTTTGAGCAGTGTATATTAAATGTATTAATTCAACCATTTCCAGAATAGAAACAAACACTTGTGCTACCTTGAAGCAGTTCTGGACGAGTTGGAAGTTCTCTCCGCGGGCAGCGCCAGCCTTGGAGTAGTCTTTGAGCAGGACAAACAGCTGCTTAGTGAGCTGGCCTGCACTCTGCTCTACAGCTGGCAGGGGGAACCGCAACAGGAATGTAAAGGCTAAGAGAGCCTCTGTTATCACCTGGAGGCACGGAGAGAGAGATAGACTCAGATACAGACACACACACACTTCTCTAGACATACACAGAGAGATCAACACGTATACACACTCCTCAACATGCACACACACACACACTACTGACCTTGACGTGCATGGAGTTGAGACAGTCTAGTAGCAGAGCAAAGAAGGGATCCAGCATCTCAAGAGCAGAGGCCTCAGAGGAGTTCACCTTGGACTTCTTCAGACTCATATGGAGCAGCTAGACAGAGACAGAGTGACAACAGTCAACCAACATTCAACTGACCACAGATGAATGAACAGTAAACCACTATTCAGCCATTGGTTACCATCTGTTCTCGGGACTGTTCGTTGTCTATGTTAATGCCTGTTTGCCGCAAAACAACAATATTTGATCTTCTAGTTAATCTGTGTGAAAGCCTGTGAGAAAGTTTCTGAAAGTTTTAGGAGGGTAGCTAGGTTGGTTTACCCTGAGTCCAGTGTCCACTAGGATGTGCATGTTGGTGCGGCTGCTGACGGGGGCTTTCAGTCCCCCTCTCTTTGGGGTGGGGGGCAAGAGGAGACAGCTGGGAGGGGGCAGGCGAGGGTCCGGGGGGGCCTGGGGCTTTTTGTCCCTACACACAAACAATAAAGACACGCTGTCAAATATTTGCGTGAGAGACTCAGTGAGTGAGTGAGAGAGACAGCAAGGAAAAAGTGAGCATGCATGCAGTGTGTGTGTGTGTGTGTGCATACTTGTTCCTCTTGGTGACGAGGGGCAGACTCTCTGAGACCAGGCCGTGGCTGAGCAGTAGTACAGCCTGATGGTCCATGGCCTGGTTCACCAGTAGCCCTGACACTATCCTCTTCAACACTGCATGGGCACGACGGGCTGTCTTCAGATTGGCTGTGTTCTCCAGGATCTAGATAGAGAGAGAGAGAGAGAGGGGAAGAGAGACAGAGAGATTCAGAGAGAAGGCGAGAGAGACCGAGAGCGCGACATAATAAAGTCACATACACAGTTAGCAGGGGACATCAATAGATGACTTTGCAATCTAAGGAATTACAGTCATGTATAAGTGATACTTACATCTTTCATTGGCAGTATGAGTTGTATGACTCTGTCCTTGCCAGAGTACTGGCCCAGGAACTCATAGGAGTCCATACTCTTGCTGTGGCGAGCCTCCATCAGCTTAGAGACTATCCCCTTCACCTCCTTCTCCTCAGCCACTGCACCAAACAGCTCGTTGTTGAAGATCTACAGGAGAGGGGTGGAACAATGGTGGATGTATGAGATGTGTGAAAGGAGAGCTGGCAAGACAAGTTTGTGTATCAAAATGGATTATGCACATGGACACACACACATATGGGCACAAACACACACGGACACACACACACACATAAACACAAATGTAAACGTATAGGCTAGAATAGTTACATCTATTAGCAGGCCCATGCAGTGGTCCAGGTCTCCAGGTTTCAGTATAGGAGCGAGGTGAGACAGGAGCTGGTACACTGTGAACGTCAACACATGGACCTGAGGGAGAGAGAGAGAGAGAGAGTCAGTGGATCAAAACAAAGTCATATCATTTGGAATAATTCACTTAATGATACATTGACAGACAGAGATGGAGTCTCAGTCTCAAAAACATACACAGTCGCTAGTGAAAGTCTACACAGTCAATAAAAAATTTAAAAAGGGATTACATTCGATTTTCTTTCTACCGATCTACACAACCTTCTCCACATTTATGAAGTGAAATAACTTTTGTTTAAATGAACGTCTTAATTGCAAATATAGTCACACCCCAGAGTTAATACTTGGTGGAAGCACCTTTGGCAGCCATTACAAGTGTGAATCATTTTTGAATAAGATTCTACCAACTTTCCACAACTCTTAAGGCAACATACATCCATTTTCAAACAAATTTAAGTTAGAACTGAGACCGGACCACTCAGGAACACTCAACACTTATAGAAAAGCCATTCTGGTGTGTCTTTAGCATAGAAATGTGTGTAATTGTCCCCCTTTTTAGACTTTCACTAGGCACTGTAAATGTGGTCTTGGTACTGCGTCCCAAATAGCACCCTATTCCCTTTGTAGTGCACTACTTTTGACCAGAGGCCATTTGGAACGCACCCTCGTGCCCAATGCCTGAGACGAGGGCTCTGGTCCATCTGTAATAAAAGACAGAGGAATCTATTTAGCTGTAGTGTTTACCTGGTAGCCCTTAACCAGAATGGACTTCATCTCCTTTAGTAGGTACTGCAAGTATTTGACCCCCAGAGTCTCAATGATCTTAATCAGGGTGTTACGAGCCACGTCTCTGATCTCCTGGAAACGATTCCTCAGCAGCACACACATCTTCATCAGGATGCTGTCAACACACACAGTGTTTATTATATACTGCACACACCCTCACTCCCAGGAGACACCGACACACACGAGACATCCACATTTACAGGGTGTACCACATTCAATGTTTACATGAACTGGGTGTACATACCCAGGCAGGTTGACGTCCATGACGGTCGTGGGTAGTGTCTGCATCAGTTTGACCATGGCGAAGGCTATAGGAACTCTGGCCACCTCCTCCTCCTTCACATCCTTAGACTTCACTGCCTTGCACTCCTCGTCTCGCTTCACCTACACACAATGATGTCATCACTCTGCGACAATACTAAAACATGCATTGGTGACATATTCCAAAAGATCACCGACAGCAAGTACAACTGGCGTATGTGTACCTTGGCGGTGAGACACTTGTGTAGCCTGGGCAGGACAGCATTTTGAACAGTGGCATGGATAGAGGTGATCAGAGCCTCCAGCTCTGCTTTGTTCTGGGGTAATCCACTGGGGGCTGCAGGGGCTGTAGCGGAAGGGGTCGGCTTCTTCACCGGAACAGTTTTAGTCTCCGCTGTAGATTCTGTGGCATTCGTTTCCATAGCAACACCCTCAACGGTCTCAGCAGCGTCCGTTTCCATAGTAACAACCTCGGCTGTTTCTATGGTGGTTGTTTTCGTGTCGCTGTTGATGCTTTCAGTTTCCATGGCTTCCTCAGTGTCACTCTCCTCTGATTCGACAGCTGCCACCTCCTCTTCCGCGTCACCTTCTTCATCAACGACGGTGCTCACAACTAAACAGAAAGAGGCAACATCAATCAAGATATCACACACTTGGTATGAAAATGATATTCTACTTCATTGGGACCTCTTGGTCACCGGTGTCCAGTCTGTCCACTCACCCTCTTTGGCCCTGATCTTAGCTGCCTCCATTTCTCTCTCCAGAGTATCATGGTCAAAGTGGAACGCCTCCAGAACAGTCACCAATAGACTGTGGATGGATACAGGTATGAGACAACAATACTACTGCAAAACAAACATATACAGTGGGGAGAACAAGTATTTGATACACTGCCGATTTTGCAGGTTTTCCTACTTACAAAGCATGTAGAGGTCTGTAATTTTTATCATAGGTACACTTCAACTGTGAGAGACGGAATCTAAAACAAAAATCCAGAAAATCACATTGTATGATTTTTAAGTAATTAATTTGCATTTTATTGCATGACAGAAGTATTTGATCACCTACCAACCAGTAAGAATTCCGGCTCTCACAGACCTGTTAGTTTTTCCTTTAAGAAGCCCTCCTGTTCTCCACTCATTACCTGTATTAACTGCACCTGGTTGAACTCGTTACCTGTATAAAAGACACCTGTCCACACACTCAATCAAACAGACTCCAACCTCTCCACAATGGCCAAGACCAGAGCGCTGTGTAAGGACATCAGCATTAAAATTGTAGACCTGCACAAGGCTGGGATGGGCTACAGGACAATAAGCAAGCAGCTTGGTGAGAAGGCAACAACTGTTGGCGCAATTATTAGAAAATGGAAGAAGTTCAAGATGACGATCAATCACCCTCGGTCTGGGGCTCCATGCAAGACCTCACCTCGTGGGGCATCAATGAATATATATATATTTTTTTTACATTTTTAGTCATTTAGCAGACGCTCTTATCCAGAGCGACTTACAGTTAGTGCATACATTTTTATTTAATTTTTTCATACTCCCCGTGGGAATCGAACCCACACCCCTGGCGTTGCAAACAACATGCTCTACCAACTGAGCTACATCCCTGCCGGCCATTCCCTCCCCTACCCTGGACGACGCTGGGCCAATTCTGCGCCGCCACATGGGTCTCCCGGTCGCGGCCGGCTACGACAAAGCCTGGATTCGAACCAGGTTCTCTAGTGGCACAGCTAGCACTGCGATGCAGTGCCTTAGACCACTGCGCCACTCGGGAGGCCCAGTCTCCAATGATCATGAGGAAGGTGAGGGATTCAGCCCAGAACTACACGACAGGACCTGGTCAATGACCTGAAGAGAGCTGGGACCACAGTCTCAAAGAAAACCATTAGTAACACACTACGCCGTCATGGATTAAAATTCTGCAGCGCACGCAAGGTCCCCCTGCTCAAGCCAGCGCATGTCCAGGCCCGTCTGAAGTTTGCCAATGACCATCTGGATGATCCAGAGGAGGAATGGGAGAAGGTCATGTGGTCTGATGAGACAAAAATAGAGCTTTTTGGTCTAAACCACTCGCTGTGTTTGGAGGAAGAAGAAGGATGAGTACAACCCCAAGAACACCATCCCAACCGTGAAGCATGGAGGTGGAAAAATCATTCTTTGGGGATGCTTTTCTGCAAAGGGGACAGGACGACTGCACCGTATTGAGGGGAGGATGGAAGAGGCCATGTATCGCGAGATCTTGGCCAACAACCTCCTTCCCTCAGTAAAAGCATTGAAGATGGGTCGTGGCTGGGTCTTCCTGCATGACAACGACCAGAAACACACAGCCAGGGCAACTAAGGAGTGGCTCCGTAAGAAGCATCTCAAGGTCCTGGAGTGGCCTAGCCAGTCTCCAGACCTGAACCCAATAGAACATCTTTGGAGGGAGCTGAAAGTCCGTATTGCCCAGCGACAGCCCCGAAACCTGAAGGATCTGGAGAAGGTTTGTATGGAGGAGTGGGCCAAAATCCCTGCTGCAGTGTGTGCAAACCTGGTCAAGACCTACAGGAAACATATGATCTCTGTAATTTCAAACAAAGGTTTCTGTACCAAATATTAAGTTCTGCTTTTCTGATGTATCAAATACTTATGTCATGCAATAAAATGCAAATTAATTACTTAAAAATCATACAATGTGATTTTCTGGATTTTTTGTTTTAGATTCCGTCTCTCACAGTTGAAGTGTACCTATGATAAAAATTACAGACCTCTACATGCTTTGTAAGTAGGAAAACCTGCAAAATCGGCAGTGTATCAAATACTTGTTCTCCCCACTGTATATCACCCACTGATACACACAGACAGACACACAGACATAGACAGTACCAACCTGACAGCCAGTTTCTGTTCAGCCTGTCCAGTGTGCAGTATGTGAACAAAGTGTTTAAGGTAGTAGAGGTATTTAGACCAGGTCAGTCTCCTACACACAGCTCCTACCACTTCTACTGAGGCTGACGTCATACCCTCATTCTGCAGGACAGAGAGAGAAACACACAGGTTACACACACACGTACGCACACCAGAATGAAGGATAACATTTGTCAGTGTGTTGTGTAACTAACCTTGAGCATCTTCTCGTCGAAGAGGGCAGTCATGGCGTAGGGCATGATAAAGTTCTGGAGGGAACGTGATGACATCACAACCGTACCCTCCGTCAGCTGCTTGGCGAACTTCCTCAGAGCGCGACCTCTACGATGGATCTGAGAGAGACAAAACATTAAGCACTGGGCTGAACACGATGCTTCCTGACTCATTTGAAGAGCGTCGGCTATATGGCTACAATCCAAGTTGCCCCATACCAGGCTAACCAGTTAGCATTTTCCTATGTTACGATATCTATACTAGCATACGCTGCTGCTACTCTCTGTTTATTATCTATGCATAGTCACTGTAATAACTCTACCTACATGTACATATTACCCTCAATTACCTCGACTAACCGGTGCCCCCGCACATTGACTCTGTACCGGTACCCCCTGTATATAGCCTCGCTATTGTTATTTTTACCGCTGCTCTTTAATTATTTGTTACTTTTATTTCGTATTATTTTATATTGCATTTCTTTGTGATTTTTTTTGGGTATTCTTTCTTAAAACTGCATTGTTGGTTAAGGGCTTATAAGCAAGCATTTCACTGTAAGGTCTACACCTGTTGTATTCGGCGCATGTGACAAATAACATTTGATTTGAATTGATACCACTTAGAATGCATGCCCAATACGTTGCTTCAACCCATGTAGTATGCTGGTGTGAATATTGGAACAGTGGCTGAAGTCTTACCTGGATGTGCTTCATGTGTTCAAAGAAGTCCGACTCAGGGTCGTTGTAGTCGGTGAGCTGCACCAGATCTCTGAAGTCTCTACGGGTGGGGAAGGTCTTCACCAGACACGCCAGCACTGTGGTGTAGCCATGCTGCACACTCTGACAACACAGGAGACACACACTGGACCCAAGTTCACTTTAGTGTGTGTGTGTGTGTGTGTGTGTGTGTGTGTGTGTGTGTGTGTATTCTGTGATGTACGTGTGTGTGTGTGTGTGTGTGCTAACCTCAGTCTTGCTCCTCAGTCCTTTCCTGACAGCGTCCAGTATGGTGTACTGTACTATCTCCTTGTACTCCTCCTCTCCACGGCCCACTGCAGCCAGACGTGTAAGGACAGCAGACAGACACAAGGTGGCGTTGTCTGCCAGGGACATGTCTCCAATCTACAACACAGGAAGGAAGAAAGTTGAATTAATTAATGGACAAATTACATTACTGTTAATATTCCTTGAATGGGAAATTATATCCACAGCTCATCAAATAAATGAAGAGCAAAAACCACAGACGTGCACGGATACATGTTAAGCACTTTGTGACACAAATGTTTTGTCAAAATCTACATATAATTTAATTTATTGATTCATAAGTGAATAGGACATCTAAAATAAGAGGAGAGCAATCCAAAATACTACCAAAGTCGATGCAATAGTCAAGAGATCAGGCTGTAGTGTTACACCCATCTGTAGTGTCTGATCTCTCCTGTGTGTTTGTGATGTGTGTGTTGGTCTCACCTCGAAGGAGGCGAAGCAGTTGTGCATGATGGTGTAGATGAAGTTCATGTCCAGCGTGTCCATGTCGTTGATCCTCCTGGTGGCCTCCTGGAAGGCTGTGAGACGCACGTCAAAGTAGACCTCGTCCAGGTGACGACTGTCAAACGCATTCAACTAGAGGGAGAGAAAGGGGCAATGATTATACATCGCTGTGTGTGATGCACATAGGTTGTCTGTGCCTGTGTGTATTTGTGTGTGCGTTTGAATGTTGTGTGTGGTTTTTCGAGCCCTACCTTAGCAGCTGTATCTGTGATGTACTTCAGTCCACTATCCAGGTCTGCCAGAGTCTGTTGGGAGACAGAAACACAGGTAAACACTCTGCCATTCAGATCACATTCATATGGACCACTAGATATGAGTAGTGGGAAGCATGTAGGGGCCCGGCTTCCGCAGCTAAAGATGTGACAATGAGTGAGCACAACAGCACAAACAGATCTGGAATCAGGCTATGGGGGCTTGAGGTCCTACCTGGAAGAGGGAGGTGAGGGCCTGTCTTGGCAGCTTGTTATGGAGGATGGAGAACAGTCTACTGATAGGCTTGAGGAAGGAGGAGGGATCAGAACACTGTCTCAGCAGGTTCTGGACTGTAGCCAGGATGTCAATCTCTGTCTCCTGAAACACAAGGGAAGGGAAATACATTTACATTCGAGTCATTTAGCAGACGCTCTTATCCAGAGCGACTTACAGTAGTGAGTGCATAAATTTTCGTACAGGTCCCCCGTGGGAATCGAACCCACAACCCTGGCGTTGCAAGCGCTATGCTCTACCAACTGAGCTACACAGGAAATACACATGAGTGTAACACTATAACATAAAACCTACCACAATGCAAGGCAATGACAGGATAGATCATTAATGAGTGGGAGCTCATATAACACACACCATGGTATAACATATAACACAACCTTTACATGGCGTAAGCTAGCATGACGTTTACTTCGAACAATCCAATTCAGCACGAACACACACAAACAAATAACCACAACACAGACATAACATATCACTAGAACAGTAACATAACAGTAACATGTTGTTGTACCTGTGGGTTGCGGGCCTTCTGGAGGTATGGCAGCAGCAGACTGATGAGCACTGAGCTCTGGTCCTTATCACTCACAAACCTGCTGATCCTGGAGAGGAGGGAGATCATCACATTAGCCTCTAGAAACCATCATCATCATCAACACCATACAACAACCTTAAACCTGAGAAGGAGAACTGTGATAAGATCCCAAAGAGCAGAGGGTAGAGTATGCCATCTATGAATGGGCCTGATCAGTTGCATTAGAGATATATGACTGTCTACAACAGGGCTCTCCAACCCTGCTCCAGGAGAGCTACCGTCTTGTAGGTTTTCGATCCAATAATAATCTAGCGCATCTGATTCTAATAATTAGCGGGTTAATAAACTGAGTCAGGTTAGTAAGCAACTGGGGTTGGAGAGAAAGCCTACAGGAGGGTAGCTCTCCAGGAACAGGGTTGGAGCCCAGGTCTACAATGATCACTTAAAATCAACACAGCACAGGAGTCATCACCCTTCATAAAGGATGCAGAAGGATGTGAGGACCGAAGGACTTACTTTGAGAGGATGTTGAGCTCCTTGGCCACCTGGGATCTAAACTTCTTCTTCTTGAGCCTGTCAGAGTTGCGTACGATGCCACTGAGGTACTGTAGCAGGGTGGAGATGTGGGGCAGGAGCAGCCTGGCACCCTGGGTCAGATGCTCTGAACAACACAAACAAACCATTCATTTCACCACTATTATCAATTTGCATGCTTTGTATTTGCTAATATTTCAAGTTTTTTGTGTCTAAAAAAACAAACAAAGTTTTATTACAAACGTTAAACTTTGTGGATAATACCCATTTTGCATTTGCTTATACCTACTAGGGCCCATAGTTTTTCCATATAGTTTTTCCATGTAACCTGATGAGGAAAAACTCTGGTCCCTAGTTATACTGTTTAGTATTTACTTTTATTAGTAGCATTTGCATATTCTAGCAGTGGCCCTGTAAGCATTGCATTTGCGTATTCTATCTGTTTTCCAGCGGCCTCACCTTCTGAAATGTAAGCTCCCTCTGGTGGCTGGGGGAACACACTGCCGTTAACGCTCAGCTCCGCCTCCTCACCCTCCGTAACCAGAAGGTCCTTCGTGGTCACCAAGGACTCGGCGATGTCCATCACCATGGCAACAGTCTGGGTAGAGACATTCTTGGCGGAGAGCAGGGCGAACACGTTGAGGAGGACGTCACACTCCGGGTGACCAGACTGCTGCTTGGCCAGGAGGGGGAAGTACCTGAGAGAAGAGGAGAGAAGAAGAGGAAAGAAGGTGGTCATTTTCAGGCAGGTTTCATCTGTCACCTGCCAGTGGGTCATTGCAAATTCCTCCTAGTTCCCCACTGTAAACTGGATTGTTGCCAGAAATATTCTCCCATTAATTTACTGATCTCATTGTGAAAAGACTTAGCCTTAGTGTAGCTGAACCTTCAACACAAAGACTGTTTGTTAAGCTTACCTGGCGTTCTTGCTCCAGACGTGGATGAGTTTGAGGAGGGGGGTGGGGGAGTAGGGGCTCTCTGTGGGCAGACGGCAGACCTGGGGCCAGACGATAGCCTGGAAGACAGCGTCTAGCTCGTCTGGGGTGAAGCTGTACGAGTCGAAGCCATCAAAGAAGTCCTGGATCCTCAGGACCCCCAGGCGCCTCAGGTTCTTCAGAGGAGCGATACAGCCCGCCTTTAACTGGGCAGAGAGAGGGAAAAAAAACATTTAGGAGTTATCTTAAAAACCTGTATCTATTTTTAGCCTTCCTTGCGGCTGCAAAGAGTAGTGAAAATACAAGTGGTGAGAAAACAACTTTTAGGAGTTACTGACTTGTCCTAAAAATGAACATCAAAATGCTTTATACATGCTCACACCTGCAACTGCCAGGGCAGGCTTCTCTGAGCCTCCTGTCCTAGTATAGGTCTTAGAGGGCCAGCTGCGGCATACTGCCACAATGGCTACACTGCAGCTCCTGACCAAGACCAGAGTTACTGACTTGAAACTTTACTAAACGTTTTTCTCAAGAGAGGCCAGGAGCTTATTATCAAGCTTCTCAGAGTGCTGATCTAGAATCAGGTCGCCCCCTGTCCATATAATCATATTAATTGTGATCTAAAATGTAAAACTGATAGTAAATCAGCACTCGTACTCTGAGATGCTTGATACATACTGCCCTTGGTCCAACACAGAATACACAGCAGGTTTCTCAAGACTAAGCCTATGTGAGACAGTGAGACCCTCCGGCAGTGTATATACCTGTTCTCTCTGGTTGAGGATGGTGGAGATGGAGGCGGTGACACACAGTAGGATCTGCAGCACCTTGGGCAGGTGTGTGTGGATGAGGTGGCCCAGTTTACTGATGACTGTGTTGACTATGTTCAGCAGGCTGTGCTGCCTCCCCAGAGGAAGGACGGCAGAGGAGTCTGTCTCTGCTATCGCCTTGTCTACTGCAGCTAAACACAGACCTGGAGAGAAGGTGGGGAGAGAGAGAGAGAGGAAAAAAGAGAGAGAAAGAAGAGTTCTAAGTGTTCATACAGTGGAGAAAAAAAGTATTTAGTCAGCCACCAATTGTGCAAGTTCTCCCACTTAAAAAGATGAGAGAGGCCTGTAATTTTCATCATAGGTACACGTCAACTATGACAGACAAAATTAGAATTTTTTCTCTCCAGAAAATCACATTGTAGGATTTTTAATGAATTTATTTGCAAATTATGGTGGAAAATAAGTATTTGGTCAATAACAAAAGTTTCTCCATACTTTGTTATATACCCTTTGTTGGCAATGACACAGGTCAAACGTTTTCTGTAAGTCTTCACAAGGTTTTCACACACTGTTGCTGGTATTTTGGCCCATTCCTCCATGCAGATCTCCTCTAGAGCAGTGATGTTTTGGGGCTGTCGCTGGGCAACACAGACTTTCAACTCCCTCCAAAGATTTTCTATGGGGTTGAGACCTGGAGACTGGCTAGGCCACTCCAGGACCTTGAAATTCTTCTTACGAAGCCACTCCTTCGTTGCCCGGGCGGTGTGTTTGGGATCATTGTCATGCTGAAAGACCCAGCCACGTTTCATCTTCAATGCCCTTGCTGATGGAAGGAGGTTTTCACTCAAAATCTCACGATACATGGCCCCATTCATTCTTTCCTTTACACGGATCAGTCGTCCTGGTCCCTTTGCAGAAAGACAGCCCCAAAGCATGATGATTCCACCCCCATGCTTCACAGTAGGTATGGTGTTCTTTGGATGCAACTCAGCATTCTTTGTCCTCCAAACACGACGAGTTGAGTTTTTACCAAAATGTTGGTTTCATCTGACCATATGACATTCTCCCAATCCTCTTCTGGATCATCCAAATGCACTCTAGCAAACTTCAGACGGGCCTGGACATGTACTGGCTTAAGCAGGAGGACACGTCTGGCACTGCAGGATTTGAGTCCCTGGCGGCGTAGTGTGTTACTGATGGTAGGCTTTGTTACTTTGGTCCCAGCTCTCTGCAGGTCATTCACTAGGTCCCCCCGTGTGGTTCTGGGATTTTTGCTCACCGTTTTTGTGATCATTTTGACCCCACGGGGTGAGATCTTGCGTGGAGCCCCAGATCGAGGGAGATTATCAGTGGTCTTGTATGTCTTCCATTTCCTAATAATTGCTCCCACAGTTGATTTCTTCTAACCAAGCTGCTTACCTATTGCAGATTCAGTCTTCCCAGCCTGGTGCAGGTCTACAATTTTGTTTCTGGTGTCCTTTGACAGCTCTTTGGTCTTGGCCATAGTGGAGTTTGGAGTGTGACTGTTTGAGGTTGTGGACAGGTGTCAAACAGGTGCCATTAATACAGGTAACGAATGGAGGACAGAGGAGCCTCTTAAAGAAGAAGTTACAGGTCTGTGAGAGCCAGAAATCTAGCTTGTTTGTAGGTGACCAAATACTTATTTTCCACCATAATTTGAAAATAAATTCATTAAAAATCCTACAATGTGATTTCCTGGATTTTTTCCCCTCAATTTGTCTGTCATAGTTGACGTGTACCTATGATGAAAATTACAGGCCTCTCATCTTTTTAAGTGGGAGAACTTGCACAATTGGTGGCTGACTAAATACTTTTTTCCCCCACTGTATGTCCTACTTTTAAAGCAAACACAAGTCCACACACACACAACTAGGCTGAAGCTACAATATAATGGCAGAATAGACCAATGAGACAGAGAGCAACAGAGCCATACAGTGAGGAATAAGACGAGAAACACTCCACTCCCATACAGGTTGTATATCACATGGCAGTGGGCACCCTACCTTGTCCGTGGTGGCAGACGGGCTCCAGCAGGAGGTCAATGAACATGCCCAGCTCCTCAGACTGGCATCCTGCCAGGAACCTCAGCACGATGGAGGAACGCTGCACAGCGCCAGACTTGCCCTGGAACTTACTGCCGGTCTTACTGCGCATCCGGCCAAACAGAACCCTACAGAGGTAAGGTTAGAGGAGAGGGAGGATGGGTTGGTTATATTGGAGTAGTAAAGGTGACGCACAAATAGGCCACAAGTTTAAGTTCACATGAAGACGTGACACACACACACACATGAAAATCACACACCTCATAAGCAGTGGGATAAGCTGGGCCCTGTGTGAGGCGTCCACCACGGCTTTCTCCTCCGAGACGTTGAAGTGAACAATCTCATCCTTGAAGTATTTGTCATCCAGCAGCCTCTCCAGATTCTCCCTGAACACAACAGTCAACACATCAGTCAAAGACGTTCAATAGCGCAGGCCTTTAGGTCCAGAAGCACAGGACATTTCAGATACAAAAAAAGACATCAGATGAAGACATTTCATTCCTATATCACAGGACACATCAAACACAGAAAGACATTGTATCAAATGGCCTGGCACGAGATATTGAATCAAGATATATTAGCAACTCTATACGCCTATTGGCCTGTACAGCTTCAAAGAAGCACCAGAGCAATGTTGTTGACAGGGTCTACACTACACAGAGTCTCCAGGGTGATTCTGCGAACTAGGTCAGTGGTACATTATGGGAAATTAAATAACAGAAGAGCACTACTCCTATTTCCTTCCATCATACTGTTTGCAGTGCTGTTAGATGGGAAATGGTTAGTTTAATAAGGGAAGTTAATAGAGGAACTCCTGTCAGATCTGTGGTTCTGGGTGGAGGTTAACATTCCTGCTCAGTGGAACCTGAGAGGGTCAGTGATGTCTCTGATCTCTATCAGTACTGGTAACAATGACTCCCATTGAGAGACCGGGAGTCCATAACTAACAGTTATTCCAGTATCTTTTACTCCAATCATCTGAACAAAAATGTTAAATGGTCATCCTGGAAAGTACGTTTTATGCCTGGCACACTGTAAAAGGACTGAATGTATGTTAAAACAAGAGATAAGATGAGAGGTTGCGCGACAGTGTCGTTCGGAAATAAGCCAGAGAGCAAACTTACTTGTAGGGGAGGACGTTGGGGTCTTTGTAGGTCAGAACACACTCCAACGCTGCCCTCTGGATCTGCTGGTCCTGGTGACACAGCAACTGAACAGAGACACACAGTCACACACTGATAGGAGTACACTGACGGAGACTACCTACTGTTTAGGTAGATAGGCTGTTAACGGGTCAGATGAGTAAGTTTAATGGAGTATTCAGTCAATGCAGGCTAAATAGGCATATAGTATGACTGGTGAGAACAGCTGAGAGTAAATTGATGATGATAGGTGAGATGGGTAAGTTTACCTGAGTATACAGCTCATTGAGGCTATTCTCCAGGTACAGAGAGCGAGGGTTGGTGAACTTGGCAAACACCTTCAGGTGAGCGATGAGTTGCCTGTGGAAAGAAATTAAATGTCTTTAGAAAATGCTATATTTGCTTTTTTTTTTTCTAATGAAATAATACAACTGAAAAGGTATTGTGAAACAAAAATAAATGTTTTATTTACAAAATCTTCAACGTGATCATCTCTTACTTGGCTGCTGCTCTTTTTGGTGGCATCTTCCTCTCTGGTCTAGCCTCCTCCTCCTCTTCCTCCCTGTCCTCCTCTTCCTCTCCCGCCATGCTAGCCTCCATGGCAGCAGGACTGCTCCTCTTCCTCAGGTCCTGAGTAGGAGCTACCAGTAGGTCAGCTGGGTAAAACTCATTCCTGCCAATCATGAGAGGGGAGGGGCATAGGGTCAGTTAAGACAGTGGACAATGAGGCTCATTCTCAAAAACCTTTCCTAGATTTATTGCATCTTGTCTCCTCCTCCTCAAAATGAAAAGATCAGAGGTTCCTCTCTGTATGAGGGCAGTGTAGTGTGTAAGGCTGCAGTATCTAGTCATGTGTAGGGTATAGCATAGGACTAACCTGATGAATCGTAGCATCAGTGGACTGAGCTCCCTACTGCGTGGTTCTACACGGTCAGGGACCAGAGCCATGGCCCTCCACAGCAGGCCCCTGAAGTTAGTGAAGTCTGTCCTCTCGCTGGGGTCAGAGGTCATCTTCAGACGCTGCAGGAACAGCACCCCCACGTCCCCGCTCTCGATGACATCACAGCCCGGCTCCCCTTGCAGCTCCGAGCCTCCATCTTCGCATTCTTCATCATCGTCACCTTCACGCAGCTCTTTTTCTGTTAGACAGAAAATGTACTTTATAGTTTTATCCGTCAACACAAATAGCTCATCACAGTGTTTAAAAAAACAGATCACACATGAGCACACACTCACCAGCAAGACCTGCCACCAACTCCAGCTGCTCATGGTAGACCTTCCAGAAGTCTTTGTTTTCCATTCCTCTGGCATGGGTCCTGGAGAGAGAGACAACACAAGGAAGAGATTAAATGTGTTACTTGGGGTTAAAACGTCATAGAGTATAATACTTTAGCTTTGTTGTGTGTTTTGTGTACTTACACTATGAGTTCAATGACTGGATCCCACAGGGGTTTGAAGTTGATGAACAGCATGGAAATAAGATAGCGTAGAGGCACCTGCAAATGGAAGATGCAGAACTTAACCATCCACTATGATAATCAAACATGAATCGATGTTCTAAATCTACGTTCTAGGTTCCAAATCTAAGTTCTATGTTCTGGGTACCTGTTGGAAGGTCCCTTGTTGCCCCTGGGGTAGTGATCTCTGCACCAGGTCGTGTCTGAGCTTCCTGAGGTGCAGCAGCTTCTCTCTGTAGTCCTGCACTGAGGCAGGGACCAACTCAGCCTGAAAACACACTGCAAACACAGGCTGGATCTCCACACTCTCCTCACCCTGAGAACACAGAGAATCAAGTTCAAACGTGTTATTATTGTCCATTTAGACTGAAATGGAAAATTCTCTCAATTATCTTCTGCCATGCTAATGAATTCAATTAACTTGAACAAATAAAGTCAGAATTATCCATTTACAAGACATCATTTGATTGTTCTGTACCAACCTCTGACGGTTTGAGCTCTGCCTCAAAGTGGGTCAGAATCCTCAGAGTCAGCAAGCGGATCTGAGGGAGGAAGCGTGGTGGAGTTATTTGACAGTTGAATCACAACTAATAAAAGCACCCAAAATAATTACATCTAAACAAATAATTAAATATACTTCCATACTTTGGAGCTGTTGGAGGAGAGGTTGACGTGCAGCATCTGGTGCAGGTCGAGCAGTGCACTGTGGGATAGGTGCTCGGAGCAGCCGTTGACTGACAGCCGGGTGTAGTAGAGGTCTCCTAGCAACAGAGCCGACATGTCTGTAGGGAACTTCCTGTGACACACAAAAACACAGGAAGTTGATCAGGGTCAAAGTCAACCAGTTTCCAGATTATATAGCCAAACATTCATGGCACCAAAAAACCCACACAGATTTACTGTACCAATCCAAAGCTTTATCTCTCGTCACAGCAGTTATTCACACTAAATGGAACTACTCTCCAAGAGTTTGTGATATTTCTCCACTCTACTTACTGCATGATGGTCTTGACCCGCTCCACTGGCACCAGGGAGAGCACCTCAGCAGATCCATTCAGACTGAGCAGAGAGCTGAGGGCCTGCCTGGCCACAAACAGACCACCTGGATGGAGAGAGGACAGAAAAAGGGAGAGATCTTTATTGTTCCAGCTCGTGGGTTACTACTGGAGGGATGGTTAGGAGTTAGAACAAATGTGCATTGAATGGAACACAAGGTTATTCTGTATATCAGATAAGAGCAAACAAGGGCAGTACATACCTTTTCCGAGCGCTTCACTCTCCACATTCAGTAGCAGGCGATTGATGAGGGCGGTCAGACTGGGAACGACACTCCCTGCTGCCAGCGGTCTGAGATGGGGCAGGAGGACCAGGGCTGCCCAGGGCAGGGACAGGTCAGTGATGGTATGGTTCTGGTCCTGGGGTAGGCTGATCAGCGAGAGGATCAACTCTGGTACTGACACCTTCTCTGTCCCATCACCTGGCTCCTTACTGGGGGTATTTCCGGTGAAGACCAGGGGGTAGATCTCGAAGGCCATGGAGCCGTCTGTAGGGGGCGGGGCTTTGGCCAGGATGAGACTGACCAGCACCTCCAGGGCAGAGTGACGAGACACAGAGTCTACACTGGAGAACAACCCCTCTAGGTACTGTAGCAAGCTGGGCAGGAAGAACTGGAGACAGAGAGAGAAGAGGGAGGGAGGGGTGAGGATAGATGGAGAGAGAGAGGGAGGGAGAGAGATGAAGGGAAAGGCAGAAAAGAGGAGAGAGAGGGAGAAAGAAAGATGAAAGGAGTGTCAGAACGGAGAGAGAGAGATTATGTTAATCTATGTCCTGTGAAGGGAGCTTACTCTTTTGGAGTCAGCTAGAATGAAATTGCCTGGTGTATTGTTGATGAGATTACTTGATGTACCTGTTCAAACCGTTTCATGGTGAACATCTCCTTAGTGAACTCCAGTATCAGGTCCTGGTCCATCCCACTGCTGAACACCATTTTGACCGTGTCCTGTGTGACTATGTTTGGTAGTGAGACATTCTCCCCCAGCAGTAGAGAGGAGATGATCTGGAGCACTAGTCTACAGCAGGGTCCTGGGAGGGCTGGGGTCTGGAGCAACTCATGAACTGTCTACAGAGGCACAGAGAAGAACAAAAACATCAGAGGAATCTATATATAATATGACACTAACAGTCAGATTTGAACCCAAACTGGGTTCAGGCAAAAGACACATTTCTGTGATCTGAAAATCAAATGGACACAACGTATTCTTTTTTTTTTTTTTTTATATATACAGTATAAACGGAGACGGTCAAATACATACAGACACACACAGCCTCTGAATACAGAACATACTCTATGCTTATTCTTAGTATTACTTATTCATGTCGCACAGATAAATGGTGACCGCGGGCCATACCTGACAGACAGTGTCTGGCTTGGTGATCTTGTCTCCGTTGCGGTGTCCCACCAGGGTGTGGAGGATGAAGAGCAGACGCTCCAAGTGCTCGGAGGCCTGACCCTCCTCCTCCTCATCAACAACATCTGTCTTATTCAGGTTCCGTAGGACCTCACTCACACACGTCTAGAGAAAGATAACAACAGGATTTAGACACGGGACACGCCCTCAGTCACAGTTAAACAGCCCTGGACCAGGATAATGAACAGTATCACTCAAACAGTCCGACAGAGACATGACAATAACCTATCTGTCACACAGACTTTGAGACAGACAAGACAACCCATCATTCAGCCACACAGACCTACAAAGAGTTTACATTGGCACTATGCGGATCCAGCTGTGAGGTAAAAATACTCCCTAACCTGTAGAGACTCCCACAGAACCAGGAAGTGCTCTTTTTCTACGTGATTGGCTGCTGCCTGGGCCATTTGATCCAGTGCGTCTCTGACAGCATCCCAGGGTAGAGAGACTTCCTGGTCAGCGCTTGGTCCTAGCTTCCTCAGAGCTACTGGGAGGGTCTGGAGGAGAGAAGGAGGATGTGAATGAAAGATCTGTCATAAATAATATAAGATCAACTGAATATACATGCATTAGACTCCACTTTGTTAACCTTTTTCTCAGAGTCTAATCTTTTATTTCCTACTGTATAACCTAATGAACTCACCGTGCCAGCGCAGGAGTGGAACATGTTGCGGACTCCTTTACACATCTCAAACAGCAGCTGTCCCACCCCCTCTGCCTTCCCAGGGTGCTCCTCCAGGTCTAGGAACATGTGGTTGAGAAGGGCGTCAAGGTCTGGCACCTGGGGGGTATAAATGCAATTTATTCAATCTATTCAATTAGATCTGATTTTGTCACCACTGGATGTCAACTAGGCATGACCACAACACACCTTTCTCATCAGAAAAGAAAAACTCTCTGCCGCAAACTTTCGTATGTGTTCCTTCTTGTGCGCCAACAGTGTGCTGTACAAGCTGTAGGGGGGAAGGAGAGATAATTAAACACTGATGTAATCTATACATATATGCCATAGATAGGAAACAATAACAACAATAATGTTAGAGCTTCTAGCACCATCTGTCTACTCCTACTGCAGCCAGGTAGGCCTAAGGCCCAGTCTCACCTGTACATTTTGGTCATGTCCTTGACCATGAGTCTCCAGAGGTACTTGTAGAGGTAGGAGAGGCAGGTGAAGGCCCACTCCAGTATCTCTGTGTCCTGGGTCTCCAGGAGAGAGGTTATGAGGACGAAGAAGTCAGGGAAGTGGGGGTAGAAATCCATCTGGAGGTCCCTAGCCAGCTGGACCACCAGGCTGATGGCGAAGGGAGACAAAAGTCATGATTTGCAGGGCACACACACTGCAAGCAACAATGTTGCCAATGAATAACAAACATTACTTTCATTTCCACATGACATGTGTGCATTCTTTACCGGCAGATTTTGAAACATATTCTACAGAAAATGTCCTATTGAATTTGTACCATCCTCCTCAGCCCCACACTGTAACCTCAGGTACACACACACACACACAGTAAATTCAAGTACACACACAAACACAGTAATCTCAGGTACACACACACACACACACAGTCATTTCAGGTACACACACACACACAGACAGTCATCTCAGGTACACACACACAGTAATCTCAGGTACACACACACACAGTAATCTCAGGTACACACACACACAGTAATCTCAGGTACACACACACACACAGTAATCTCAGGTACACACACAGTAATCTCAGGTACACACACACACACTGTAACCTCAGGTACACACACACACACTGTAATCTCAGGTACACACACACACAGTAATCTCAGGTACACACACACACACTGTAATCTCAGGTACGTACTCCAGTAGCGGCTGGCAGGCCAGGCTGTTCTTGGTACTGAGGTGAGTCTTCAGGCTCTCCACTATAGACCTCTGATGGAACACCAGAAGGTTGAAGGACTGGCTCTTGTTGGACACCTCCCTCAGGAAGGTGGCTGAGGAACAGAGAAATGTGTTTCAGATTAGTCACTGGGTTCTGCTCATAGGGACATGTTTGTAAGCTTGACAAGGAAATCTATTGGGCCAGATGTGATAGTAGTAGTGAAGCTCCTTGGTGTGATGAGTTATGTACTCACTGAAATGCTCAGTCAAATTCAGGTCCCTCCATTTTGTCAGTCCTTCTGAAAAGTAGGTGTCTATCTCCTACAACAGAAAACAGTGTTACATGCCATTGAATGATATTAACAACGGAAAAAACATCATTTTGAACAAATGTCACAGAGAATACATACCTCATCATAACTCCCAGTTCTGTCAATGCGATGGATGACATCGATATTGACATTGGCAAGCCTTTCAGCAAACGTGAGAAACTGTAAAGCAAACGATCAAGAGTTAACAGTAGCTACTACAGTGAGCGATACAGTAATGAAATGACTTGCTAGCTAGGCTACATATAATTTGTAACATATCCAAGCAGCTACGCTTGTTGGTTATTTCAACGTAGCGTAGTAATAGGAAAACATGTTTAATTTCAAGCTGTTCAGACATTATGAAAACCAGGAATAACAGATAGCTATGCATATTAACATTTTTTTTTTTTTTTCAATGTAATAGCTTAGCAGTCGTCGCTAGCTGGCTATGCTAACAACTGTGCTGCACAACCACAAGTTCCCAAAAGCAACACTCACCCTGAAAGTGTTCTCAGATTTATGATACGACGACTTGGATTTGATCTTCATTTTTGACCTGTCTCTTTTTCTGATATATGTATAAAAATAATGTAATCCACGATTCAAAGTATGAAAACAACAATTAATAGTCTAAATGTGTTTACACCCATGCCCGGTGGTGGGGCGCAGCCATGTTGAATGAAGCATCATGGGAACGTTTTGCTTTTCCACGTGGTGAGAAGGCACAGAAGGGGGCGTGGTTTTGCAACAACTTCAGGATGACTTTCTGGATACTTTTGTATCCCAATGACAGCTCAGTCAGTGTCCATACAGTGTCCATACCATTGGAGGCTGCTGAGGGGAGGACCGCTCATAATAATGGGTGGAACAGAGCAAATGGAATGGCATCAAACACATGGAAACCGTGTGTTTTATGTATTTGCTACCATTCCACCTATTCCGCTCCTGCCATTACCACAAGCCCATCCTCCCCAATTAAGGTGCCACCAACCTCCTGTGGTCCATACATGTACTAACTAGTGGACATGACATACTGGACACTAGACACATTATACTGGACTGGACATGTTAGTATAAAAATAGCTATATTTTCTCTGGGGTCCAAAGTTTTTCAGAAGTGTGTGTGTGTCTGTGTCTGTGTCTGTGTGTGTGTGTGTGTGTGTATGTGTGTGCGTGTGTGTGTGTGTGTATACGCATGCGTATGCCTCTGTGTGTGTCCGTGTGTACCAGCCATCCAGGGGGTAGGGCTGATGACAGGGGTAGTTATCGGTCCAGCCAGGAGAACAACGGAACAATCCCAGCTCTTGATTTTGTGAAGAGGTGGAGAGGTGGAGAGGTGTGCTCACTGCTACCTGCCAGTAATGTCTTTGAGAAACACACAGGCACAGTAAAGACTTCAGAGCTCACTGCTATCCTGTTTCAGCTCATATCCTGTCTGTGACAAGGACATACGGACAAGGACATCATTCTATCTGAAAGCACAGCAGCCTACTGTAAGCTATCATAGATGTCATAGAGAAATACTAATTATCTGCAGTTCATTGCATTCCAATAACAGAAACCACAAGGGACTACAAGTTCGGGAATAGGACACTCTTCCAGTGAGTACAGTAGCCTATAACTCACAATCAGAAGGCTACAATGGCAGCCTCTCCAGTGGTTGGATCCTTTGTGGCTGGGGACTATGCTGTCTTTGCTCTGATGCTGCTGGTGTCTGCAGCCATCGGGGTGTACTATGCCATCGTCGGAAGGGGCCAGAGCAGCTCCAGAGAGTTTCTGATGGGGGGCCAGAGTATGACAGCCGTACCTGTGGCTTTGTCCCTGACTGCCAGCTTCATGTCGGCTATCACAGTGCTGGCCACCCCAGCCGAAGTGTACCGATACGGGGCAAGCTATGGCCTCTTCAGCCTCTCCTATGTGCTGGTGGTGGTGGTCAGCTCAGAGGTCTTCCTCCCTGTCTTCTACAGGCTGGGCATCACAAGTACATATGAGGTGAGAATCAATCCACTCTGTTGAGTTGAGTTATGTTCTATTCAACAGAAATAGTATAACATGTTTGGTAGAGATTAGCCAGAGTAATTGCAATGCAAATTCTAAGCAATTCTAAATCCCTGAAATAAATATCTTGGGGGTCATAAAGTTTTGTTCAAAGTGACCAATTGACCAACGCAATCTATTCAGGAAATAAAATACTGACCAAATTTTGTAATCTTTCTATAAAACAAACAGATTGCTGTTTCAGGTAAAAGTCATAGTAGTCACGGTTCCATTACTTAATATCTCTGCACATGTCCATTCCTTAGTCTTGTTGAGATGCTGATGATTAGATTATGATTATGATTCAAAGAGCTCAAATATGAGTCAGTATTTTATCTTCATCAGCTGACTGAAACAATCCTGGCACAGTCGTGTCATCTTATCCTCTGGCTGAATATACTCTTGCTTTGTCTTTTGGGCTTCACACATGAACTAATGTAATTGTCCTTTCCATGTGAAATGTAACAGAAAAGTGTCATATTTCATTATTTCTAAATGTTTTCTCTTCATTGTCATCATTCTGCAGTATCTGGAGATACGGTTCAACAGAGCCACCCGTCTGTTAGGGACAGTGATGTTCATTGTTCAGACTGTGAGTACCTTATCACAACACTCTCCCCCCTCCATACTATGAATTACATGAACATGAGAACAACCCTTGTACTACAGGTGATTATAAGAGCCACATCTTATGTCTCTCTGTCTCACAGATACTCTACACGGGTATAGTCATTTATGCTCCAGCTCTGGCATTAAACCAAGGTGCAGTAGTCTCTAAAAGTAATAAAATAATTTAATTTCAAGCCCCATCGGCATTGAGTGCACTTGAAACCACTCCTCTGCTAAATGATGTCAATCTCTCTAGCTTTTCCTTTCTGCATCTCTCTTTTTCCGTCTCTCTCCAGTGACTGGGATGGATCTCTGGGGTGCTGTCATTTCAACAGGAGTGGTCTGCACCTTTTACTGCACTATGGTACTGGACAGACAGTGATGTCAATAAATAATGCTATAAACATTTATTTTATTAACATTTATCCCCTGATGTAAGGGAAATACAGATGGAGGTTAGATTGAGACATGATTTGTGTAGCACTGTGTGGTGACCTTTGACCCATATATTTAACATGGCTGGGTGTGTATTCTGACAGGGCGGTCTGAAGGCGGTGGTGTGGACGGACGTGTTCCAGGTGGGCATCATGGTGGCAGGCTTCCTATCTGTCATCATCAGAGCCGTGGTCCTGCAGGGAGGAGTCTCCAACATCCTCAACCACGCAGAGTTCGGAGGACGACTCAACTTCTGGGAGTGAATAGATTGTCATGTAGATTATAGATGTAAAAGAGCAGGAGAAGAGTCTGCACCTGGACTTTGTGGAGTATTTTGGTGCAAAATACAGTATAAGACATTGCAAAAGGGTGTACTGAATGTCTCTCTCTCTCTTTCTCTTTCTCTTTCTCTCTCTGTTTCTGTCTCTGTCTCTGTCTCTGTCTCTGTCTCTGTCTCTGTCTCTGTCTCTGTCTCTGTCTCTGTCTCTGTCTCTGTCTCTATCTCTCCTTTGTAGCTTTGATGCTAGTCCACTGAGGAGGCACACCTTCTGGACAATCACGTTTGGAGGCACGTTTGTCTGGACCAGTATCTACGGGATCAACCAAGCCCAGGTGCAGAGATACATCTCCTGCAAATCCATGATTCACGCCAAAATGTGAGTCATGATCTTCCTGGAAGGATAGAGTAGAGCATGAAGATCTATTTCTTGTTCAGCCCCAGTGTTTAAAGTGGAACTGACAGCATTTTAGTAACATGAAATCTTATTAAAATCTGTTTAAATACACCCCCAGGAAGAACATGACACTTTCGGGAAAATAATCTGACAAGCGAGCAATTTTAACGTTTTCATAAATTCTTAGAATGTTTGAGAATTACGTATACTAAGGCATTTGTGAAAATTCTATAGAAATATAGAGTGGGAAAGCGGCAGAGCGTTTGGACAATTAATAGACACTGCAGTAAATAAAATCTAATAACAACATCTGTCTCGTCCAAGACCGGAGTCTACACAGACCAGTGCGCAATATCCAATCAGAGCTACAGTAGGCCTTTATACAAACAAGCCATTTGCCACAAGGGCCCGCCATCATTCACTTTGAACTAGACTGTGTGTGTACCAGTGGTGGAAAAAGTACCCAATTGTCATACTTGAGTAAAAGTAAAAATACCTTAATAGAAAATGACTCAAGTAAAAGTGAAAGTAACCAAGTAAAAACCTACTTGAGTAAAAGTCTAAAAGTATTTGGTTTTAAATATACTTAAGTATCAAAAGTAAACCAGACGGTACGATTTTCTTGATTTTAAAATTTAGGGATAGCCAGGGGCACACTCCAACACACATAATTTACAAACAAATACTTTGTGTTTAGTGAGTCCTCCAGATCAGAGCCAATAGGGATGACCTGGGATGTGAATTGGACCATTTCCTGTCCTGCTAAGCATTCAAAATGTAACAAGTACTTTTGCGTGTCAGGGAAAATGTATTGAAGTAAAAGTAAAGTAGTCAAAAAATAGAAATATTAAAGTACAGATACCTCCAAAAAACTACTTAAGTAGTACTTTAAAGTATTTTTGCTTAAGTACTTTACACCGCTGGTGTTTACAGGCAGTTGGAACAGTGCAACTTTAGATTGTTAACTAGAACGCATTCGCCAAAAGCCACAAAATACACCTGAATGGATTTCTGCAAATATGTAAACACCACGGGAGTCCTCTTACATTTGGGAACTTTACAGTCCTATTGATCAAACAACCATGAGAAGGTAGTCTCTCTCTCCCTCAGTTATGCACATCAACAACAACAGGCCTCAGTATGCACATCAACAACAACAAGATCAACAACTAATGCTAGCCAGAGCAAGACAAGCTCAAATCTAACAAAGGAACATTAGATAAACCCTCTCAAACTTTTTCAGCTAGTTGGCTGTCAAAATTACACTGATAAACGATGGGGAAGTGTAGCCTACTTGTCCTTCTGATAAAACACCTTCTCTCTCTCCCGCCCCGTTCTCTCTCTCTTTCTCTCTATCTCTCTCTCTTTCTCTCTCTCTGTATTCTCTTCCAGGTCTCTCTACATAAACCTATTAGGACTGTGGGTCATCATGCTGTGTTCTGTGTTTGCGGGGCTGTGTCTGTACTCCGTCTACAAGCACTGTGACCCCTGGACAGCAGGCATGGTGTCTGCTCCAGATCAGGTTGAGGACACAAACCAGGAAATAACACTTTAATAAAAACCGCAGGTTGACGTTTATTGGGATGAGTCTTGTCCTGGAGGCAGAACTGAGCGATTTCTGCTAGATGGGCCAGGTTAGGATTAGGTATTAGGGTAAGCAGTGTGGTTAATGTTAGGGTTAAGATTTTATGACAGATTTTGTGGCTGCGCCAGCTAGTGGCCACTCTGTAGAGCTGCCACCAGAACAAGATTCATGACAAAAAACGCTAACCTGCATAAATACCAGGCACTGTCAATATTACTATTCTGCCAGACTGCCACTTTACAGATATATTTTCTAAAATATTTGTTTAAACTGATAACATTCACAGCCACTAAGTGTAACCACCTTAAACTGTTTTTTCCCCTCGTCGGCCACACATCCAGATTGTTCCCAGGAAAAATATCCAAAATAACCCAAACCCAGTGGTACCACTCAGACAGACACTGACCAGCCCTCTTTCTCTGTACAGCTGATGCCATATATGGTGCTGGACATCCTGAGAGACTACCCTGGAGTACCAGGATTGTTTGTGGCAGCAGCCTACAGTGGGACGCTAAGGTTACCATTCCCATCTAATACTTTATCTTAAATTTGATCATTGCTACTGTTTATAATGTTAGTATGTTACATTGTTATATGTCTACTAGATTAAGTACCCTTTTGTTACTATTTGTACTGTATGCAATATCTCAAAGTTCATAATATCACTACTATGACTTAATATTTACTCTCTCAGCCTATGGTGGGACACAAAGATGACTATTTCCATAGCACTCACAAACACTGTATACAGGTTTTATTAATGTTTATAATGTTATTTTACATCATGTTATATTTCTAGGTAAATAATGGCACTATATTTGCTCTCTCTTGTCCACAGTACGGTATCGTCCAGTGTCAATGCTCTGGCTGCCGTGACTATTGAAGATCTGATCAAGCCGTACACACACATGTCAGAGAAACACCTGTCCTGGAGCTCTAAAGGCCTCAGTGAGTGTCTAATATCAATAGGTGTCTTTGCATTTACCACAGAGCTCAGAGAGTTTAATGATATATTCATCTTCCTATTGATATATTCTTGCTGATATTAGAAATGAATAAACCATGATTTATCATGATTTTATCTGCTATCCCTATGATCCATTCTAGGCTTTCTGTATGGGGCTCTCTGTATTGGAATGGCTGGCATAGCCTCACTAATGGGAGGTCTGCTGCAGGTATACGATACAACAAAAGGAGTATGTACTTCTACATAAAATGTGTTCAGTCTTGAGGTACGCAACTCTAAAATATGTCTCTGTCTCCCCCTGTAGGCAGCTATCAGTATCTTTGGGATCATCGGAGGGCCTTTACTGGGTCTCTTCTCACTGGGGATCCTCTGTCCATACGCTAATGCCACAGTCAGTGCAGTCTCTTTAACAAAAGCAGGATTATAAGCATACAACCAAGCTAACTATTAGCTAATCTCTCTGAAAGTTGATGTTGAAGTGTTGATGTGTTCTATCTGTGTGTTCTGTGCTGCAGGGGGGCTTGGCTGGTCTGCTCTCTGGGCTGGTTATGTCTCTGTGGGTGGGGATAGGGGCCCAGTTTTACCCTCCTCTACCAGAGCAGAGCAGGCCTCTAGGTCTGACCACACATGGTTGTAACTTCACAACCGCAGCCGACGCGTTCAACTGGACCGCATCCCCAACAGAACCAAGCCTATACACTACGGTACTACAGCAAAATACAGCAGAGAGGTAAGTTGTGGGCTTCAGTATCTTTGGTTAAGGACAGGTCACACTTTTGCTGTAGGGAACAAGTATGTTAGGAGCCTTGTCATGTTAAAATAGCGAACTGCTTCAGCTGTAAACAATATATGCAACGTTATAGCTGTTGGATGCCACTATGTTTGTCTCATCTACAGACCCTTCCTGGCTGATACCTGGTACTCCCTGTCCTATCTCTACTTCAGTCCTATTGGGACACTTACAACACTGGCTGTTGGACTTGTGGTCAGTCTACTTTCAGGTACTCTTTCCCAAATGGTAGTGTTTCTTCTTGCCATATTTCATGTCTAATTAACATATTTATTTTACACTAAAATGTGTCTCTTTCCAGGGGGTATGAAGCTGAAGTTGGAACCAAGGGTGACTTTGATGAAAGAAGATACAATGTTATTTTGCTTTTACAAGCACTTTAAAGAAAGGGTAAGTGATATGTGTGTTTTCAATAAATAACCTCCAAGACGTTCTCTCTTCCAACCACTTTCCTGTATTAATTTAGCTCTCATCCATACCTAGGCCATGAGACGAGCAGGAAAGCTGGACCTCACAAAGAACAGAGAGAAGAAATTTGGAAACAATAACCCCGGCTTCGGCAACGTCCACGAGTTGGATTTCACAAAGAGCAGTCTTCCATAACATGCTGATAAAACCATGACTTAACAGTTTCTCTTTCTTCTCATATTTCTCCCTCCCCAGTGCTGCTGTTTTTCACGACTCATGAATGTCCTGACAGATGGTATCAATAGCTCATCTATATTCTCATATTTCTATGAATGTAGCATACATCACCAACTTGAAAAGTTAGGATTGTTAATAATGAAATATCTTTGCTTGACTTTTATGTGAAATGTTTCTCATTTATGTTAAGATAGGGCTATCAGTGTTGTACACTTAAAATAAACATTCATTTGAAATAGCTGTGTCTCATATTTATACTTATATAATTAAATTACATTGTACAAGTTATCAATACATTCTATCATGTATTATTTACAATTATGTACACATGAGAGAACTGTAGGCATTTGGTGGACTTGATTCCACAACTCGAGGTGTGTAAGAGTGGCAAGTGTAGCTCATAACACTTTTGTCTGTAATATATAGCTAACATTTGTGTCTAAGGACGTTTGTGTTGCTAATAACACTCTTCTTCATGGACGGCTAAACTAAAACTTGCATACTGAAGATTCAGCTGCCAAATATCTAGGCTATCAGTCTATTGGTCTGCCTATATTCAGCATGGCGGACAATTATTCTTCATAGTAACGCTTCTTCATGGCTCTGTACTTCCTTAGATAGTACAGGGCCTCCAGTTCCTTTATCACAAACTCCCCACGGTCGACTAGCGTCTTGATCTCCTTAGGGTCTGTGACATCTTTGTTCTTCATAAAGGCACTCTTCAGACGTTCCCTGAAGTAGTCTGCTCCTTTGGGGTATTCCCGTCCCAAAAACAGTAGCTGTCAATGGAAGGAGACAGGTTACCAATGATTATTCCAGGCTTTGGGGATTGTTTTGGAAAGACAGCTAAATATTGCATGAGTGGAAGCAAATCTCAGATACTGAAAGTAAGTGCGGGTAACAACAACGGGTGGGTGCACTGGCAGTAGTCAGTGTTGAACTTACATTCTTGTACAGCTGTCTAACCTCACTCCTCAGAGGGTTGGCCATGTCACTGCCTGAGACCGTATCAGCCTTCACTACTGGGATGGAAGAAAAGGTCAGAAGATACAACAGGGGATTTAGTATACAGCAGCTGATGATTATGTAAAACAGCTCATGAAATGTGCCTATGTCTGATTGTTGTCACACATCATATATCCTGTGAGCCTCACAATCTTAGCTGTTTCATGCATACATTTTAGCTTTACCTTGGTTCACTTAGCATGTAGGTTAGGTAACAGTACACCTTGCGACTAGTTAACAAAGCGAATGATTAGCTAGCTGGCTAGTTAATTGGCAGCTGAAATTCAACCAATAATTGTCTTTTGACATTGTCTCCCAGCACAACGTCAACAGACAATTACTGGTTGAATCGCAGCTAGCTAATTAGCCAGTGGTGGAAAAAGTACTCAATTGTCATACTTGAGTAAAGGTAAAGATACCTTAACAGAAAATGACTCAAGTAAAAGTTACCCAGTAAAATACTACTTGAGTAAAAGTCTAAAAGTATCTGGTTTTAAATGTACTTAGGTACAGTGGTAGAACAAGTACTCAATTGTCATACTTGAGTTAAAGTACAAAGTAAAAGTTATACATCAAATTCCATATATTAAGCAAACCAGATGGCACACGATTTTCGTATTATTTTTAATTACGAACAGACAGGGGCACATTCCAACACTCAGACATAATTTACAGACACAGTATTTGTGTTTTGTGACAGTGTGTTTTGTGAGTCCGCCAGATCTGAGGCAGTAGGAATGACAAAGCGTTATATTGATAGGTGCCATAATTCTGTCCTGCTTGGGCATTCTAAATGTAACGAGTACTTTTAGGTGTCAGCGAAAATGTATGGAGTAAAAAGTACATTATTTTCTTTAGGAATGTAGTGGAGTAAAATTAAAAGTTGTCAAAAATATAAATAGTAAAGTAATGTACAGATACCCAAAAACACTACTTAAGTAGTACTTTAAAAAAAAGTATTTTTACTTAAGTACTTTACACCACTGTAATTAGCTAAACACCCTCGGTTATAAAAACATTCATTGTGATTAATTCACACGATATAATTAAGATTCCATTACATTATAAGGTCCCTTATCGATAAATCCTTGCAGTTAAGTAGTGTCGATAGCTGGTTACTTCGCCCTTCGTCCACACAAGTTCAAATAGGAGTTCATAAACAACGCCGTAAATCGTTTTACATGTCGCAAACCAAAACATTGACCTACTGCGCGTGCTTCCGGTGGCATTTCCATGGTTACTTGGACGTGAAAAGAGTTGACAGATATGCCCACCAAGAGAAGATGACCAGTTTTCCAACAAATGTTATTTCATTACCTATTTAGCAAGCTAACCAGAGTTAGAAAATGAATATTGTGGTTAGTTTAACATGTTTACAAGCCAAGTAGCTAGTTGCATAAGTAGCCAGTTGTTACTAGCCAGAGTAAGTTAGATTACCATTTAGCTAGCTAGATAGGACTCAAGGTGAGCAAGTGACTGCAAATCAGCTTCCTTTTACTGCAAGCATGCTGCAAGTCTCAGTTTTGCTTCTCCTTTGCTTCTTTCAGCCTTATCTTACTACAACTAAATACTATATCTCCTAAGTTTCTATTCTCTATGTTATTTCCTTGTAAGCCATCCAAGGATGCAAAGGTAACTTTGTTACTTTTGTTATGAATAGCATAATATCTCTCTCTATATTAGATTCATGAGAGATATTAGACCTAGTAGATATAGGCCTAGCTAGCTAAATTGAATATAATATAAGTTTCAATTTCTCCCCAGCATCTGAGTCTTTAGATATGTTCTTTACCTTCATTCACTTTTGCAATGCCCACAAATTGCAAGCATACAGTAGCTTGCAAATGTGTCTATGGTCACATTTATGTTCATCAAGTTGAATTGTTGATTTGGTTCAAGTCTGCCAAAAAGAAAGGAGGCAAGCTCATTAAGGCTGAGAAGGAGCGACTTCAGAAAGATGAGAAGACAAAAGGAGGAGGGTACTCTAGGACTTCTCATTTCATTCAATCAGAATGAGAGTGCATCGAGCATATCATGTCAACCCTGTTACCCATAGATAGGCTAGACATTTGTTTTGTTCTTCATAAAGGCACTGTTCAGACGCTTCCTGAAGTAGTCTGCTCCTTGGGGGTATTCCCGTCCTAGATACAGTAGCTGTCAGTGGAAGGAGGCAGGTTACCAGTGATAATCCCAGTGCTTTGGGGATTGTTTTGGACAGACAGCAAAAGATTGCATGAGTGGAAGCAAATATCATATTGAAAGTAAGTGTGGGTAACAACAACAAAGCGTGGGTGCATTGACAGCAGTCAATCAGTGTTGAACTTACATTCTTGTACAGCTGTCTAACCTCTCTCCTCAGAGGGTTGGCCATGTCACTGCCTGAGACTGTATCAGCTTTCACTACTGGGATGGAAGAAAAGGTCAGAAGATACAACAGGTTAATTACTATTCAGCAGCCGATTATGTAAAACAACAGCTCAGAAAGAAATATGCTTATGTCTGATTGTTGTCACATCAAATATCATGTGAGCCTTACAATCTTTAGCTAGCTATGTGTCATGCATAGTGCATTTTAGCTTATTTTACCTTGGTTCACTTAGCTGGTAGGTTAGGTAACAGTACAAAGTCTGCGGCTAGGTAGCAAAACTCTGGGAAACCGAATGATTAGCTAGCTAATAATAGTAATTGGCTAAACACCCTCGGTTATAAAAACATTCATTAGCTTTGTGATTAATCGATTTATTCACACGATATAATTTAGCTTTCATTACATTATAGCTAGGCTCCCTTATCGATAAATCCTCGCAGTGCAGAGTTGAAAGCTGTCTACCATGCTGAAAACTGGCTACATGGGAGCATTACGTCAAACATCGCGTCGATTCCAGGGTCACGGCTAGAAGGGATCCAGCTTTTGTCAAATTAACATCAAATTTTGACTTTTCATAGCAGGTTAGGATAATTTAAGCAGCAGGTTAGGATAGTTGGGTTAAGGTTTAAAAAATGACATTTTTACGTTAATTGGACAAAAGTTGGATCCCTTCTTCCCTCACCCCCCCATAAAAAAGAAAAAAAAGAAGGTGGTTGTCCCACTGGCTATCATATGTTGAATGCACCAATTTGTAAGTCGCTCTTGATAAGAGCATCTGCTAAATGATGTAAATGTTCTAGCAGTGACCCGATTACACCTGGTGGAGGGACGAGCGTCGCATATGAGTGACACGATCTGACTACTAGACATTGGGCTTGTTCGACGTTGCAGGCAACCGACAGTGCAGGCGACTGCCGACTGATGCCCGTTCTCATGTTAGTCGGAACTAAGAAACTCTGATTTTTCCGACTTGCTGATTCGTTGAATGCGGCACGTGTATTAGTACAACCAGTTAGCAAGTAGGACATTTCCGAGTTTCCTAGTTCCAACTAGCACATGAACGCGGCATGACTGATCTACAAAAAAACCGTGCATCATAAATAACTACTCATTGGGCGCGTTTGAGTGGTAAGGCTAAAGCAACCGACTGTAGAGGAAAGTCGAGGAGTGAAGTCGGGGGAGGTGCATCTGCGACAGACGAAAGTCAGACACTAATGTGGTTTTCCAACAGCAATGCTCAGATTAATATGGCAGTGTTGCCATTGTTTATACGTTTTTCTTTATAATGTCGAAAAAAACATGTCTTCAACCCCCATATCATACACTAACAAACTGAAATCATATGTGCGTACATTGTACAATCAATTAGTGTGAGGGCCTCAAACATCACATTAATTTGTCCACTGTATACATGAATCACGGCAAAGTTGGTTCCTGTTTCGATTATGTCTTTGGTTACTTTTGCATGAGTAAAAAAACAACAACTAATGATTAATTGACAATATACAGTACAATGCAGGCGATGGCTGCAGGATGAAGTTGGTGAAGAGCAACTGCAGAAACTTGCAGTCGACTGCAGTCAAAACTTCATGATCACATGATTTTTGTCAAGTTCATGCAGTCGACATGTAGGCGCAAGTCGGACAATTTTTATCCCCATAATGCAACACAATTTGGTCACCGACTTGACAAAAGTGATCGGCTCGAATGCGCCCATTATTATTTGTAGAGTCAGACAGTGGCCCTGTTCGAGAGCATAAAACGGTGTTGTATCATGGGTACATTTTGACTGACCGACTGATCTACAAATAATATTGAGTAGTTATTTATGATGCAAGGTGATTTGTAGATCAGTCAGTCTCGACTCGCCTTTAAAGCCGGCTGCAATGTCGAATGCACCCAGTCAGTCAGTCACAATTTACCCATGATACATAGGTATCCAATCAAAAACGCATATTTTGATCAATGGGTAAAATAATGGGCGCGTTTGACATTGCAGCCAGTTGAGACTGACTGATCTACAAATCACCTTGTATCCTAAATAACGACTCTTTATTATTTGTAGATCAGTGTGAGTCAGTCAGTCACAGTTTACCCATGATACGGTTTTGATCTTCTCGAACACGGCCAATATCTTACGTTAGATAGCACGAGGAGCGTCACTCCTCCGTGACGCCATCTGATCTGACGTGAGACGATATGCACCCGATGTATTGCCCCATTCAAAACAACTGGGAACTCGGAAAAAATCCGACTTCCGACTTGGGTGCATTTAAGACAACTGAGACTCGAAAAAAAAAAACGAGCTCCAACTTGGATAAATCGTTTTCAACGGTGATCCCACTCGGAATTCCATGTCGGGAACTCAGGCCTCTTTCTCGAGCGCAGACTTTGCGACCTGAAGATCATTGACGTCATGATATGACCTCGTATTTTTCCGAGTTCCCAGATGTCTTGAAAGCACAATAAGATAAAGTACATTATGGTTTGGATCCTCTCGAACACGTGCATACATGGACCTGTGTGTCAAGATTTTGATTGTATTACTTAATTAGCCTTTTTTTCTTATTTGTTTTGATTTTATCACTTAATTTGATTGTATGACCCATTTTTTTTATATAAAAAGGGCAAATGAAGTCATACAATCAAAATCTAACACGAGTTCATAAACAACGCCATAAATCGTTGTACATGTCGCAAACCAAAATATTGAACTACTGTGCGTGCGTTACCGTTTCCATGGTAACTTGGACGCGAAAAGAGTTGACGGCTGATAGATATCCCACCAAGAGAAGATGGTGAGCAGTTTTCAAACAAATGATAGCTACTTTATTATGTAGCTAGTGAGTAAGAAAATAAATATCTGGTTAGGTTGTTAAGATATTAAGTAGCTAGATACAGCTAGTTGCATAAGTACTTGCTCTGGCAAGTAACAAACTGGCTACATAGCTAGTTAGCTAACTCTGGTTTAGCTAGCTAAGTAATCTAGCTAACGTTAGCTAGCTAGCAAGCAAGTCACTGCAAATCAGCTTTCTCTTTACTGCAAGTGCTACTGCAATTATGATGCTGCTGCAAGTCTGTATTTTTCTCTTTTTGTTTCTTTCAGCATTATCTTGCTACAGCTAAATACTATATCCCCTAACTTTCTATTCTGTATGTTCTCTCCTTGTTAGCCACCCAAGGATGCAAAGGTGACTCTGTTAACTACTGTTATGAATAGCATAATATCGATTCATGAGAGATATAACATGCTAGACCTAGTAGATATAGCTAGCTAGCTAGCTAAATTGAATATAATAGCATGTTCTCAATTTCTCCCCAGAATCTCTGAGTCTAAGTTCTTTAGATAGCTATGTTCTTTACCTTCACACTCAACTTTTGTAATGCACACAACTTGCAATAATTCATTAGTTTGCAAATGTGTCTATGATCACAATTGATTACATTTGTTCATTAAGTTGAATTGTTGATTTGGTTCAAGTCTGCCCAAAAGAAAGGAGGCAAGCTCAGTAAGGCTGAAAAAGAGCAACTTCAGAAAGAGGAGGATGAGAGAAGACAAAAGGAAGAGGGTACTGTCATTTCTCGTTATCATTCAATCCATGACAAAACCTTTGTTGTATGCTAATGGTTGTATGTCTGTGTGTGCATTTGTACCGTTTGATCTGTGCTATTGAACTGCCATTTGTATTATGAGATGCTTCAATAGTATGCACAGTGATACATCAGTAAGACATCAGATACATTCATGGGGCTACTTCAATAGCATGTACTGTATGTTTGACCCATGACTCCTTTCCACCTCTGCTGTGTAGAGGCTTGACTCCTGGCTGAGAAAGAGGAGCAGGGGAGGCTGGAGAGAGAGAGGAAGGAGCAGGAGGAGCATCAGAGACTGGAGCTAAAGGTGTTACCATCACTGACCTTTATCATTCATGGTTATCGCTGTGTTTGTGTACGGAGAGGGCTCTTGAAGTTAAACCTGTCCATAATGTCCTAATGAAAAATAGTGATCATTGCTTGCTTTCTGTGACAGGACAAAGATCGCAGAGAGGACAAGCTGAACGAACTGCGTCATCTACTGGAAGAGAAACAGACTGCAGTCACCAAGTGGGAGACTGAGTCCAGAGAAAAAGCCAAGGTGTGTGATTGTTCTAAAGCTCTGGCCTGACTTTTGTGTAGTTACTGAAGATATTTGCCCTGATAGTCCTAGCCTTCATGTTATGGTTTTTAAACACCATGTCCAAGAGACTACCATAATGGCATGCCTTGGTAGACGTAGACATATAAACCAGATGAGCCCTATTTGACATTGTTAAAATCTGCTCTTATGTTTCTCCCCAGTGGGACAGGTACATGCGTTGTGATGGGAGTCCAGACCCCTCAGTCCAGCAGGAGATCAACACCTTCATCAACCTGTGGAGGGAGGACCCAGAGGTCCAGATCAAACCGGTTCTGAAGGAGTGTGCCCTGGCTCTACAGGTAGGTTTACTATTAAACACCAGGGTCACATTAAGGAGACATGAAACAGGAGTAAACAAAGGTGATTCTACCAGTTCTGAATGTGTCCGATAAGAACGCTCATTTCAGTTTTGCATTTGAAAACACTTGTTCCTGTTTGACCCCACTTAACGTGACCCAGTCAAGAGCACTTCTATTTGAGACATGTATTGATCTATAAGGATTCTACCAAATGAATGATGAACATAAACATGGCTGCCCTTTATCTCCGCCTGCAGCTGCTAGAGGAGCTGGAGGGTATGCTGAGGGACCAGCCTGAACCAGCTGATGCCCTGAGGTACCAGGAGACCCTGCTCTCCATCCAGACTCTCATCCAGTCTAAACATGACCACACCACTGACGAGATACTCAAGGTAGGGGTACTGATGATGTATAAGACATGCAGAAAACATGTCTGCAAGTTTTGTAATGTAAGATGAGCATGTTTTGCTGATGTCTGTTTGTTTTTCACTGGCCACAGTGGGCGAATGCTCACTCAGACATTGAGACGGGGAACATGCAGACAGTGGTCCAGGATGACAACTTCACACTGTGTCTGTGGGCCAACCTCAACAAGAACCCAAGGCACGTCACAGACGTCGGTCTGATTTTCATTCTATTCACTTCACACAAATAGAGACTTTCTATCTAGTCTCCTTGCTAACAGTCTGTTTATACTCAAACCCATTCTTATGGATGCGTTGGGTAAAGCGAAAACAGAACAATTTAGTATTTTCAATTTGTGACAGTGTTTCTCTTTCTGTGGCTCTCCAGGTTTAAAGGGTTCCACTTCGAGGAGGTGGGGCTGGGCTTTGAGCTGCCCAAACAGCTGGCCGTCAGTGACATCGCTGTGAGAATCCTCCACACCCACTACGACCATTTGTCTCACCTGGCCAACCTGAAAGGCCAGACCCCATAGCAGGATGTCTCTGGGCCAGGGAGGAGCCCCTTCTGGAGGGAGCGACCCCCGCGAGGGAACGGAGGGAGATGGTGACGGGAGATGGAGCACACAGCAGGGAGGTGCAGAGGAAGAGGTGCAGTCTGTCAGGGGGTCCGAAGGCAGGAAGGTAAGCTGGATACAACAATCATAGGATTAATGAAAAGTTGTTTAAAAGTGACATAGGCTAACATCTGTGTGCATGTGCATGTGTGTCAGAGTGCGGTGAGTGTGATGTCTATGAGTGTGGTCCTCTGTAGCTCAATTGGTAGAGCATGGCGCTTGTAACGCCAGGGTAGTGGGTTCGATCCCCGGGACCACCCATACGTAAAAATGTATGCACGTGTGACTGTAAGTCGCTTTGGATAAAAGCGTCTGCTAAATGGCATATTATTATTATTATTATGAAGGAGGAGTGGTCAGAAGCAGCTGGAGGATGTGAAACAGAAGCTGGAGGAGAAAGGGAGTCAGATAGATACCATGCTAGAGGGAGATGACTCAGGTGAGAGACTACAACTGCCTCAGAGGACAAAGTAGTCAAATAACATGATATATTTCACTGTTCTGTTTGGATTCTTTTTAGTGTGTCATGTTTAGCGTTGCAATCAGGAGGGAATAAGTAGGAAATCCGTGAGTCCTCCAAACAAGATTTCTGGAAAAAATGGAATTTTGGCAAAGTTACCAGAATTTTGCAACCCTAGTCATGTTACTATAAAAACTGCTTGAGAATTAACCAGTCCCTTTCATTCCATATTGTGATTCCCATGTCCACCTGTACGTACAGTGGGGAGAACAAGTATTTGATACACTGCTGATTTTGCAGGTTTTCCTACTTACAAAGCATGTAGAGGTCTGTAATTTTTATCATAGGTACACTTCAATTGTGAGAGACGGAATCTAAAACAAAAATACAGAAAATCACATTGTATGATTTTTAAGTAATTAATTTGCATTTTTTTTATTGCATGACATAAGTATTTGATACATCACAAAAGCAGAACTTAATATTTGGTACAGAAACCTTTGTTTGCAATTACAGAGATCATACATTTCCTGTAGGTCTTGACCAGGTTTGCACATACTGCAGCAGGGATTTTCGCCCACTCCTCCATACAGACCTTCTCCAGATCCTTCAGGTTTCGGGGCTGTCGCTGGGCAATACGGACTTTCAGCTCCCTCCAAAGATGTTCTATTGGGTTCAGGTCTGGAGACTGGCTAGGCCACTCCAGGACCTTGAGATGCTTCTTACAGAGCCACTCCTTAGTTGCCCTGGCTGTGTGTTTCGGGTCGTTGTCATACTGGAAGACCCAGCCACGACCCATCTTCAATGCTCTTACTGAGGGAAGGAGGTTGTTGGCCAAGATCTCGCGATACATGGCCCCATCCATCCTCCCCTCAATACGTTGCAGTCGTTCTGTCCCCTTTGCAGAAAAGCATCCCCAAAGAATGATGTTTCCACCTCCATGCTTCACGGTTGGGATGGTGTTCTTGGGGTTCTACTCATCCTTCTTCTTTCTCCAAACACGGCGAGTGGAGTTTAGACCAAAAAGCTCTATTTTTGTCTCATCAGACCACATGACCTTCTCCCATTCCTCCTCTGGATCATCCAGATGGTCATTGGCAAACTTCAGACGGGCCTGGACATGCGCTGTCTTGAGGAGGGGGACCTTGCGTGCGCTGCAGGATTTTAATCCATGACGGCGTAGTGTGTTACTAATGGTTTTCTTTGAGACTGTGGTCCCAGCTCTCTTCAGGTCATTGACCAGGTCCTGCCGTGTAGTTCTGGGCTGATCCCTCACCTTCCTCATGATCATTGATTCCCCACGAGGTGAGATCTTGCATGGAGCCCCAGACCGAGGGTGATTGACCGTCATCTTGAACTTCTTCCATTTTCTAATAATTGTGCCAACAGTTGTTGCCTTCTCACCAAGCTGCTTGCCTATTGTCCTGTAGCCCATCCCAGCCTTGTGCAGGTCTACAATTTTATCCCTGATGTCCTTACACAGCTCTCTGGTCTTGGCCATTGTGGAGAGGTTGGAGTCTGTTTGATTGAGTGTGTGGACAGGTGTCTTTTATACAGGTAATGGGTTCAAACAGGTGCAGTTAATACAGGTCATGAGTGGAGAACAGGAGGGCTTCTTAAAGAAAAACTAACAGGTCTGTGAGAGCCGGAATTCTTACTGGTTGATAGGTGATCAAATACTTATGTCATGCAATAAAATGCAAATTAATTACTTTAAAAATCATACAATGTGATTTTCTGGATTTTTGTTTTAGATTCCGTCTCTCACAGTTGAAATGTACCTATGATAAGAATTACAGACCTATACATGCTTTGTAAGTAGGAAAACCTGCAAAATTGGCAGTGTATCAAATACTTGTTCTCCCCACTGTATGTCCTGTCCAGGTGAGGGAGACTCCGCCCCCACTCCAATGGACCCAGTGATTGACAGCTATGCGGATCAAGTGGTGGACCTGTAGCAGTACACGCCCCTGGGAGGAGTCTTCTACTGTGATGTGTTCTGTCTGCCGCCACAGTCCCAACAACTCAACGGATGGGAGATGAGAGAGGTGAACCAGAACCACCAAGTACAGCACGTACCATTTCTGACAGCAGTTTCCCTTCCTACCACTCAGTGTAATGGTCCTGTGTAGCTCAGTTGGTAGAGCATGGCGCTTGCAACGCCAGGGTTGTGGGTTCGATTCCCACCGGGGGCCAGTATGAAAAAATGTATGCACTCACTAACTGTAAGTCACTCTGGATAAGAGCGTCTGCTAAATTACTAAAATCTCAATCTAAAATCTAATGGACTGTCACTGAATGTGTAAACTCCTCGATAAAGTACAACTCCTCTTTGCAGTTGTTAGATATGATGCATTAATCAAGGAGACTAGATAGCCTTGAGGAAAGTAACAGAAACACTTCTGCCTTTATTTCTTTAAGTTAACATTAGTGTCTCTCGCCCCAACCCCCAACTGTTGGACACAGGGCTGCAGCCGTTCCCCTACCACACAGACCAGTCCCAGATCCAGGGGACGGTGGGGTCCTGACCTGTCCCCCTGCCTGACTCTGTCCTGTTGCTGGAGGACCCCCAAAAGGTAGAAATCCGTGAGTCCTCCAAACAAGATTTCTGGAAAAAATGGAAGTTTGGCAAAGTACCAGAATTTTGCAACCCTAGTCATGTTACTATAAAAACTGCTTGAGAATTAACCAGTCCCTTTCATTCCATATTGTGATTCCCATGTCCACCTGTACGTACAGTGGGGGGAGAAACAAGTATTTGATACACTGCTGATTTTGCAGGTTTTCCTACTTACAAAGCATGTAGAGGTCTGTATTTTTATCATAGGTACACTTCAATTGTGAGAGACGGAATCTAAAACAAAAATACAGAAAATCACATTGTATGATTTTTAAGTAATTAATTTGCATTTTTTTTATTGCATGACATAAGTATTTGATACATCACAAAAGCAGAACTTAATATTTGGTACAGAAACCTTGTTTGCAATTACAGAGATCATACATTTCCTGTAGGTCTTGACCAGGTTTGCACATACTGCAGCAGGGATTTTCGCCCACTCCTCCATACAGACCTTCTCCAGATCCTTCAGGTTTCGGGGCTGTCGCTGGGCAATACGGACTTTCAGCTCCCTCCAAAGATGTTCTATTGGGTTCAGGTCTGGAGACTGGCTAGGCCACTCCAGGACCTTGAGATGCTTCTTACAGAGCCACTCCTTAGTTGCCCTGGCTGTGTGTTTCGGGTCGTTGTCATACTGGAAGACCCAGCCACGACCCATCTTCAATGCTCTTACTGAGGGAAGGAGGTTGTTGGCCAAGATCTCGCGATACATGGCCCCATCCATCCTCCCCTCAATACGTTGCAGTCGTTCTGTCCCCTTTGCAGAAAAGCATCCCCAAAGAATGATGTTTCCACCTCCATGCTTCACGGTTGGGATGGTTGTTCTTGGGGTTCTACTCATCCTTCTTCTTTCTCCAAACACGGCGAGTGGAGTTTAGACCAAAAAGCTCTATTTTTGTCTCATCAGACCACATGACCTTCTCCCATTCCTCCTCTGGATCATCCAGATGGTCATTGGCAAACTTCAGACGGGCCTGGACATGCGCTGTCTTGAGGAGGGGGACCTTGCGTGCGCTGCAGGATTTTAATCCATGACGGCGTAGTGTGTTACTAATGGTTTTCTTTGAGACTGTGGTCCCAGCTCTCTTCAGGTCATTGACCAGGTCCTGCCGTGTAGTTCTGGGCTGATCCCTCACCTTCCTCATGATCATTGATTCCCCACGAGGTGAGATCTTGCATGGAGCCCCAGACCGAGGGTGATTGACCGTCATCTTGAACTTCTTCCATTTTCTAATAATTGTGCCAACAGTTGTTGCCTTCTCACCAAGCTGCTTGCCTATTGTCCTGTAGCCCATCCCAGCCTTGTGCAGGTCTACAATTTTATCCCTGATGTCCTTACACAGCTCTCTGGTCTTGGCCATTGTGGAGAGGTTGGAGTCTGTTTGATTGAGTGTGTGGACAGGTGTCTTTTATACAGGTAATGGGTTCAAACAGGTGCAGTTAATACAGGTCATGAGTGGAGAACAGGAGGGCTTCTTAAAGAAAAACTAACAGGTCTGTGAGAGCCGGAATTCTTACTGGTTGATAGGTGATCAAATACTTATGTCATGCAATAAAATGCAAATTAATTACTTTAAAAATCATACAATGTGATTTTCTGGATTTTTGTTTTAGATTCCGTCTCTCACAGTTGAAATGTACCTATGATAAGAATTACAGACCTATACATGCTTTGTAAGTAGGAAAACCTGCAAAATTGGCAGTGTATCAAATACTTGTTCTCCCCACTGTATGTCCTGTCCAGGTGAGGGAGACTCCGCCCCCACTCCAATGGACCCAGTGATTGACAGCTATGCGGATCAAGTGGTGGACCTGTAGCAGTACACGCCCCTGGGAGGAGTCTTCTACTGTGATGTGTTCTGTCTGCCGCCACAGTCCCAACAACTCAACGGATGGGAGATGAGAGAGGTGAACCAGAACCACCAAGTACAGCACGTACCATTTCTGACAGCAGTTTCCCTTCCTACCACTCAGTGTAATGGTCCTGTGTAGCTCAGTTGGTAGAGCATGGCGCTTGCAACGCCAGGGTTGTGGGTTCGATTCCCACCGGGGGCCAGTATGAAAAATGTATGCACTCACTAACTGTAAGTCACTCTGGATAAGAGCGTCTGCTAAATTACTAAAATCTCAATCTAAAATCTAATGGACTGTCACTGAATGTGTAAACTCCTCGATAAAGTACAACTCCTCTTTGCAGTTGTTAGATATGATGCATTAATCAAGGAGACTAGATAACATTAGTGTCTCTCGCCCCAACCCCCAACTGTTGGACACAGGGCTGCAGCCGTTCCCCTACCACACAGACCAGTCCCAGATCCAGGGGACGGTGGGGTCCTGACCTGTCCCCCTGCCTGACTCTGTCCTGTTGCTGGAGGACCCCCAGATGGCCTGCTGGGACCCTGAAGGTGAGAGAGACACCTGGAGTAGAACTGGACAGGCTCTACATTGACTGGGACTGATATGATACTGTTACATACATGTATTTAACATTTCCCAGATTCTGAATGTAGTTCCTACCTTGTGGGGGGTACTTTACACAAAATGTACAGAACTTTGAGATAGAAATGTGTAGAGTTGACATGATTCCCTATTCTACATAATTGAGAGACATGATGTCTATTCAACACATCTAAAATGATCTGTCAATCAATCAATAGGTCAGCACTGGAAGACAGACTGCATCAGTGAGACGTCATACGACGAGGCTGAGCGGAAGATCTCCTTCAAGATGGACACTTTCTACGCCTTCACGCTGCTACAGGACTCGTATGCCAACATGCCGTTCCAGAGCTGGGAGCTCAGACCACTGGGACAGGACTCTGCCCTGCTCACCATAACCGCAGCCCTTACTGAAGTCAGCATCACCATCAAGGCAAGAACTCACAATCTGTCATGCTCCATCTCCTCCATAGACATACTGTTGGGTGCATCTCAACAGTCTAAAATGGCTTCCTCTATTTGTGAACATTCCTCAGTGATTCATTTCTGGAGAAACAGTATTGTGGAAATCTATCCAATGTTTTCAGTGGTAATGAAGGAAACGAGGCTATTATTGTATCGAGGCATTGCCCAGATCCATGACATAATGCATCCTGACTCCTCTCTCCGACAGGGCAGGAAGTGTATGCTCCAGTCAGACCCAGGAGAGAGGACTGAACCACATCCTGGGCCAGTGGATGAGTCCCTCTGGCCTGCAGAAAGCCATGGTCAGTGCCGGGGTCAACATCTTCGTCAACCAATACTCCGACAAATATGTCAGCGTAAACGCAAAGGTGAGTGCCATCAACCCGTATACTGTGGATTAGATGATGATGTTCCACAAAGCAATGTGGGCACACAATTCATGTTGCTTGTAACACTGTTGAACCTGTATAGCTTTTTGCAACAAAAACCTATTAGCAACTCATGGGAAACCTACAGTAGATTAGGATTGATAGGTTGGGGTGAGAAACATCTGATGCAGTATCCTTCTCCTCCCCTGTAGGACACCCCCCCCCCCCCCCCAAAAAAAAAGTGCAACAAATCACCAACTCATTGGAACTGAAAATCTGGTTAGGCTTAAATTGTGGTTGAAACACTTGTCTCATAATATGAACCTTTTCTCCAGGACCCTCTGATAGAACACGCTGTGTATGAACAGATGGCCCTGCTCTCCTCTGCCTCTGCCTTCTCCTGGAGCCAGTGGAACACAGTGTGGCCAGGAACATCTGGCGCTACAGGTAGACACACACACCTAGAGATGCATACTGTTTAAACACACTCACATCCTCGCTCTCGTCTGTCACGCATACACACGTAGAATGAGGAAGTGTGCTTGTATAGAGGACCGCCCCAGAAAGTAACAGAAGTAGCTTCAGAATCAGGAACAAGAGCTGCAGTGCATATAGGGGAAACACTGAGCTGGTTGACTGGACTTGATTGAGATTCACCTCTAGTACTGACCCACATTTCCTTGCACCTGCATAGTACTTTGTCAGTGCAGATGGATAGGCTATTTACCCTACTATTGACACCGCCTCCTTCGCCTAGCAGCCATCCCAGTGCCAGAGTGGTTGTGGTGTGTATGTGTCGTAGTATTTGTACAGTAGGATTAACATCTCCCAGGTGTGTGAGCACCTAGACCCGGTCCGAGAGGACTCATGGTGTGTGTACCTGCTGGGGGCCCAGAGGAACCAGAGGCTGAGGATCAAGGAACACAGTGAGGCGTTCTCTCCAGAACTGGACCCCGGCAGTGAGTTCCACTCCACCTTCCTGCACATGCTACGAGACAGCATGTCCCCCACAGGACAGGAACGACACTCACCACCTGTTTGTCGATGCCGTGCATAGACTGCTGTGTGCCACACGGCCTCTCACATACTCCTGACTACAGTAGATACTAGACCCCCAAGCTCTATGTCGGAGTAGCCAACAACCACAGATCTAAGATCAGATTTGACTATTCCCGATCATAACTTTAACCATTAGGGGGAATATGTATATCTGATCTTGTATCAGAGGTTAGCGGCAACTTCAACCTACGGAACAACGTGGGTATGACTGACTGCTCACTGTGAACTTTAATAGACCTCTAACCCTTACAACAGATGGACCCTCATGTAAAACCACAAAGCTTATTTCTGTAGAATAAAGTTCCTTTATTGTGTAAAGTTTCACTCCCCATCTTTGGAACATACAAAAGTATGAATTTCATAAGTGAGCATTTAAAGAAGTAGAGTAAAAACCATATGTGAGTTTGTAACAAACGCTGGTTATGACAAAAACCGATGCAATATAATAGATATTCACATATCCCCACACAGTCTAATGCTGTCAAACGATAAATTAAACATAAAAAAATGGCAGCGTATTACCAAGGTTCATACATTTAATTTTTTTTTAAACGATTTCACCTGCAACACCAAATTAATGCAAAATAATTCTTAAAATGGTGGCCTCTTCAGGCAACCGCCATAATAGATTCAGAAGTTTACTATGAAATGTGTTTTGAAAAGCAAAAACTGCTAAATCCACTGTCCATGAGCAAGCATGTTGATGTCCATAGGATGATGGACCAACAAACGCTCAAAAGGTGTGACGTCATTGGATAGCATGCGCTGAAGTCCATTTCATGATTGGACAGCCCAACGCTGGTGTCCTCCTTGACTTGATTGGTCAACATTGTGCCCACATATACAACAGCCAACAACCGGCCAATAACATTACAATCCCCCTTCTGTAATGGCGTGGTAGAATGTCTCCGGGCACCAATAGGAAATCTCCCTTAGCTGTGGTGGTCAGTGTTCAGTAGCCCCAGTACCAACACACCGACTGCTTCTGTCTTCAAGTGCTCTCTCTTCACACACTAACTAGTCTAACACACGTGATGGTTCAAGTTGCAGAAGATGACCGTCCAGGGGTTGACCATACCCCGAGGCCTGCCTGTCCATCTCTCTGTCAGTTGGGGCCACAGCCCCTCTAAACCGGCGGCTGTCCGTTGTGCCTCAGCCCTGTGTAGGGCCACAGGAGCTGCTGGATGGTCACCCAGGAGTCCCCGGTCCCCACGGGCGCTGCGTCCACGGCCGGCTGCAGCACCAGGCTGGCTAGGAGGGCCAGGAGGCCTGCTAGGACCACTACTAGGGCCAGCCACAGCCATAGTCCCCGGGACCCACTGGCTGCAGACGCAGGCCGGGAGGAGTAGCCCAAACACGGGGCTGCTGCGGCCTGCTCTGCCAGGCTGGGACTGGAGAGAGAAGGAAAGAGAAGATTTAGAATGGACACCAAGTAAAACTTAGCCTGGGTTAGCCAAAGCGAAGCTAATGTCTGAATGAGACAGTCAGTCTGCTTTAGCCAGCTGGTTGTCTGTCCGTCTTCCCAAAGCAGTGATGTAGCGATGCTAGGCTAAGTTAGGATGGTGTTAGCAGCATGTACTGACCACCACTCCAAAGCGTTCTCTGTAGCACACACCTGGTACACAGAAAATAGAAATAGAGCACTAGAGAACTGCAGCATGTTGAGCGGCGAGGCAATGCATGTCTCACATACACTCCAGAGGGGGCACGCACAAACACACACACTCACAGCAGTTCTCCTGATGGGAATGCATGGAAGAGATTAGAGCTGACAGAGTTTGTTTGAAGCAGAAACACTGAACCGAGACCGAATCCCCCACCACAAGTCCAGAAACTGCTCGGGCTCAGAGACCAAGGGCTAGATTCACAAAGCGTTTGCTCTAGACCAGGTATATTGTTTACACCAGCCTTTTTGCTCAGTCATTCTGGACCAGAGTCTGCTCCCTTGACCTAAAGCAGCACAGCCTGGAAGCCAGATCTACTTCTGATTTAACCAACTTCTTTACATTTGGCAAGCAGATGGCTAAATCAGAAAAAAGACAGGAATCCAGGCTACAGCTTCTAGAAGCCTTTTCACACTACTGAGCCAAGCGGCGTTGTACTGCTCTGGCCTCGTTACGCATCCACCCACCGTAGTTGGCAAAAAAATACATATCTGAGACAGCACAGTACAGTATGGTTCAGGTCGGCACGATGGTGTGAAAAGTGTATAAGCATCAGGAGTGGCAGAGAAGCTACTACAGTGAGGGAAAAAAGTATTTGATCCCCTGCAGATTTTGTACGTTTGCCCACTGACAAAGAAATTATCAGTCTATAATTTTAATGGTAGGTTTATTTGAACAGTGAGAGACAGAATAAAAAAAAAAATCCAGAAAAACGCATGTCAAAAATGTTATAAATAGATTTGCATTTTTTTTAATGAGGGAAATAAGTAGGGAGTGCTCCTAATCTCAGCTTGTTACCTGTATAAAAGATACCTGTCCACAGAAGCAATCAATCAATCAGATTCCAAACTCTCCACCATGGCCAAGACCAAAGAGCTCTCCAAGGATGTCAGGGACAAGATTGTAGACCTACACAAGGCTAGAATGCGCTACAAGACCATCGCCAAGCAGCTTGGTGAGAAGATGACAACAGTTGGTGCGATTATTCGCAAATGAAAGAAACACAAAAGAACTGTCAATCTCCATCGGCCTGGGGCTCCATACAAGATCTCACCTCATTGAGTTGCAATGATCATGAGAACGGTGAGGAATCAGCCCAGAACTACACGGGAGGATCTTGTCAATGATCTCAAGGCAGCTGGGACCATAGTCACCAAGAAAACAATTGGTAACACACTAGGCCGTGAAGGACTGAAATCCTGCAGCGCCAGCAAGGTCCCCCTGCTCAAGAAAGCACATATACAGTGGGGAGAACAAGTATTTGATACACTGCCGATTTTGCAGGTTTTCCTACTTACAAAGCATGTAGAGGTCTGTAATTTTTATCATAGGTACACTTCAACTGTGAGAGACGGAATCTAAAACAAAAATCCAGAAAATCACACTATGATTTTTAAGTAATTAATTTGCATTTGATTGCATGACATAAGTATTTGATACATCAGAAAAGCAGAACTTAATATTTGGTACAGAAACCTTTGTTTGCAATTACAGAGATCATACGTTTCCTGTAGGTCTTGACCAGATTTGCACACACTGCAGCAGGGATTTTGGCCCACTCCTCCATACAGACCTTCTCCAGATCCTTCAGGTTTCGGGGCTGTCGCTGGGCAATACAGACTTTCAGCTCCCTCCAAAGATTTTCTATTGGGTTCAGGTCTGGAGACTGGCTAGGCCACTCCAGGACCTTGAGATGCTTCTTACGGAGCCACTCCTTAGTTGCCCTGGCTGTGTGTTTCGGGTCGTTGTCATGCTGGAAGACCCAGCCATGACCCATCTTCAATGCTCTTACTGAGGGAAGGTTGTTGTTGGCCAAGATCTCGCGATACATGGCCCCTTCCATCCTCCCCTCAATACGGTGCAGTCGTCCTGTCCCCTTTGCAGAAAAGCATCCCCAAAGAATGATTTTTCCACCTCCATGCTTCACGGTTGGGATGGTGTTCTTGGGGTTGTACTCATCCTTCTTCGTCCTCCAAACACGGCGAGTGGAGTTTAGACCAAAAAGCTCTATTTTTGTCTCATCAGACCACATGACCTTCTCCCATTCCTCCTCTGGATCATCCAGATGGTCATTGGCAAACTTCAGATGGGCCTGGACATGCGCTGGCTTGAGCAGGGGGACCTTGCGTGCGCTGCAGGATTTTAATCCATGACGGCGTAGTGTGTTACTAATGGTTTGCTTTGAGACTGTGGTCCCAGCTCTCTTCAGGTCATTGACCAGGTCCTGCCGTGTAGTTCTGGGCTGATCCCTCACCTTCCTCATGATCATTGATGCCCCACGAGGTGAGATCTTGCATGGAGCCCCAGATCGAGGGTGATTGACCGTCATCTTGAACTTCTTCCATTTTCTAATAATTGCGCCAACAGTTGTTGCCTTCTCACCAAGCTGCTTGCCTATTGTCCTGTAGCCCATCCCAGCCTTGTGCAGGTCTACAATTTTTACCCTGATGTCCTTACACAGCGCTCTGGTCTTGGCCATTGTGGAGAGGTTGGAGTCTGTTTGATTGAGTGTGTGGACAGGTGTCTTTTATACAGGTAACGAGTTCAAGAACAGGAGGGCTTCTTAAAGAAAAACTAACAGGTCTGTGAGAGACGGAATTCTTACTGGTTGGTAGGTGATCAAATACTTATGTCATGCAATAAAATGCAAATGAATTACTTAAAAATCATACAATGTGATATTCTGGATTTTTGTTACTTGTTCTCCCCACTGTACATGCCCGTCTGAAGTTTGCCAATGAACATCTGAATGATTCAGAGGAGAACTGGGTGAAAGTGTTGTGGTCAGATGAGACCAAAATCGAGCTCTTTGGCATCAACTCAACTCGCTGTGTTTGGAGGAGGAGGAATTCTGCATATGATCCCAAGAACACCATCCCCACCGTCAAACATGGAGGTGGAAACATTATGCTTTGGGGGTGTTTTTCTGCTAAGGGGACAGGACAACTTCACCGCATCAAAGGGACGATGGACGGGGCCATGTACTGTTAAATCTTGGGTGAGAACCTCTTTCCCTTAGCCAGGGCATTGAAAATGGGTCATGGATGGGTATTCCAGCATGACAATGACCCAAGACACACGGCCAAGGCAACAAAGGAGTGGCTCAAGAAGAAGCACATTAAGGTCCTGGAGTGGCCTAGCCAGTCTCCAGACTTTAATCCCATAGAAAATCTGTGGCGGGAGCTGAAGGTTCGAGTTGCCAAACGTCAGCCTCGAAACCTTAATGACTTGAAGATCTGTGGGACAAAATCCCTCCTGAGATGTGTGCAAACCTGGTGGCCAACTACAAGAAACGTCTGACCTCTGTGATTGCCAACAAGGGTTTTGCCACCAAGTACTAAGTATTGTTTTGCAGAAGGGTCAAATACTTATTTCCCTCATTAAAATGCAAATCAATTTATAACAATTTTGACATGCGTTTTTTCTGGATTTTTTTGTTGTTATTCTGTCTCTCAATGTTCAAATAAACCTACCATTAAAATTATAGACTGATCATGTCTTTGTCAGTGGGCAAACGTACAAAATCAGCAGGGGATCAAATACTTTTTTCCCCTCACAGTAAGCCTAACCAGCTACGCAGCAGTGAAAAGCAGTGCTGCCTGGCTGTAGCTGATCGCTAAACACGGTTGGTTGGTTCACTACTAACGTCTTGTTGGGCATAATCAGGGCGGTGATTTTGTTGCCCAGCTCAGTGAGACTGGACTTCCTCTGAACAGGCTCCTCCCTCCTCCTCTCCTCTGAAGGGGAGTCTGCGTCGTAAGCAGGCCTGTGGGACGGGACGGGCATGCACGGTTCACATACACACATACCGACACTAATGCAGGTCTCACACACACTTGTTTAACACAATACACACATGTTACATACATGCTCAGGGCATGTACACAAACACACATATACTCTGCCATCAATGTTCCACATGCACTTGTTATGTACGCAGGTTGTACTCCTGCTGACTGTACGTTCAACTACAGATTTGTTACATACATACATTACACGGTCGGGTAAATTAAAATGTTTGTTTTCAGGTTGAGGTAATGTGCGACACACGTGTGCTTCTGACACACAGCAGACATCAGGCCTTACCCCTTCATCATCATCATGAGTGAGGGCTCGTCAGTCTCAACCCAAGCCCCGGAGCTAACAAAGCGCTTTAGAGGAGGACGCGCCGTGCTCTTCCCTGTCACATACCTGTAACCACGCCACATACGTACATACACAATCCACACGTCACATTCCACACGACACCTAACACAGACTACACAACCCGCACGTCATGTTTTAACAAAGGCCCCTAATTTACAAACACCTAGATGCAAATTTCTTCCTCAGAAATCAGAATGGTGTTTGTTTTGCAAAGCAGGGTCAAGACTGCGTTTAAATATTCTTCAACAACTCCGTATTTCCCCCCCACACACACACAGTGCTGTAGTCTACCTACCAGGGAGATCTGCGAGTGAGTCTCTCTGCCTCCGTCTCTGTGGTGTCCTGTGCTTTATTGGGCATGTCAAAGTGCATGGGTCCCCCTCCCCCACCGGACCGGGGGATAGCTGCTATGCTGACCCGTCGGGCTGATGCCTGAGGAAAGGAGGAATAGGGAAACCCTTTTTTCAAATACAAGACAGTGCACAGATGCAGACATAGTGATTACTACAGTGACTAAAACAGCAGTACAGTATCATTCACTGAGCCTAAACTGTATATATTTTTTTATTTTGACCCCTTTTTCTCCCCAATTTTGTGGTATCCAATTGGTAGTTACAGTCTTGTCCCATCACTGCAACTCCCGTACGGACACAGAGAGGCGAAGGTCGAGAAAACACAACACAACCGAGCAGCACTGCTTCTTGACACAATGCCCGCTTAACCCAGAAGCCAGCCGCACCAATGTGTCGGAGGAAACACTGTACACCTGGCGACCGTGTCAGCGTGCACTGCGCCCGGCCCGCCACAGGAGTCGCTAGTGCGCGATGGGACAAGAACATCCCTGCCGGCCAAACCCTCCCCTAACCTGGACGACGCTGGGCCAATTGTGCACCGCCCCATGGGTCTCCCGGTCACGGCCGGCTGCGACAGAGCCTGGACTCGAACCAGAATCTCTAGTGGCACAGCTAACACTGCGATGCAGTGCCTTAGACCACCACTGAGCCTAAACTGACCTACCTTATAGTACGTTGATCCAGATGGTTTGCCTCTGAAATCATCTGAAGGAAAAATATTCAGTATTAGAAAGAAACATAAGATAGAGGTGTGTGTGTGTGTGTATATGTGTGTTCCTCACCTGAGTGTGTTCCTCCAGAGTGGGATCCGAAGGACCTCTCGTTCTGAAGCATGTTTTCTCTCAGCTCAGTGAGCTCAGCATGTTCCTTAGTGTACATCCTCCTCAGGTTCTCTACATGCTGGATCATTATCTCTACTGCCTTGCCTACACGAGACTCCTGGAGGGGGAGAGAGCGCGAGAGGTTACACCCACCCACCCACTGCCTTAGCAGTCCCTATACGAGACTCCTGCAGGGAGAGAGAGACATCACACAGACCCAGACCTACAGTCTACCTATATGACTCTCCTCAAAGGGGAGGAGAGAGGGGGACAAATCACGCAATTAAATTGTACTGTACCTGATGTATGGCGCCCAGCATCTCTGAGCGACTGGACACTCTGGTCATGGACTGGATGAGAATGTCCAGGTTCTTTTGAAGTCTCTGGATGATCTCCATAGACTGGTTATCATCCTCACACAGAGGAGCCAGGGCCTGGCAAGAGCAGATACAAGGAAGGTAAAAAGGAAATTGTATACCCTTCTCACCTATAGCAGGTTCTGACAGCTACATTTGGACACCTCACTCCTGTCCCCCCCGCTCCAACCTGTCCCTTTACATGTGGTTTTAACGGTCTCCCGCCCTTCTCCCCAGTCCCTCCCTCTCACACATCTCGCCTCTCTCTTAAACCTCTCACCTGTAGTAGTCCCTGGCAACCGGACACCTCCCTCCGGACGTTCTCCTCTGCCAGGTCCCGTGACCTCTCCTCCAGCCTCAGCCTCTTCTCCAGGGTGAACATGTCACACTTAAAGCCCAGGGACAGGCGCTGGAACTCCGTCTGACAGATAGACAACACAGCCTTAACTCTATGGTACATACAGAGATAATCAAGAGAAATAGAAAGGTTGGAACGCTTACCACTACCTCAATCTCCTTTTCATTAGGGGACAGGCTGCAATGAGGAAAACAGGGAGTATTACAGAATCTGTCACTAGAAAACAGAGCTATGAGTGTCACAGTACCTGAGAGTATTTATATTATCTAGCAATGCATCTCTAAAATATGAGGTATTGTACTGTATGTTGAGTAGCCTACCTGCTTCTGTCCCCTATGGTTGAGTCCTCAGAAACAACAGAGGTTTCAACTGGTTCGACACACAGAGAGAAAGATGTTCATGTTTTAAAATATTGAAACATTGGTCTTGCTATTGATCTCTCTTTTACAATAGAGAGAGATTAGAAAAACTATATCGACCACAGTGACAATTTAATTTTGACTTCAGTCAGTAATTAGACTTATACTAGCATTAAAATATTAGGAACATTATAAGCTGAGGTATCTGGGGTTAACTCACCGTCCTTCTCTGTGGTAACACTGGTTTCACTCAGGTCCTCTGGTACCTTTCCTTCCTCGATGACATCCATACTGTGAGACAGCTCCTGGATGATTGCGGTGAACGTTACACACTCCGTACACACACACACACACACACTTCTTCCTCACTGTACACACACTTCTCGGTCTCGCTGCTATCCTCCACCTCAGACACACACACACACACACACCAACTCGATTCTATCGATCTAACAGACTATCCGGTAACCAATGTAACATTTACAGATCTAGCTAGGTATACTGTAGGACTATCATCCATTCTGCTAGAGTCTGAAGTGCTTCCCTGTGTAGATAAGCACAGAGTCGACTAAAGTGAAAGAATGTTCACTCCCTCAAGGCAGGAAAGATTACATTTTCTCAATAAGTCATAAGGTCTCTCACCATCACAGCGCTCTTATCTCAAATGATTTATTCCCTACATAGTGCACTACTTTTGATCAGAACCCCTTGTATCTGCACTAGGGATTAGGGTGCCATTTGAGACAGGGGGGCCATATATCATTAAATAGACCGCTCACCAGATCCTTCTTGAACTTGCTCCTGAGAACCAGGGAGTCAATTTTGGCTCCTGAGGGGTCAGGGGTCATAGCATCCCTTGGACCCTGTGATGGGTCAGTGGACGTAACAGTCAGTCCATCCATGGTCTGAGAGCCTCCGTCCCCTGTCAGACTGACTGTCCCTGTAGAGCCAGTGAAAGGAGTGTTACACACATGCAAACACACACTTTCTCCTTCTCTCACACACACTCACGTACACAGAGACACAATGTTGGCAGGAGGCCATAGCTCCTCTATTTCCTCCTACCTGCCAAGTCCCCCTCCACTGTAGGCACCTGCACCACTGACTCCTGTATGCCCTCCTCCTCCTCCTCCTCCTCCTCTAGTACTGGCAACAGGCTGGAACACACACACATTATAGAGCGCTGCAGCAATTCCACCATGCCAAAACAATTGCACAACTTGCCCTTATCACTACCGTATGTCTCCATCACAACCAAAAGCAAGAGTAATGTTCTAAACAATTCCAAACAAAGCCAACATTAACCTCCTAACAGAAAATATATCTCAGCACACAGACAGCATATGTCAGAGGAAAGTACACCACCTCCATCATGCAACTAGGACACAACCATGTAGACACACACACACACTCACCTGTCCTCTGCTAGCACTCTCTCAGCCAGCTGGTCCTGGGTTAGCTTCTAAGAGAGAGAGAGAAAAATGTGAGAGAGAGAGGTGAGAGAAAAATGTGTGAGAGAGAGGTGAGAGACAAATGCAGGTGGCCTTGTAACATACTTTTAGCACCACTCGTCAGAGGAAGTTAACGATTATAAAGAGCGACACGCACACAATTGCATTCCGTACCTGTCCCATGGCATCAGAATGTTATCAACGCTCTGTACAGTGAATTTAAAGGATGGGATGGAGAATGCTCATTTCTTACATAATGTGCTGGTTGGTGGAGAGCCCTGCAGCTGTGTGCGGTGTGTGTGTGTGTGTGTGTGTGTGTGTGTGTCGGGGGCTGTGTGTGTGAGTATAAGTGTTGGACAGAATAAGTGTGGACAAGGCATTTCCACTGGCAGTAGTGGGGGCGTTGGAATACGGCACACACACTACAGATGGGTAAGAGCGGAAGGCACTAGACTATATAAAGCTGGATACTCGAGCGCAGAGCTATGCTGAGTGGTAGTTGAGTAATGTAACTGTGCATAACAATCAAGAGGAGAATGACACTATAAAAACCAACCTCAAATCACACTGCAAAACAGATACAAGCTGGATCTAGATCCCTTTTATGTATTATCTATGTAGCATTTCAACTCGACACAACCCATGTTTATAAACAAAACGGTTATTCAGAAGCAAGGACACAGGACAATCCAAGACTGTTGCATTTATTCATGCAACAACAGATTTGGCCAATAACACCAGTGTCTTCATTTCCTGCTACTGAATAACTGCCAGACTGACAACGCTGATGTTACTATGTGTCATAAAGGGATTATAAATCTTTAAGTGTGTTCAACCAAGTTTCAATACCGGGAATAATTCATATTTATCCCGAGAGTCCCAGGAAATACCGCAAAAATCGGAAGTGCCCATTTCAAGCGTTTAAAACCAAGATATGGTCACTAAACCAGGGTTCTCCCAAAATAAGATTTCGGTGTGCCACATTGCCGGAGCCACTAGCCTATGTAAAGATTTCACAGCAAGTGAAACTGATATTTAGTAATAATAGAGTAAACTTTAACCGCCAATGACATTGTTGTGAATTGCGAAACAGGCCGTTCATAAATTCTGAGCGTTATGTTCCTCAATTAATTCAGCGCATTTCAGCAGTACGCTAGGCCTACACTATATCGACACAGAGTGCGCTCAGGATGCACAGAGCGTACCCTGAGTAGGCTATAGCGTTTTCGAATCATACAGACTTTGTAACAGCAGTCAAACAAAAGTCAAGTGACCAAAGTTGCTAAGCTTGCTAGATAACCCTCAACGAATGACATAAAAATCGAGTTGATGATTATACAGATAGCAGATCAGCTCATGAATAACAGAGAGATTAAATTGTTTAAATATGAAGTTATCTTAAATGGGGACCAATTGTTAAAAAAAAATGTCCATATCTACTCTCAAACCATTTGTTGATCACACATTCTCTACCGAAGCTCTCATATGGTCAACGGGGTAATGTTACAGCTGTATTTTGACCTGCATGTGACGTGCTTTGATAATGCAACCTCTGATGAGAATTCTAAACTGAATTCGGGTTTCTGTGTGCAGTCCGGCAGTGTCAACTATGCGTGTGCCTTGAATTTATAGGGACTTTTTGTTAAGTAAATATGCTAGGTTAAAGGCTTTCATAAAACAACCTGCTTGGATAATGTGCTATTTTATTTATTGCCAATCTGCTGCTGCGCCTGTTCTGTAGGCTATTTTGTGGAATTGCATTAGTGCGACATTGGGGGAAAATGTTGTATATTCCCGGGTCTTGTCATAATTTATTTTCGGGAAATGTGAAGAGTGGTCTCAGGACAGTCCTGGGATCCCGGTTACCGTTGTTAATCCCTATAGTTTACTTGGGTTTTATAAACTCACCAAATTCAAACTGTTGATTACTAGTCTACAAACAGATACATCATAATAATAATAATAAATAATAATTATTATTTGGTGGGTGCTTATTTGTCCTGTGTTTTTTCTCCCCAACAGTGGTGACCCCTCATTCAGGGCAGGTGCAGAGCCCCTCCTGTTTTGAGCCCCACATGTTTAGCAAAATAATGGGGGGGGGGGGGGGGGGGGGGGCTTGCCTTTTTTGCATGTTATTTTGGCATTAATACGTGTCACATCAGTTTGCAAACAATGTAAAAAATGTTTTTATAATAATTGAGTTAATAAAGCCGCATACAAACATGGTCTCTTTTTTGCTTTCTTGAGTAAGGCAGCTCCAAAATGCATGTGTTTCAGCCTAGCTCAGTGCTGTCTGTGGTGGTGGGGCAGCCAGCGGAAAATACGGAGCGTAGGTGTTGGTAATGTTCTCTAGTTGCGCCATGATTAGCTTAGTGTTCTGTCACTCATGGGGACATTAGGTCACGCCAAGTCTAAGGGTAGACCTAGAAAGTTCAAGCCCCTTGGGTGCTGCCATAGAGTTACATTAGAAGTGCCCATCCAAGAAGGCTCATGGTCATTGGCCACAGATAAAATGACATCAAATCACGTTAGATCTACAGTAGCTTTGATTGGACTGATCATGTCCACATCATACTTAAAAATCTTAGCTAGCAGTCATCATCATGAATCAAGTCGACAATCTACTGGCAAATCCTTTTTAATCCTTGTCATATGAAGAGAAATAATGAAGAGAAATTATAGATAAAACGTATCGTGCTCATCGGCCATTGGACATAAACATTACACAACAAGTTGGAAATCGCAACTTCAACAATGAGTGGTTGGAAAGGAATCAGTGACAGTGGCTAACTGCAAGCATTGCAAAGCAATCACTAGCCTGCTATTCAGTGGAGTGGCTGTGTGGTCCCAAATCTGGGATTAAGGGTCTCTTTTCCAAGTTTAAAATGATAAACATTCAACATTGGCCATGCTGTCAATGCAGCATGATTTGTGCCGTGCTCAAAACAACTGTTAACTCGGAACTGCGAAAACTTTACTTCAGTGAGTTCAAGACAACTGGAAAGTTGGGAAAAAACGAGCTCCAACTGGGAAATACATTTTGAACAGTCATCCAACTCGGAATTGTAAAATCGGGAACTCTGGCCTCTTTCTAGAGCTACGACCTGAAGATCAATGACGTCATCATGATTCAACCTTGTTTTTTTCAGAGTTCCCAGTTGTCTTGAAAGCACCATAAATCCAGAGAATGCCAGACTTTGATGACAAAATTTGCCCATGAAGGACCACCGCGCCAGCTTCCTGTTCAAGTGAGCACAGCACAACAAGGTGAGTCAAAAAATGTATTGTATGCTGTTGCATAAATGATGTAATATGCCAGGGAGATCTGTATACTGTAGCTAAGAAAGTAATACTAAGTGTACGTTGTGTAGTAAACTGTTAGTAGCCCATGTGCCTCACCCTAATAACTTGGTCTATTTACCCGAATTCTGTCGCTGTACATTTCAAAAGTGCTAAACAAATCATTATTGACTACGTCCATCCTAGCTCGCTCATTAATGTCTTAATCGCTTGTCGTCCCCTTATGCCATAGTTTGTACATCTCAATTGTCATTAGAAACCACATTTGTTTAAGCAAGTCAGCCATATCAGCTATGTTTATTTAAAAGGCAGTAAATGAGGCTGAATGAACTGTTTCGCTGCCAGACAAGGCTCCGCTGATAGCCAGGTGTAGCAGTGGTAGGATGTTGGGACAGCTTTTATGTAGGCCCTAACAGTTTGTGGGCACCGTTTGTCACCGTTATAGTGCAATTCATGTGTTGTTAAGTGTTGTGTAGTGGCTTTGCTGGCATGTATCCCACTTTTTTGTTTTTGTTTGCCCCACCAAGATTGACATGCTAAAATCGCCACTGCTCCCCAAGACACCCTCAGAGAGCTGGGTCACGGCCAGGGTCAGCCATTATCAACAGCAACCCTTGAGCAACTATGGTTAAGTGCCTTGCTCAAGGGCACAGACAGATTTATTTACCTGGCTCAGGGATTCGAACTAGCAACCTTTTGGTTACTGGCCCAAAGCTCTAACCACTACGATACCTGCTCTCTCACTACTCTCCAGTCTACCAAACCGACAGACAGATCCAGCTCTAAATGCTTGCTAATCCTCACCACAGACAGATTAAACTTGCACTCTTAACTGTATTAGAAGCAATCTGTTGGCTCCCTCTGGAAATATTTCTCACAGGAGTGCCACCCCACTGTGCCTACGCAGAGCAGGAGACTGGAATAACAGAAATAGCATGTCTGTCTCTGTGGATAGACTCACAGCTAACCCCTGTGACAATAATGAAATAACCACATACAAACCCGCTCAGAAAAGATAGAGAAAAGTTTACAGTAGACTACACAATGGATTACACGTAAACATAAAGACTACATTATTACACAGACATAACATCATATGTACACAATCTGGAGCTAAGAACCAAATAAGCCATACTTGCCTCCCATGACAAAGTGTACAGTGCATTGGAGCAACTGGAGCAGAATACTCACATAGGTGGGAGGGACCATGGGTCCTCCTCCACCCTAACCCCCTCTTCTCTGGGCACAGCCCTTAGTCGACATGCCCCTGTCCATACCCCTCCATCCCATCCACAACACAGCACCACTCAGCCCAACCAGGAAGAGAATGAACAGAGTGAGAGTAAAAGACGGAGAGAGGGAAAGAGAGAGTGATAGAAAAGGGGAAGTCAAGACAGAGATTGTGTCACAGTGGCTGTGACTGTCAATGAAGGAAGTTAGTTTTCCCATCATTGTGCCATCAGTAAAATACTTCCTGTTTATTGTACTGACCTGTGCGTCATTCATATTGGTCGAGGTGATGTCGTCCTCTACTTCTTTTCCTCCTTCACTGCAGTCTGTCTGCTGGGGGCTAACCCAGAGAGAAAGGTGAAAGGTCAGTGTATCAGTGTCTCTTGGAGCCCAACCAGAGAAATGATAAATTCTCTCCCTCAGTAATAAAATGTTGGTGGGTGCTTATCTCTCTCAGATAGTAGGAAGCAGCTGGGGTCACTGACTGCACCAACCTATGTGAGCAATGTCACTGCCCCAGCCCCGATTACAGGTGCATCGTGGGTATGCAAAGTATCGCTAAAGGGGCCCAATTACACAGCCAACACTTCCCTCTTCACTCGGCTTGGAAAACACTAATTTGACTGGCAAATGTGTTCAGAGAGGAAGAGAAGCATGCTACAGTGCACTCACATACACCGAAACTACGACTGTACAGTAAAAGCCACAGAGCTCAGTTCTCACCTGCCAGTCAGTAAAATGGTCTCATCCATCACAGGGTAAGTGCAGCTGGGAGATACCATCTCAGCCAGCCTGAGGGGTGGACTGTTCCCAGCAGTGATGGTCCTGTCGTGTTCTGGTGAGCCAGGCTGAGGTGTGTCTTGAAGAAGGGGCACTACGGTGTCAGGGCTCATTGCATCTGGACAAAAGGGTGAGGAGTCATCATAAGTGAAACAGCATTGGAGAGGGCCATCCAACTTAATGAAATATACTGAATGCATGAAGAGAAATACTACATTTGCTGTAGTTGCAGGCTAGAGTGAGTCAGGGATGGCATGGTGCAGAGAGAGAAAGACTGATCAGAGGGGAGGAAGAGAGAGAGAGAGTGATGAGAGAGAGATGGTCTTACCCGATAGAGAAGAGTGGCAGGGAGGGAGTGGATGCTCCTCAGTGTCAACAGCCGGCTGGTGGGCGTCCTCAGGCCCAAAGCATTCTGGGAGTTTGACACCCTGAGGAACAACACATACAGATAATTATCCATGTAAAAAAAAGTATAATAAGAGTATGAATATGATAAACAGATGAGCATCAATACATAACAGCCACCTGTCCATTCAGTTCATGTGAAAGGATGTAGCGAAATCAGACTGGCAAGCAACAACACCTTTGCTTATCCAACAACAAAGCATATAAAACAATCAACTCTGTGTCAGTGTGAGTCACTGTCCATTCCCTATCGATCCGATTGAGTAAGAAAGCTCGACTTCAGAAGATGAGCCATTCCGTTTTGTCTATCTAGAACTAATGACATGAGCAAATAAGTCAATTTGGTAGTCAAATAAATACAAGGCTGTATGAGTTGTTATGTCAAGTGGGAGGTATAAAGTATGAGAGAGGAAGATGGAAGGAAAGAGTGCGTGTTCCAGGCTAGATTTGTCCATGTCCTGTTGTCTATTCTCAGAGGTGTGGTTAACACTTCTGCTCCTGTTCCAATACTCTTAAAATCCTTCCTCTGTTCCTTCCTTGGAGTGATCACTGATCAGACATGATGACTGGACTGGTAAAAGCTACACAACACCTAAGTGACCAGGATAGATAGGTGATTCATTCAAGGAAGAGATAAGGGAAGGATGTATGTTCAAAGTATTTGAACGGGGCCTATGACCGTTTTCAGTTTCCTGCCCACCAGAAGTGGCCTCTTAAAACTGTCATCATCGTCACATACGGTCACATGCACTCCTGACGACTACGTAGATCTACATACTAGAAGGGATATCCCCATTCAAAGCATTGTTCCAAGGTGGGGTTCTACTCAAATGAACACCCATTCTTTTATATGAAAAACCATCACCAGTCAAATCTTAACAGTGACAGAGCAATGTTCCTTTCACAAAACACATGAGGGCAACCCCAAAGATATCTGGCTTTTTTGGTATGGTTATATAGTTCAGTATTTTAAGTCTGGAGTGGATAACCAGCAAACTAATCCAGATAATAGCTATAAATCACACTGACACAGTAGGAGTACATACACAGAGTAATAGGTTTTAAAGACTGCCATCTACCTGTGGGGAAAGACTGTTCACCCTCTGGTCACTGTCTGTTGACGCTGTGGTTTCTGAGAGAGAAAAAGGGAGGGACAAGGGGGAAGAGGGAGAGAGGGGGGTAGAGGAAGGGAGGGGGAGAGAGACAGGAAGGAACAAGAAAAGCTAATTAGTTCAAGTTGAAAATCATCTCCGTGATATTCAGCTGGGGTCACTGGCAAGGTCAAACTAAGCCCCACCCACTACCATCTTAGACCATAATATTAGACTATTAAACTCCCCGTCTGTGTTAGTGGGTTTAGAGGCAGTAATGACCACATTCTTTGGGTTCTGGCAGCCAGTGATGCAGGGAGACCACTGGGGATTACTGAACGCTTCCAATGGGTTTGGATGACTTTAACACCTGGCCATAGAAGGCTGGGGCCGAGAAGACTTGCCAGAGAACAGCCACACACACACAGAAGGCTGGGCCCTCTAAGGGCCTTTAACCAGGACACACACAAAGAGGTCCCTAGCTGGAGACCCTGGCCATCTATGGCTGTCCTTGCCACAAACCCCAGAGGGCTGTGTGTGTGTCTGGGCCTGGTCCTTCAAGGGTGGCTGAGTGCTCTGTGACTCCAGGGATTACCGGAGTAATCCACTCAGGCTTCTGACGGACTCACTAACCCCTGGTTTACCCAGTGTTTCACCCGGCTCAGTAGTCCAGAACCATAGAGAGAGACCTTACAGGAACTCCTGTAAACTCACTAAAATACAGCCCAATATGGTATTATAATAGGATATCATCATAACTAATCTGGGGAATCCTACACATTCACCTCTCAGATCCTCTCCCTCCGTCTGGTCGGGTTCACTTCTTTCCGAGAGAGGAGAGAGAAGGGAGATCCCCCTCAGTCCCCCCTCCTGTCCCTCTCCCCCCACAACGGTCCACCTCTCCCCCACCTCCCCCTCCTCCCCCTCTCCAGGCTGGTCCCCTCTCTCCGCCAGTCTGTCCTCCGTCCTCCTGTCCGTCTGTCCTGTCTCCTGACTCTTGAAGTCCCTGTACATCTCCACCCCCTCGTTCTTCAGGAAGTCTTGGAGGACAAACTCCTCGTCCCAGTCCAGGTCCTCCCCAGCCTGACAAAGTAAATAAAATGAATTACAACCTGCTCAGGGAATTCATATTTATAAAGCATTTTTCACATTAGCAGTTGTCACAGAGGTTTTTCAGTAACTCTGCCTAGATACCAAAGAGCACGTAGAAGCACGATAGTGCAGGAAAAACGGTCTAAAAAGGTTAATGAATAAAAAAACAGATTGAATAGACTAGAACCTCATAGATCATGCCAGGAGCAAAACAAACAGTAGGATAAAGTTACACTTGTTTTTTCAATGTGTCAATGTTTTAATTGCATTTGTCCCTACTTAAATACATGATAAAGATATACAAATAGAACTGAGCCTGTTCAAAGTGCTAATGTTAATTTTCAGAGTTTAACAGCAAATCAAAAGTTACATTTTCCCCAAATTCTGATCTAAGATCAGTTATGTGTTTCTCCTCCCTAATAGTTAAGGTTGGTGAGATGGTAAACCGATCCTAGATCTGTGCCTATGGGCGATAATAGACCAAGGCACTTACAAAATAGCATTACAGAATAGGAGAGAGATTAACAACACAGAATATTTCTCCTGATCAGAAAGTGTGCAAAGTGTCCACTCAGCTACCCACTCCTACTCCATCCTCTAGTGTCTCTATTAAACAGCCTTTCCTATTCACAATCTGAATCTGAGTCCTATTCTCTGCTATGTTCCATGTTCTTATCCATCTGAATCTGAGTCCTATTCTCTGCTATGTTCCATGTTCTTATCCATCTGAATCGGAGTCCTATTCTCTGCTATGTTCCATGTTCTTATCCATCTGAATCTGAGTCCTATTCTCTGCTATGTTCCATGTTCTTATCAATCTGAATCTGAGTCCTATTCTCTGCTATGTTCCATGTTCTTATCAATCTGAATCTGAGTCCTATTCTCTGCTATGTTCCATGTTCTTATCCATCTGAATCTGAGTCCTATTCTCTGCTATGTTCCATGTTCTTATCCATCTGAATCTGAGTCCTATTCTCTGCTATGTTCCATGTTCTTATCCATCTGAATCTGAGTCCTATTCTCTGCTATGTTCCATGTTCTTATCAATCTGAATCTGAGTCCTATTCTCTGCTATGTTCCATGTTCTTATCCATCTGAATCTGAGTCCTATACTCTGCTATGTTCCATGTTCTTCCCCCATTCTCCCAGGTCTCCCAATCTCTCGCTTAGTCCTACCTGTGGATCATCAGGGTCAGGGGTTTCACAGCTAGCCTCTTTGCCTCTTCCCTCCCTCCATCTTTGTATCTCTCTCTCCCTCCTACCTGTGGGTCCTCGTCGGGGGTCTGGCAGCTGGCCTCCCTGCTGTCCCCCGGGGTATTTAGCTGGTCCAACTCCTCACGCAGCTGCTGCTTCTGATTCTCCTGCTCCTGAACCCTACATGGACAGACCCACGTAAATTACACATATTTACACAGACAGACACATAAAGCAACACCCCCCATCTACCCTAAAGTCAACAATACAAGGTCACTTAACACACATATTTCCAAAACCATGTCAATCATGCATCCAGTGACAACAAAGCAAATTAACCGATTCATCACTCTCACCCAGCCCATTGACAGCGTAGTGAAGGGTCCATAACATAACATACTGTACCCAATCCGCAGGCCCATGCAGTGTCCCATGCTGCCGTTGCCCAGCCTGTACTAGGATGATAGGGGCTCTCCAGAGCTCCTAACTCCCAGTATCGGACAGCTCCTAACACCTAGTCCCAGAGTAGTCCAGAGGGCCTGTGCACAGCTGGCTAGCCCAGACAACATTCCCACAGCCTGGCCTGATAACGGCCCCCCTCCCACCTTTATCCTCCAGAGCAGGGCGGCAGTGTGGAACGGGCCCACGTGGCAGTGAGGCAGCTACAGACAGAGAGCCATACTGGGCCAGGACCCAACCACTACTTAGACAGGTTACAGGTCACCCAGTCAGACCCAGAGCACAGAGACTTCAGGAGAGCAGAGGGAAGCAGCCAAATATGACCAGATCCCTCCTGTCAGAGTCTGTAGTACTTTAGACAATGACAGTCCCTCCCGCCCCACTGTAACCCTTTCTTATACAAGACCAGCAAAACCTAATTGACCAGTGAGAGAAGAGCAGCACCAGTTCCTCTTGACCCTCACTTCCAACCCCCACTCACCTGACCGACAGGTGTAGTATCTCAGTGCGGGACCTCCTTATGTTGCTGGCCATCTTGATTAGTTCTTTCTCCAAGGAGTCGGTGTACTGGTCCAACTGCTCCAGGCTGAGGCCCCACTCTGTCCTCCTTTGATCCAGCTCAGACTGCACTGCCTGGGGGGGAGAAAGGGCAGGGAGTCAGCCTCTTCCTGGAGCTACTGGGTCTCAGGCAGACCGATAGACAGTCTATCCAGCAGTACTGGACATACAGTAAAGTTTGTCCATCTCTTAGTCACAGTCAGTGACACTACTGCACTCACGAAGAATGTTTACTGTGTACGTGTCTGACAAATGCAGATTGGAGCGAGAAAGGAGGTGGGCGAGAGGAAAGGGAGTGAATAGAGTGACAGGGAGGGAGAGAGGAGGAATGAAAGAGAGCAACAGAGGGGGGAAGAGGGAGGTGACAAAGAGAACGAGAGAGAGCAGGGAGGGGGAGAGAGAGCTAGAGTGTGTGTCTGTGTGTGTTGAGAGAGACTGCATTTACGCTACAGCACACTAACTAAGCCGCGCTGTATTAATTAGGCATTGATGGGCTAGAGATAGTTATATAACATTGTAGATTAGGGATCTCTGGAGAGGAGACAGAATAGCCATATTATGTAATCCTCTAAAAGCTACGAGCAGAGCGGGAGAGAGTCCTATTCAGCTAAACGCCTCCCTACTCTCCACATTGAACTCAGTGGGGTGAATCTCAATAGCCTAACTGCTCCTTTCCTTGTCTCATTTCCTGTATCTACATTCTGCACTGATCTGAAAAAACAGGATAAGTGAAAAGCAATATGATGGAAAACTAAAAGGTATTTGCTCTCTTCTCTTGAATCTCTGAACCTAGAGAAACACCATCCTCCGCTTTGGTACACATATTTGACCCCCAGCATGCCTACGCACACACACAAACACCTACACACACAGGAGAATATGGAGAGTTCTCTGGTACAGAGTGATTCAGTAACATCCTCCTCCACAACTGGGCTAGATAGTGGGTTGATACATCCACTCTAATGGTTCTAGTGTGTGTGTGTGTGTGTGTGTGTGAGAGAGAGAACGAGTGAGAGAAAGAGGGAGAGAAAGCAAGAGAAAAATAGTGAGAGAATGACAGTGGGAGAGAGAGCGTGAGAGAAAGTGAGCGAGAACAAGAGAGGGAGAGAGTGTGTGAGTGAGAGAAAAGAGAGCAAGAAAGCGCGTGAGAGCAAGAGAAAAAGAGGGAGAGATTGAGAGGGGGAGAGAGAGAAAGAAAGAAGGAGTGAGAGAACGAGAGAGGAGAGCCTGTGTGTGTGTGTGTGTGTGTGTGTGTGTGTGTGTGCCCCTCACCTGCAGTCTGGGGTCTCTACTAGCCCCTGGTCCTCCATAGTGATGTATAAGTCCTCTGAGTGTTGACAAGATGGAGAGACCCTCGTCCTTAAAATCTCTCTTCTGAAAACAACCAGAAAAACAATGAATGTGATTCAGGTTCTCCATGTAACTACTTTTAGTATTAATCAATTCAATTTGCTATGCTGGCTAGATACCAGTCCCTTCATAGTGTATTGAGTGCATAATTAGGACAGTAATGGCTGAAGATATCTAGTGAATTATCAGGACTGCTGTATCTAGTGTATAAATTGGGACAATGTCTGCTGTATCTACTGTATAGAGTACCAGTTTGTTGATGAGGCTCTTGAACTCCAGGGACATCTGGTCAGGTGTGGGGCCCTGCAGGAGCAGAAACACCTCCCTGTCCAGAGTCTCATCTAGAGCAGACGCAGAGCTCAGCGGCGACACACACTCAGCACCCTGGGAATAAAACAACACGACTTGGTCATTAACCCTGAAGCGAATAGGCTGATGGTGTCAGTAAACTATAGCCTAATAGGGTCTTTGGAGCTGATGTTTTGGGTGAATACAGTGGGTGGGTCCTGAAAGGTGAGAGAGTACTCAAACAGAGAGAGTGGGTGTTCAATTCACAGGCAGCTACTTCAGAATGAAAAAATGCAACTCCACTATGCTCCCTGCACTGTGACAGATTTGTGACACAAACATGGAACTAGGGGATATATTTAATTATAAACTGGGTGGTTTGAGCCCTGAATGCTGATTGGCTGACAGCCGTTGTACATCAGACCGTATACCATTGGTATGAGAAAACATGTATTTTTACTGCTCTAATTACGTTGGTAACCAATTTATAATAGCAATAAGGCACCTTGCGGGTTTGTGGTATCTGGCCAATATACCACGGCTAAGGGCTGTATCCAGGCACTCAGTGTTGCGTCGTGCATAAGAACAGCCCTTAGCTGTGGTATATTGGCCATATACCACACCCCCTCGTGCCTTATTGCTTAACTAACCTCCGGAGGTGTTTGAGCAAGGGCCAGTTCTGTCTGCAGGGACCCTGAAGAGCTCTGGTTCAACCTGTACACCACCGACAGGGAGAGACCTGCACTGCAAGAGGGAGAGCGAGAGACAATGAGAGAGAGAGAAATGCAAAAAAGAGACAGAATGAAAAAAAAATATATAACATCATCCCACTCCACAGAGCACAGACCGCTTCAGGGCAGAGCAAACCAAACAGAACAAACTACGAAGACAAAAGGACATAGTTAAACAACAGAGAATACACAGCATTCCCCAATCCTGCTACTAGAACAGTCAAGGCACCATCTCTAATACATACTTACGCTGCCATGTCTGGCTGCATCATGTGCATCTGGCTCTCCAGCTTGGACTTGTCTGCTCTCAACAGCTGTCAGAGACAACAACAGACATCAAACATGGTTAGATAACACCACTACTGCTGCAGCTAATACATATTCACTGCAGCTGACAGAGACAGACAGACATGCCTGCATATCCATAGTACTCTGCTGAGAGAGATGGACATAAATACTTTTGCAGAGCTCTCTGGTCAGCAGTACAGAGCAGTGGGGTACAGTATTGCTGCTTGTACCCATCCGCTCCTTTATGATCTAGTGCATGGGAGTAAGGGCTAAGGGGATAGGGGGTGATTTGGGGTAATGATTACCAGACAGCCTCCTCACCTCTGTGACTGACGAGTACTCCACTACTGCAGCCTTCAGCTCCTCAATCTGTCTGCATTTCTGTAGAGGGGAGACAACATGACAGCAATATTATTTATTTTCAGATTTATAAAAAATTGTCAGATCAAAAAGCTTCCATGCCCTGAAGCCTGGGTTATTATTGATCTAAGGACCCAATCTACAATGTGACCTTCGCTTTGTACAGCCGTGCTATAATAGAGATTATAAACTGGGAGGTTCGAGCCCTGAATGCTGATTGGCTGACAGCTGTGGTATATCAGACCGTATACCACGGGTACGACAAAACATTTCTGATACTGCTCTAATTACGTTTGTAACTAGTTTATAATAGCAATAAGGCTCCTCGGGGGTTTGTGATATATGGCCAATATACCACGGCTAAGGGCTGTGTCCAGGCACTCCACGTTGCGTCGTGCTTAAGAACAGCCCTTAGCCGTGGTATATTGGCTATATACCACACCCCCTCAGGCCTTATTGCTTAAATATAGGAGACAGCACAGCTATAATAATGATCCATCTTTATTAATTACTGAGCAGATACCGAACAAAATAACTATAAAGAAAAGCTTTGTTTTTTTATTCAGATGATACTGACCTGGAGTATGAAGGATTCCTTTTCACTCATGACAGCATCGAAGGAATGGTTTTGGACCTGTGGACGACAGAACAGACAATACACCATGACACCACTGGCACTCATCCACAACACACAGACAGACCAATCAGGAGCAGGCGTGGGGATCACTTTGATCCTAAAGGCCAGTTATGTAGGACCATAGCACTGCACTCTTCTTTTCAGAAGACCATGAAAAGCAAAAAAACATTCACACAACCTTTACTTTACTTCTAGGTCCAGTTTACCAGAAACAGATTAAGCCTAGTCCTGGACTAAGACGCATTCTAAATGGACAATCTTAATTGAAAGGGATTTTCTAGTCCAGGACTAGGCTTAATCGGTGTCCAGGAAACCGCTTCCTAGTTGCCTACCTTGAATCGCTTATTCCCTCGACAGTACAATAGCTCGTTCACTTATATTCACTGCAGACACACAACAGTTATGAGGACCCACCTGCAGCTCAACGTTTAGGTCACAAAGTTCAATCATCTTCTTCTGGAGGTCATCCATCTCCATGGTGACCTTGATGTTCTAGTCCACAGGTGTGGTGGGGGAGAGCGAGATTAATAGTTCTACTCAAAAGAGATGGCTTATTTTACCTTACCATGTCACCTAACAGTGGACAAGGTGCATTAGAGTAAATAGCTATGGAATGGCATTTCCTAAATCAGTGTCTGCTGTTTTTCCATGATCTAGGACAGTATTTCCCAACTCTGGTCCTCGAGTACCCCCAACAGTACACATTTGTATTGTAACCCTGGACAAGCACTCCTGATTCAACTTGTCAACTAATCATCAAGTCCTCAATGAGTTGAATGAGGTGTGTTTGTCGAGGGCTACAACAAAACTGTGTACTATTGGGGGTACTTGAGGACCAGAGTTGGGGAAACAGTGTCCAAAATCATGGAAAAACTGCAGACAAGAAGTCCCCAGGGGAAACAGATAGCCCTGCTGCTTTGTTGTTGTTTCTCCCTAGTAAGCGCTTAACTGATCAATGACACTGATTGGTCGGAGAGCATCATCCTGATGACTAGCCTCCAAATCAATCTCTCATTAAAGGAATGACAACCACATACAAGCACTTGAGGTGCATTATAGATGCCTCCAATGAAAGACATGATAAAGTAATGAAATTACCAAGATCGATTTAGATCTTGCTGAAAGGGGTTCTGTATGCAGAGAGAAAGGTATACAATACAGTACCTCATCCTGAAGACAGATTATCTTTGCAATCAGACTCTGGTTCTCTTTCTCCTGTTGGGGAGATGTAAAAAAAAATAAAGGAAACACCAAACCCAGCCAGAACAGCTACAGTGCACCTTGGCATTGAGAATACAAGTGTCTGGAACTCGATTGGAGGGATGCAACTCCCTTCTTCCTCGAGAAATTCCATAATATGGGGTTTTGTTGATGGTGGTGGAAAATGCTGTCTCAGGCACCGCTCCAGAATCTCCCTTAAGTGTTCAATTGGATTGAGATCTGCTAACTGAGATTGCCGTGGCATATGGTTTACATAATTTTCATGATCATCAAACCAATTCAGTGACCACTCGTCACTTGTGGACTGGGGGTATTATCATCCTATGGGGGCATAGCAATGGTAGCCAAAATAATGGCCTGCCTAGCATCTTTATACATGACCCTAAATTAACTCAGGAACCACACCTGTGTGGAAGCACCTGCTTTCAATATACACTGAACAAAAATATAAACGCAACATGTAAAGTGTTGGTCCCATGTTTTATGAGCTGAAATAAAAGATCCCATAAAATGTTCCATACACACAAAAAACATCTCTCAAATTGTGTGCACAAATTTGTTTACAGTTGAAGTCGGAAGTTTACATACACCTTAGCCAAATACATTTAAACTCAGTTTCTCACAATTCCTGACATTAATCCTAGTAAGAATTCCCTGTCTTACGTCAGTTAGGATCACCACTTTATTTTAAGAATGTGAAATGTCAGAATAATAGTAGAGAGAATTATTTATTTCAGCTTTTATTTCTTTCATCACATTCCCAGTGGGTCAAAAGTTTACATACACTCAATTAGTATTTGGTAGCATTGCCTTTAAATTGTTTAACTTGGGTCAAAGGTTTCGGGTAGCCTTCCACAAGCTTCCCACAATAAGTTGGGTGAATTTTGGCCCATTCCTCCTTACAGAGCTGGTTTGTAGGCCTTGCTCGCACACGCCTTTTCAGTTCTGCCCACAAATGTTCTATAGGATTGAGGTCAGGGCTTTGTGATGGCCACTCCAATATCTTGACTTTGTTGTCCTTAAACCATTTTGCCACAATTTTGGAAGGATGCTTGGGGTCATTGTCCATTTGGAAGACCCATTTGCGACTAAGCTTTAACGTCCTGACTGATGTCTTGAGATGTTGCTTCAATATATCCACATAATTTTCCTTCCTCATGATGCCATCTATTTTGTGAAGTGCACCAGTCCTTCCTGCAGCAAAGCACCCCCACAGCATGATGCTGCCACCCCCGTGCTTCACGGTTGGGATGGTGTTCTTCGGCTTGCTAGTATTCCCCCCTTTTCCTCCAAACATAACGATGGTCATTATGGCCAAACAGTTATATTTTTGTTTCATCAGACCAGAGGACATTTCTCCAAAAAGTACGATCTTTGTCCCCATGTGCAGTTGCAAACCGTAGTCTGGCTTTTTTAATGGCAGTTTTGGAGCAGTGGCTTCTTCCTTGCTGAGCGGCCTTTTAGGTTATGTCGATATAGGCCTTGTTTTACTGTGGATATAGATACCTTTGTACCTGTTTCCTCCAGCATCTTCACAAGGTCCTTTGCTGTTGTTCTGGGATTCATTTCCACTTTTCGCACCAAAGTACGTTAATCTCTAGGGATACAGAACGCATCTCCTTCCTGAACGGTATGACGTCTGCGTGGTCCCATGGTGTTTATACTTGCATACTATTGTTTGTACAGATGAACGTGGTACCTTCAGGCGTTTGGAAATTGCTCCCAAGGATGAACCAGACTTGTGGAGGTCTACCATTTTCTTTTTCCTGAGGTCTTGGCTAATTCTTTTTGATTTTCCCATGATGTCAAGCAAAGAGGCACTGAGTTTGAAGGTAGGCCTTGAAATACATCCACAGGTACACCTCCAATTGACTCAAATGATGTCAATTAGCCTATCAGAAGCTTCTAAAGCCATGACATAATTTGCTGGAATTTTCCAAGCTGTTTAAAGGCACAGTCAACTTAGTGTATGTAAACTTCTGACCCACTGGAATTGTGATAGTGAATTATAAGTGAAATAATCTGTCTGTAAACAATTGTTGGAAAAATGACTTGTGTCATGCACAAAGTAGATGTCCTAACCGACTTGCCAAAACTATAGTTTGTTAACAAGAAATTTGTGGAGTGGTTGAAAAACAAGTTTTAAATGACTACAACCTAAGTGTATGTAAACTTCTGACTTCAACTGTACATCCCTGTTAGTGAGCATTTCTCCATTGCCAAGATAATCCATCCACCTGGCAGGTGTGGCATATCAAGAAGCTGATTAAACAGCATGATATTACATAGGTGCACCTTGTGCTGGGGACAATAAAAGGCCAATAAAATGTGCAGTTTTGTCACACAATGCCACAGATGTGTCAAGTTGAGGGCGCGTGCAATTGGCATGCTGACTGCAGGAATGTCCACCAGAGCTATTGCCAGAGAATGTAATGTTAATTTCTCTACCATAAGCCGCCTCCGTCGTTTTAGAGAATTTGGCAGTATGTCCAACCAGCCTCACAACCACAGACCATGTGTAACCACGCCAGCTCAGGACCGCCACATCCAGTCTTCTTCACCTGCGGGATCATCTGAGACCTAACACAGACAGCTGATGAAACTGTGGGTTTGCACAACCGTAGAATGTCTTCACAAACTCTCAGAAACCTTCTCAGGGAAGGTCATCTGCATGCTCGTAGTCCTCACCAGGGTTTTGACCTGACTGCAGTTCGGCGTTGTAACCGACTTCAGTGGGCAAATGCTCACTTTCGATGGCTACTGGAACGCTGGAGAAGTGTGCTCTTCACAGATGACTCCGGGCAGATGGCAGACAGAGTATGGCGTTTTGTGGGCGAGTGGTTTGCTGATGTCAAAGTTAATGAACACAATTGCATTTTATCGATGGCAATTTGAATGCACAGAGATACCGTTACGAGATCCTGAGGCCCATTGTCATGCCATTCATCAGCCACCATCACCTCATGTTTCAGCATGACAATGCACGGCCCCATGTCGCAAGGATCTGTACACAATTCCTGGAAGCTGAAAATGTCCTAGTTCTTCCATGGCCTGCATACTCACCAGACATGTCACCCATTGAGCATGTTAGGGATGCTCTGGATCGACTGCGTGTTCCAGTTCCCGGCAATATCCAGCAACTTCGCACAGCCATTGAAGAGGAGTGGGACAACATTCCACAATCAAAAGCCTGATCAACTCTATGCGAAGGAGATATGTCGTGTTGCATGAAGCAATTAGTGGTCACACCAGATACTGACTGGTTTTCTGATCCACGCCCCTACCTTTCCTTTAAGGTATCTGTGACCAACAGATGCATATCTGTATTCCCAGTCTAATGAATTTATTTAAATTGACTGATTTCCTTATATGAACTGTAACTCAGTAAAATCTTTGATGCTGTTGCGTTTATATTTTTGTTCAGTGTAGATCGTTGAATAGCATGACAGTGAAGATGAAGTGTGAGGGTGTGTATATATACCATATGTTTGCTCTGAGCCGAGGCCCTGGCCCTGCCCTCCTCTGTACAGCTCAGACTCATCTTCATCTCCTCCACCTCCTCCTTCAACATCTTCTCCTTCTGGACCAGCTGCTGGCCTCTACAGGGGGGAGAGAGGGACGTTACACTTGGGGATGTGTGTGTGTGTGGAGCCTAATAAGAGATTAAATTAAGACAAGGTGGAATAGGAAGGTAAGCATTTAAAGAGTTTGTGTATGTGTGACTGTGTGTGTGTCTGCATCGGTTGGTGTGTGTGTACAATACATACAGTCTGGCCTGTGACTTGAGCTCCTCATTTTCCTCTGCTAGTTTCTGGTTCTGGTCCTCCATGGTCTCCACGCTCTGCTTCAGCTTCCTCACCTCCTCCTGAAGCTTCTGGTTATTGAACTGCAGGTCGGCCACACAGAACACCAGGTCTGACGTCTCACTGAGTAGGAGCATACACATGAACAGATGCAGTCACATACAGGGTAAAACACGGTTAGTAAAATGTACAATTGGACAAAGTCATGCACGCACACACGAACACAAGCATTACTTACAGATCTGCTCGAGACACCTCCCCTCCAAATGCCTCCAGACTGCCTGAGGTCATGTTCAGCAGGACAGACCTCTTAGCTGACGGAGAGAAGACAGAGAGAGACAAGGTGAGAAATGATCTATGCTTAAAGAGAGAGAAAATACATATTTTTGCTAAAACGATGAGACGTTATTTTAGATGGAGAAGACACAGACAGAGAGAAAGAGAGACAGAGAGACAGCGAGAAACATGGCTACTTGGAGGCATGGTACAAGAGAAAACGTACAACCGGAAAACCTTCACCCCTCAGAACAGTCATCCTTTTCTTTGATTAGTCCTCTAATGTCTCTTATATGTCTGTCTGTATCAACTCACCTGACAGGCTGTCTCGGAGTCTGACAGACTCTTGAGTCAAGTCCTCTGGTGTGTCGTCCCTGTGAAGACGACAAGGAGACAGACACCCAGAAACATGACATTACACAGACACCCAATATCACAGACTTACTCACACACAGCCAGGACAGCAGTAGTTCATGTATCTGTTACAAAAGCTTATCTAATAAACAGCAAGCTCTTTGATAAGAATAATCGGCTGCAAAATTGGTATCCATTTGCCCATGTGACAGAACACATGAATTAGAACACAGCACCCTCTACAGGCAAACAGCTGACAAGATGACATGCACTGCTATATAGTGCACTACGTTTGACCAGAGCCCTGGCCCAAAGTACTGCACTATAAAAGGAATAGAGTGCCATTTGGTGGACACGCATAGAAAACAGCTCTAGTACCCATTCTTTCTGCAGTCATCTATCCACTCCTTCATGATGGCGTGGTAGGTGTCCAGGTCAATAGAGACATCTTTGTGCTCCGGGTCCAGCATATTACACAGGTCTTCCAGCCCACTGTCCTCAGAACCCCGGCTGGTGGTGTGACGCAGGTAATCCACAATACGAGACACGTACACCTTACCTGAAGGAGCAGGAGGAGGGAGGGGCCAGGTTACGGTCTTTACCATAGTCATTTACCGGGTTACTGTGGTCAGTCTGGTGACTAGCACGGTCAGGGACCTCCCCATGCCCAGACGTCATAGCAATCTCCTACCTCCGCCTGAGGTTCTTCAGTAACAGCTTTTAGTAAACAAACAAGGTGTTTACACTCAAACCTTAGACTGAAAAAGCTGTGTAACCTCCACACAACGGGGGTCAAGTGTAGGCCTCCAGAACCTAACCTTCAGTAAACCCTAAACCACAGAGATAAAACTACTAGAAATCCACAAGCTTCCTCTGGGATGCAAGCCGAACGACTAGGCACTACAGACCGCAGAGCAGAGATAAAGGGATCACACTAGAGGATTTCTTAAAGAACGCCCTGTTCCTCCATTGCCACAGGCCAATCAGCTCAGGAGGAGGCAACATAAGACAGGAGGGGTGGGGAGACTGACAGGATTGTAAAGAGAGAACCACCCATAAGGAATCTAGAGCACTTGTATCACATAATTGACTGCTTCAGAAACAAAGAAAAGAAAGCAGACCTGGCTACAACTCAGTGGAGCAATTGATTGACAGCTTTTTTTTTTCCAAAGAATTATCACAGTGAGAGTGTATGAGACTCATACTGTGTGTGTTCGATACTGTGAGTCTGGGTAGATGAGTGTGCACTCCAGAATGTGCTATATTTGATATTTTGAGTGTGTATGCAAGTTGACTTCTGTGCTCAGCGTATATTTGATACTTTGAGAGTTTAATACTGTGTCTGTGTGTGTGTGTGTGTTTACCTCTGCGCTGGGTGTCACAAGCGTGGAAAATGGTGTCTAATAAATCCTCTTCACAGATCAGACTGACCTCAGCCTTCATCTCCTTCTGGTTCTCTGAGGAGAACATGGCTCCTACACACACACACACACACTTTCTGTAACTACACCGGCCAATGGCCACTTCATCAGTGGCCAATAAACACGATTCTTCTTCTGTCAGTTGCATAACTTTCCTTGAGGCAACATAAATGTAAATGTAATAATAACATGTGGATAATGTGTGACGTAAGAGATGGTGAATGGAATAGAGTATGTGAGAGGCCTGAGGAATGCTCTTAACCTCCTGTGATCAATAGTCTATATCATTGTTCACTAAGAACTAAGCAGTGCTTTCGTAATCCCACTGTGACCCTCTGTGTGTGTGTGTATTCCCCCTACCGTCTCCCATGGACAGTCTCTTGACAACCAGGGCCGGGTAAGGCAGCTCACACTGCAGCAGGTTGGCCGTGGAGTCTGACGAGCAGAAGTTGAGGTTGTAGGACAGCAGGCTGTGTGCGGGTGTGTGAGTGTGGGACAGAGACGGGATCTTGTGCCTCGCACTGCTGTCTGACCGTGTCCCTGTCCCCGCCTCAGGCTGAGTAAACTGGGGACCATGAGAGAAGTTGAAAAACATGTCTCCAGTCTGGACAGCTGGGGTGGAGCAGTTCCTCTGCCATCCTCTCCCTTGCCCTCCAAACCCCACCCCCGTGCCCCTCCACTCCCCAGGATGACTGGTGATGGTGAACGTAGCATTGACTGGGGTCGGGGGGTTCATGGTGGGGTGGACGGGTGTGGAGGTGGGACAGTGGGAGCTCCTGGGAACCTGGGGTGAACCCTTGGGGGTCAACATCCCCTCCCTCTCGCGCTTCTTCAGGATTACTTCCAGGTTGTGGCGCAGGCCGGACTGGGGGCTGTCGTAGCTGCTGGACGTGAACTTTGGGATCTGGAAGGGCGAGGAGGGGTTAACCTCATGGTTGTGCCGCTGGATGTTCTGCAGTTTACGACAGATGCTGTCAACAGGGTTGTGGCGTTGCCGATGGGTCACTCCAAGGTCCATGCTGGAGCAGGTGGGGAAAACAGGACAAGAGCTAGAGAGGGGAGAGGCTGTCATTGGAGACCGGCCATCATTGTAAATATAAATGTGTTCTTAATCGACCTGCCTGTTAAAATAAAGGTAAAATAAATCATTAAAAGGAGACGGGTTTAGTGAAAGGAGAGGAATTATACCGATATGCCATCACACCACATATGTAAGCATACTTCCCAAGTTCATCACGTCAGACATCCCAAATATACTATTTACAGGTATTGATTGAGGTTGTTGTTGTAGTCTATCATTCTTGTGTTTCTTGTGTGTAGACTATAGGGTTATCGTTTTTAAATGGGAGCAATAGAGCACAGCACACCAGCAGAGTCTAGCTGGATAAAAATAAGGACCTTACCTGAGCCACTAACTGAAAGGACACTTATTATTCAATCAATTCTTCTGTAAACTAACAAGAGTGATTGTTACACTAATATACATTTTGTTGACAAGACAAAAATGTTGTAGACCTGTGTTATACAAAATAAAATGACAACGACCGTCATGAATGAGTAATTGATTGACGCCAATTTTCTTTTCTTTTTTGCAATAAATATGAACGACAGACTGGCATAGTTTAAACTTGGATTTTGATGTTGGCTACTAACCTCTCTTTACCGTGTAGCCTATCTTTTGTAAACGTAAATTGTCCTCGTTGAAGTCTTAATTCGCTTGATAGAGCCTTCAAAGTCAAACCACACTCTGGAAATCAATCAGCGCGCTTGAGTGACATGTGAATGCAATTTGAAAGGGACGAGGTAGATCACTCATCTAAAACCAAGCCAACACTGACCCCATGTGGCAAATAATGTTGTTGCATCCCCATTTGATCAAGTCAACAATCAGTTATTTTGCAGTGTAAAAATCCACAATTGGAGATGTGTGATTGTAGAAAGTGGTAAAAACAAACAAATATGTTGTACCACCAGCCAGGTGTTGTCTATGAAGGTGATTACAGTGTCCATGCCCTCCCCTGTGTCCTTTTGTATCTTTAGCTAATAAAGAAACTGCACCCTGTCTTTTGATTAGAATAGAATAGAGCTGAGCTAACTTTGAAGAATAGAATATCTTGCCAACTAATGCCTAGTCCATGTACCTATTTTGCAATAGACATGTTGTGATCCAATTTAAACATCAAAATAAAATAAAATGTGTTACATGCGCCGAATACAACAGGTGTAAACCTTACAGTGAAATGCTTACTTACAAGCCCTTAACCAACAATGCAGTTTTAAGAAAAATCAGTGTTGAGTAAACAATAGATAAGTAAAAAATAAAAGCAGTAAAATAACAGTAAGAATAACAGTAGCGAGGCTATATACAGGGGGTACCGGTACAGAGTCAATGTGCGGAGCACCGATTAGTCGAGGTAATTGAGGTAATATGTACATGTAGATAATAAACAGAAAGTAGCAGCAGCGTAAAAGAGGGGGTGGCCATTTGATTAGCTGTTCAGGAGTCTTATTGCTTGGCGGTAGAAGCTGTTAAGAAGCCTTTTGTACCTAGACTTGGCGCTCCGGTACCTCTTGCCATGTGGTAGCAAAGAGAACAGTCCATGACTAGGGTGGCTGGAGTCTTTGACAATTTTTAGGGCCTTTCTCTGACACCGCCTGGTATAGAGGTCCTGGATGGCAGGAAGCTTGGCCCCAGTGATGTACTGGACCGTACACACTACCCTCTGTAGTGCCTTGCGGTCGAAGGCCGAGCAGTTGCCATACCAGGCAGTGATACAACCAGTCAGGATGCTCTCGATGGTGCAGCGTTAGAACTTTTTGAGGATCTGAGGACCCATGCCAAATCTTTTCAGTCTCCTGAGGGGGAATAGGCTTTGTCGTGCCCTCTTCATGACTGCCTTGGTGTGTTTGGACCATGATAGTTTGTTGGTGATGTGGACACCATGGAACTTGAAGCTCTCAACCTGCTCCACTACAGCCCCGTCGATGAGAATGAGGCCGTGCTCGGTCCTTCTTTTCCTGTAGTCCACAATCATCTCCTTTGTCTTGATCACGTTGAGGGAGAGGTTGTTATTCTGGAACCACACGGTGAACAGGGAGTACAGGAGGGGACTGAGCACACACACCTGAGGGGCCCCCGTGTTTAGGATCAGTGTGGCAGATGTGTTGTTACCTACCCTTACCACCTGGGTGCGGCCCGTCAGGAAGTCCAGGATCCAGTTGCAGAGGGAGGTGTTTAGTCCCAGGGTCCTTATCTTAGTGATGAGCTTTGAGGGCACTATGGTGTTGAACGCTGAGCTATAATCAATGAATAGCATTCTCACATATGTGTTCCTTTTGTCCAGATGGGAAAGGGCGGAGTGGAGTGCAATAGAGATTGCATCATCTGTGGATCTGTTGGGGCGGTATGCAAATTGGAGGGTCGGTCTATGGTTTCTGGGATAATGGTGTTGATGTGAGCCATGACCAGCCTTTCAAAGCACTTCATGGCTACAGACGGGAGTGCTACGGGTCTGTTGTCATTTAGGCAGGTGACCTTAGTGTTCTTGGGCACAGGGACTATGGTGGTCTGCTTGAAACATGTTGGTATTACAGACTCAGTCAGGGACAGGTTGAAAATGTCAGTGAAGACACTTGCCAGTTGGTCAGCGCATGCTCAGAGTACACATCCTGGTAATCCGTCTGGCCCTGCGGCCTTGTGAATGTTGACCTGTTTAAAGGTCTTACTCACATCGGCTACGGAGAGTGTGATCACACAGTCGTCCGGAACAGCTGATGCTCTCATGCATGCTTCAGTGTTGCTTGCCTCGAAGCGAGCATAGAAGTGATTTTGCTTGTCTGCTATGCTCGTGTCACTGGGCAGCTCGCGGCTGTGCTTCCCTTTCTAGTCTGTAATAGTTTGCAAGCCCTGCCACATCCGACGAGCGTCGGAGCCGGTGTAGTACGATTAAATCTTAGTCCTGTATTGATGCTTTGCCTGTTTGATGGTTCGTTGGAGGGCATTGCGGGATTTCTTATAAGCGTCCGGGTTAGAGTCCTGCTCCTTAAAAGTGGCAGCTCTACCCTTTAGCTCAGTGCGGATGTTGCCTGAAATCACGGCTTCTGGTTGGTGTATGTATGTACAGTCACTGTGGGGACGACGTCATCGATGCACTTATTGATGAAGCCAGTGACTGATGTGATGTACTCCTCAATGCCATCGGAAGAATCCCGGAACATATTCCAGTCTGTGCTAGCAAAACAGTCCTGTAGCTTAGCATCTGCGTCATCTGACCACTTCTTTATTATCATATATAAATAAGAGAAGAACAGTAAGTGAAAAGCCATAAACAGCAGGGACAATCACACCTCAATGTAAGCTAATGGATAACTTTCAAAGTGTTACTGTTTATATCAATACAAACATGGTTCTGTGAGATAGTACAATCAATTATTACCTGGGTTCTACACAGAGAAATGTGTTCTAAGAGTGAAGAACAGGTTAGGTCACGTCATTTCCTCAGAGAGAGCGTATAGGCTAGTGACAATCTACACCAAAGGCCCATGAACTGGTTGGAATATATTTTGTACAATACAAGTTCAGATCTAATAGTGAAGACATCAAAACTATGAAATAACACATATGGAATCATGTAGTAACCAGAAAAGTGTGAAACAAATCGAAATTCTTCAAATAGCCACCCTTTGCCTTGATGACGGCTTTGCACGCTCTTGGCATTCTATCAACCAGCTTCAATGGAATGCTTTTCCAACAATCTTGAAGGAGTTCCCACATATGCTGAGCACTTGTAGGCTGATTTTCCTTCACTCTGCGGTCCGACTTATCCCAAACCATCTCAATTTCGTTGAGGTCAGGTGATTGTGGAGGCCAGGTCATCTGATACAACACTCCATCACTCTCCTTCTTGGTAAAATAGCCCTTACACAGCCTGGAGGTGTTTTGGGTCATTGTCCTGTTGAAAAACAAATGATAGTCCCACTAAGCCCAAACCAGATGGGATGGTGTATCGCTGCAGAATGCTGTGTGCCTCTAAATAAATCACCTACAGTGTCACCAGCAAAGCACCCCTACACCATAACACCTCCTCCTCCATGCTTTACGGTCGGAAATACACATGCGGAGATCATCATTTCACCCACACCGCATCTCACAAAGACACGGCGGTTGGAACCAAAAATCTCAAATTTGGACTCCAGACCAAAGGACACATTTCTAATGTCCATTGCTTTTGTTTCTTGGCTGAAGCAAGTCTCTTCTTATTATTGGTGTCCTTTAGTAGTGGTTTCTTTGCAGCAATTCGACCATGAAGGCCTGATTCACACAGTCGCCTCTGAACAGTTGATGTTGAGATGTGTCTGTTACTTGAACTCAGTTAAGCATTTATTTGGGATGCAATTTCTGAGGCTGGTAACTCTAATTAACTTCAATCTTCCATTCCTGTGGCGGTCCTCATGAGAGCCAGTTTCATCATAGCACTTGATGTTTTTTGCGACTGCACTTGAAGAAGCTTTCAATGTTCTTGACATTTTCCGTATTGACTGAACTTCATGTCTTAAAGTAATGATGGACTGTCATTTCTCTTTACTTATTTGAGCTGTTCTTGACATAATATGGACTCGGTATTTTACCAAATAGGGCTATCTTCTGTATACCCCCCTACCTTGTTAGAACACAACTGATTGGACAAACACATTAAGAAGGAAAGAAATTCCACAAATTATATTTTAAGAAGGCACACCTGTTAATTGAAATGCATTCCAGGTGACTACCTCATGAAGCTGGTTGAGAGAATGCCAAGAGTGTGCAAAGCTGTCATCAAGGCAAAGGGTGGTTATTTGAAGAATCTCAAATATAAAATATATTTAGATTTGTTTAACACTTTTTGGGTTACTACATGATTCCATATGTGTTATTTCATGGTTTTGATGTCTTCACTATTATTCTGCAATGTAGAAAATAGTAAAAATAAAGAAAAACCCTTGAATGAGTAGGTGTTCTAAACCTTTTGACCGGTAGTTTACGTTTAATATATAAATGAGAGAAGAACAGTAAGTGAAAAGCCATAAGCAGCAGGGACAATCCAGGGATAGTCAGCACACTACCTTAGGAAAACCTGTTTGGTTGCATGCTATAACGCATACTCTATACTGAACAAAAATATAAACGCAACATGCAACAATTTCAAAGATTTTAATGAGTTACAGTCCATATATGGAAATCAGTCAATTGAAATAATTCATTAGGCCTTAATCTATGGATTTTACATTAATGGGAATACAGATATGCATATGTTAGTCACAGATACCTTAAAAAAAAAGTAGGGGCATGGATCAGAAAACCAGTCAGTATCTGGTGTTTGACCACCATTTGCCTCATGCAGCGCAACACATCTTCACATAGAGTTGATCAGGCTGTTGATTGTGGCCTGTGGAATGTTGTCCCACTCCTCTTCAACGGATGTGCGAAGTTGCTGGATATTGGCGGAAACTGGAACACGCTGTCGTACAGAGCATCCCAAACATGCTCAATGGGTGACACGTCTGGTGAGTATGCAGGTCATGGAAGAACTGGAACATTTTCAGCTTACAGGAATTGTGTACAGATCCTTGCGACATGGGGCTGTGCGTTATCATGCTGAAACATGAGGGGATGGCGGTGGATGAATGGCACGACAATGGGCCTCAGGATCTCGTCACGGTATCTCTGTGCATTCAAATTGGAAGCGGCTTATAGTAGAGAAATGAACATTCAATTATCTGGCAACAGCTCTGGTGGACATTTCGGCAGTCAGCATGCCAATTGCACACGCCCTCAAAACTTCATAAATCTGTGGCATTGTGTTGTGTGACAAAACTGCACATTTTAGAGTGGCCTTTTATTGTCCCCAGCACAAGGTGCACCTGTGTAATGATCATGCTGTTTAATCCGTTTCTTGATATGCCACACCTGTCAGGTGGATGGATTATTTGGCAAAGGAGAAATGATCACTAACATTAATGTAAACAAATTTGTACACAAAATTTGGAAGAAATACGTTTTTTGAGCGTATGGTAAATGTCTGTGATTTTTTATTTCAGCTCATGAAACATGGGCCCAACACTTTACATGTTGCATTTATATTTTTGTTCAATGGTACAACCTACCACTGTACCAATATAGTCAGGTCCAAAATTATTGACAACCTTGATAAAGATGACAAAAAAGATTGTATAAAATAAATAATACAAATACAGAGCTACATTGCATGCATATTTTTTTGGGGAAATTGTATTATTTTATACTAATACAATTGTTCAGAGAAAGACATTTTGTTTAACAAGTAATATTATTTTTCTAAAAAAGATAGGGGTACAAATTATTGGCACCCCTGCTTCCAATATACTGTACATCACCTTGCAAGGATAATGGCACTGAGTCTTTTTCTAAAATATTTTATGAGATTGGAGAACACATTGGGAGGGATCTTCCAGTATCCTTCGTTTGTGCTTATGGACTGCCCTATTTAATTCAAACCACAGATTTTCAATGGGGTCCAAGTCCAGAGACTGAAAATTTAGATTTTGTGGTCAATTAACCATTTGTTTGTGGATTTTGATGGATTGCGGACAAGTTTAAGCCTCCTAGCAGAGGCAAACTGGTTTTTGGCTAAAATGTCCTAGTACTGGGTAAAGTTCATAATGCCTTTGACCTCAGCTCTGTCGTTGTTGGCCATGTCATCATGAAGCATATGGGGACAACAGACTGGGATAGGGAGAGATAGAATATGTCCATAATATACAAATAAAACAGGTTGTCTAGGACTAATGATGGGAGGACAGCTGGAAGTAAGCTACTATAGTAAAAAGGACATATGCCTATATCCACATGAGCTTCTATAAATAACCTTATGGAAAATCTATGACAACCCTGCTTGAGAAAGCCAGCTGGTTAAGCCTTATAATGTGACTATACCATGTGTGTCAGGTTTTAGGCATGGCCGCCTATCTACAATAACATTTGTCCCACAGTCCCACAGAATGTTATTCCCCAAAAAGTGGTCAATAAGTCACACATTACACATTTGCAACGAGAACCAATGTTGTGTTTGGCCCAGGCACCTAGATCTAACATTACACAATGGGCTTGATTGCGAACAAATGTTTAATCTGTAAGCGGTTTAGGAGAGTGTGCTGGTGACATATAGAGAGCGCGCGCCTTCGGTTGCTTATGATTCATCATGGCGAGTGCTACAGCCGTCCCCTCATCAGCAGCGAACGCTCCATCTCTCAAGGTAAATGTCCTCTTCCCAGTAACCGAAAAACGGTCATGCTGGCTGTCCTCGACACTGCTAACCTATACGTTATCGTTGCCTATTTCTGAAAGTGACGGGATAAGAATTCCTGACGCAGGTCTCGTTCAGTAAACACTAAAGCGCGCACGACCGACACAGACAGTAGGATTATAATTCAATACATTTGTTTCAACGGCGTCTGTTATAGATTTTCTGTCACAGCAGTGTTTTGTTATACCGATGAAAACATATGTAACATATCTATATTGCTTAGCCCTATGTGTTTTGAGATGGCAACTGTAGCATATGACGACACATTTTATATAACTGCATCACGCCGACGGGATGTTCTGTTATTCGCGCGTCGCTCTTATAACCAGCCTGTCTATTACAGTAACCTGTGTTTTTATGGGCTTCCTACCAATGGCTAATAATAACTATGGGGGGTAATCAGTGACGTTATTTCACAGTATTTACTGCATGATCACATGTTAAAATAGCTTATATTGTATAATCTAAAACAACCACAATTCTTATTATGATTATTATGCCTGCTATTATTATTATATTATTATTAGGGCCTTTGCAATTGGAGTGATGGTGGCCTAATGTAAATGTAAGCATTCAGTTCACCTGGTGACAGACTATCATCTTGCTGTAGGTAAAATGAGCTCCTGTGCTGTGCCGAGCAGAGCAGGGAATTCAAGCCTCACACAGGCCCTCACAGACAATACCTTTTCCTATCCTCATTTAATTTAGGTCAGCAAACCTCACTGTTCTTTCCAACAACCCCAATCTCTCCCTGCTCCCCGCTCCCCTTCCCATGCTGTTACTTTTATTTTTTATAACTAACCCTGTTAGTTAAAGTAAATAGACTATCTGTGTGAATGTTTTAATAAGCTTAGGCTTATATGTAGTTGTTTACAACCTACATTAAGTTGTCATCTATATAAAGTTGTTTACAATGTCCTCCCAGGGCTCTGGTAAAGGTGTATCCAGCAGTAACGGCATGGATGACAGCGTCCACAGCTTCAAGGTAACATTCTAATCATTTACCCTGTGGTAAAATGTGTATAGCAACAAGCATTATTCTCTGTAACACATTTTGATCACTTCCTCATTCATTTCAAGCGTGTGCAAAGGCATGTGGTACAGCAATGGTATAGTAATGTGGAACAGTTCAGATATTGCACATACTGCTACAATAGTAATTTATATTGCATGTAAACTGCAATCACAAGACATTTGAAGTTTGTCAGTGTATGGCAAACTGGATACGCCATTCCCTCTAACTGCCCATTTCAGTGTGGTGAATCAGGTGAATCACTTGCCTTCAGTGAGGAGCCCAGCTGCACCATCTTGATGTTTCCTGGATATTATTATGATATTCATAAAACCTCCCCTGGTTGTCAATCAAAAGGTCCAGATCACACAAAGAGAATGGACACCTCCCCCCACCCCCATGGCTCTCCTAATGCCTCTCAGTCCGTTAGATCAAAAAAACACATATCCCCCTACAAAAACAACATTACGTCTGCCTCAGCAAAACTGAATCAAAGAAATCCACCTGAGCTCCTGAGATGTTCATTTTATAGATCCATGGTGGTTAACCACTTCTGTGGCCCCTCGTTTGGCCTGTGGCCCCCAGTCCCCTGTGCTAACCACATACTCAATGTTTTGGCCCTTTGTGGCCCTCAGCGAGGTAGAGAGAGAGGAGGATGAGGGCCCTGGTCTATCCAGGAGGTCCTGTGTCGTGTCCGCGGATAATCCACTTTCCCAGATCACGCTAAGCACCACCTGTCAATCAGGCTATGACCTGTGATCTGCCACAGGCTTTAGCTGTGATTTACTATGCTCTCTAATGTTGCACAGGAAGGAGACAGCAAGGTAGGCGGCAGGCGCAGGTGGTGATTTGTTGATTAGGAGAAAGAGAGGGGGAGAGAAATGGGGGAAAGAAAGGGGAGAGAGCGAGAAAGAGAAAGAGAGAGAGAGTTGTCATGGGCTGTGCAGTACCATTTAAAGAATTGGACATTGCTGTAGACCATTTTAAGACTTGGACATTCAGGGCTGGATTAAGCCTATAATTAATTAATCAGGGTCTGAGAAACTGGCCTCATAGATGCTACAGACGCATAATTGCATCAGGTGTGTAGTCTTGAACTACGAGCACCTCTGTAGTACTGTATCTGAGCCTAGCTTGTATACAATATGGACCCCTGTGTTGTTACTGTACTCACTTGCAGGAATCTGACTCATTTTTTGTGACACACCTGAGCTGGATGTAGTGTATTTATAGTTTGGTAATCCCTGGCCAATGGAGTGTGTGAGGTTACGCTGACCATGGATTACATGGAACTCATTCACCTAACACAGCTAAATCATGGTCTCATGCGCTATTACATTAGTTACCAGAGTTATCAGGATCTCTGTAAATGGGCCTATCTCAGATTCTTCACAGCAGGTCAGAAGTGATTTGTTGTGCAATGCACTTATTAAAAGATGTGTGTGAATTCTGAACTAATGAGAAGATATAGAAAATATACTGTATGTATCTCTCATATCTCTCCAATTTTATCACACTGAAGTTTTAAAATATCACTATATCAGATGGCTGGATAAGTATATGGAGATATTAGGCCAAAACATTGGTAACCAATGCTGTAGTCAATGATGTGTGACTGTGAGAAAGAGAGAGAGTAATCTGACAGCACTTCCCCTCTGTAATGAGATTATGCAACGCAGCAACAGGGCTGCGTTTACACAGGCAGCCCAATTCTGATATTTTTTCCTCCAATCCCATCTGATCTTTTCACATGTGACCTTTTTCAGAGCTGATTGGTAAAATATCAGAATTGTGCTGCTTGTGTAAACGCAGCCCAGGAAGGGTAGATCTGAGACAGACCTAATCCAGACAGGCACTGAGAGCAGCCAACCACAGCAGAGCATTTGCCTTTAGATACTGATCTAGAGTAAGTTTCATATTTACCCCCACCCTCATGGTTAAGGTTAGGATTGGGGTAGAGTTATCTTATCCTAGAACTGTGGTAAAGGCAACTCCTACCCTGAGAGCGGTTGTGTCAGGTGTCCTCTGTGGTTGTGTTGGTTTATTGAGTGGCTCATGTTCCTAGGAGGTATAAGCCTGGAGTGTCATCTACTGGCCAGTGGAAGAGTTGCAGAACTCTGAAGCGCCTGATGAGATACAATGGCGAAGGTTCATAAAGATGGAGGAAATCAGATATGACGTCATTGTTTTTAGCACTATCCACAGAGTTTTTAAACTACGGCGCACAACATGGTTCAATGCGCCAATATATCAGCACATTTTTCTAATGCCGGCATCTTGGAGCTAGAATTGGTATCGTGCTAATGGTGATACAAATTTAGCAAATGAGCCATTTGTTGTAAGTCAATAGAAGCCACCATCTTTATGCACCGCTGCTATTGTAGGCTTCATATACTATCTTATAGTGTGTGTTTTTTGAGAGAATGAACACAGAATGAATCCACTTCACTTTGAAATGTCCCCAAAGTACTCCTTAATCAAATGGACATTGTTTTGACTCATACATTTTACAACAGTGATTGTGGACAATGGCATACAGTATATTACACCTAAAGCAGTGTGTATTATGAGTTTACATCTAAACCATGTCCTCTATATTCCCTCCAGGCAGCTGACCTGGTCATTGAGCTGTCCCAGACCCACAAGGCCAAACCTGACCTGACCAACCTGGTGTTTGGAACTGTGTTCACTGACCACATGTTGACCATAGAGTGGACCAGCGCTGGAGGTTGGCAGAAACCTCACATCAAGCCCTTTGGTAACCTGTCTCTCCACCCGGCCTGTTCAGCCATGCACTATGCTGTACAGGTAGGAAACACCTTGTGAGAAAGTTAATGTGTCTCACGCTCACGCTGTCCATTCTTGCTGCCAACCTGATAGTAATGAAGACTACAATGGAAATATGTTGGTCGATTTATTACATTATTTAATTTTGTGTGGATTTATTTAGTACTAAATAACGTATTGGCAATCTGTATGTATTTTAAATATGTCTAATAACATTAATTAATTCAAGGATATGACACAGCAGGCAAAGTTAAAGGTGCAAGATCAGGTGTAGGTTTATTAAATGATATGTGTTACAAAATTAAGGATGGCAGAAATATATACAAAACGTGCAAAACGACTGTGAAAACAAACAAAAACACTGAAAACGTCCCAAATGAAAAGGATTAGGCCTAAACAGGTATTTCTAGCAAATATAACGTACTTGGCACAAGTGGGGTTTAACAGGCTGTAACCAGCCTACCAATGAGCAATTCCAACACTGGTAAAAATGTACAGATCAGCGTCTACATTACAGGTATGTATAGAACCTTCCCCATGGCCTTCACATCTTACAGCCCCAATTTCAGTGTCTTCCATCAGGAAATAGACTGTGCTGCTGAAAGTTTGTGTTGAGAGCTTAAGGTGAATGTACTATACTTTAATTGTAGCTCTGATAAGAATAGGCACAGCTAGGATAGTTGAAGGACAGTTGATTGGACATAAATGGCCAACACATTACATTTTAGTCATTTAGCAGACGCTCTTATCCAGAGCGACTTACAGTTAGTGAATACATATTTTTTTATACTGTCCCCCCGTGGGAATCAAACCCACAACCCTGGCATTGCAAACGCCATGCTCTATCAACTGAGCTACATCCCTGCCGGCCATTCCCTCCCCTACCCTGGACGACGCTGGGCCAATTGTGCGCCGCCCATGAGTCTCCCGGTCGCGGCCGGCTGCGACAGAGCCTGGATTCGAACCAGGATCTCTAGTGGCACAGTTAGCACTGCGATGCAGTGCCTTAGACCACTGCGCCACTCAGGTACATTCACATGTACATTCATATGTACTGTAACTCACTAGCACACACACATAGGTTCAGGAAGCCATTTTCCCATTCTGGTCCTCATTCATTACATTTGCATTTACATTTTAGTATATTCACTCTGTTCAGAGAATGACTAGAGGTCAGTGGTTCTCTCCTGTCTGCCAGTCTTAACCCCTGTCTCTCTCTCCTCTCCTCTGTTCTGTGGTCAGTTGTTTGAGGGTATGAAGGCATACCGGGGTGCTGATGACAAAGTGCGTCTCTTCAGACCCATGCTCAACATGAACCGTATGGCCAAGTCTGCAGAGAGGGCCTGCCTGCCAGTAAGAACACACACAGTACAGGCTATGGTACTATACAGGACAAGCCTTCAGCCTGGAAAATAATATTATATTTAAACTGAACAAAAATATACGCACAAAAAGCCAATTTCTCTCAAATTTTGAGCACAAATTTGTTTACATCCCTGTTAGTGAACATTTCTCCTTTGCCAAAATAATCCATCCATCTGACAGGTGTAGCATATCAAGAAGCTGATTAAACAACATGATCATTACGCAGGTGAACCTTGTGCTGGGGACAATAAAAGGCCACTCTAAAATGTGCAGTTTTGTCACACAACACAATGCCACAGATTTCTGAAGTTTTGAGGGAGCGTACAATTGGCATGCTGACTGCAGCTCTGGTGGACATTCCTGCAGTCCAACGTTGTTTTAGAGAATCTGGCAGTACGTCCAACCGGCCTCACAACCGCAGACCACGTGTATGGCGTCGTGTAGGCGAGCGGTTTGCTGATGTCAACATTGTGAACAGAGTGCCCCATTGTGGCGGTGGGGTTATGGTATGGGCAGGCATAAGCTATGGACAACGAACACAATTGCATTTTATCGATGGCAATTTGAGTGCACAGAGCTACCGTGACGAGATCCTGAGGCCCATTGTTGTGCCATTCATCTGCCGCAATCACCTCATGTTTCAGCATGATAATGCGCAGCCCCATGTCGCAAGGATCTGTACACAATTCCTGGAAGCTGAAAATGTCCCAGTTCTTCCATGGCCTGCATACTCACCAGACGTCACCCATTGAGCATGTTTGGGATGCTCTGGATTGACATGTACGACAATGTGTTCCAGTTTCCACCAATATCCAGCAACTTCGCACAGCCATTGAAGAGGAGTGGAGCAACATTCCACAGGCCACAATCAACAGCCTGATCAACTCTATGCGAAGGAGATGTGTCGCGCTGCATGAGGCAAATGGTGGTCACACCAGATACTGACTGGTTTTCTGATCCACCACCCTACCTCTTTTTTTTAAAGGTATCTGTGACCAACAGATGCATATCTGTATTCCCAGTCATGTGAAATCCATAGATTAGGGCCTAAAGAATGTATTTCAATTGACTGATTTCCTTATATGAACTTTGAAATTGTATCATGTTGCGTTTATATTTTTGTTCAGTGTAGATATGTAGTGTCTACAGTGTCATCATATCATGTACAGTACATTGAAGACTTGAACAATGTTCCACAGTACATCAACATGTTTGTCTCTGATCTAAAAAAATAACACAAAAAAAAAACACTTGTCTTTTCCTACTAGCACTGACTTTGCTGATAACTACTTTATTGAGAAAAATGTACTTACTATGACTGTGATATATGGTTGTCTCACCTAGCTATCTTAAGATGAACTGTAAGTCGCTCTGGATAAGAGTGTCTGCTAAATGACTAAAATGTCCCATTTCTCCTTTCCCGGCTCAACCTTTAATCTGCCCTCTCTCCCTCTCTCCCTCTCCCTCCTCCCTCCTCCAGGCCTTTGACAGGGCAGAGTTGGTAGAGTGTATCAGGAGACTGGTACAGGTGGATCTGGAGTGGGTACCCCAGTCAGACACTGCCAGTCTCTACATCCGACCCACCTTCCTGGGTACTGAGGTGAGGAGATGACCAACCAACTGCTCTCTGTCTCCTTCTGTGAGGGACTGTCTCATTCACTCTCATATGCTGTGACAGGGCTCTCCCTCGGTCTAGCTTCCTCTATACTTGTTGGTGAAGTGGTAATCATTCATTTGTGAATAGCTCAAGAGTGTGTCGACTATTGACGTGTGTGTACGTGTGTGTGGCCTGTGTCCCTCTCTAGCCGTCTCTAGGAGTGAAGAAGCCGTCCCATGCTCTACTGTATGTGATCCTGAGTCCTGTTGGTTCCTACTTCAGCACAGGAGCTAAGCCTGTCTCTCTCTGGGCCGACTCCAAATACATCAGAGCCTGGAGAGGAGGGACAGGAGACTGTAAGATGGGAGGGTAAGAGGAGGGACTGGAGACTGTAAGATGGGAGTGTTAGAGGAGGGACAGGAGACTAAGATGTGAGGGTTAGAGGAGGGACTGGAGACTGTAAGGTGGGAGGGTTAGAGGAGGGACTGGAGACTGTAAGGTGGGAGGGTTAGAGGAGGGACTGGAGACTGTAAGATGGGAGGGTTAGAGGAGGGACTGGAGACTGTAAGATGGGAGGGTTAGAAGACGGACAGGAGACTGTAAGATGGGAGAGTTAGAGGAGGGACTGGAGACTGTAAGATGGGAGGGTTAGAGGAGGGACTGGAGACTGTAAGAGGGAAGGGTTAGAGGAAGGACTGGAGACTATAAGATGGGAGGGTTAGAGGAGGGACAGGAGACTGTAAGACGGAAGGGTTAGAGGAAGGACTGGAGACTGTAAGATGGGATGGTTAGAGGAGGGACTGGAGACTGTAAGACGGAAGGGTTAGAGGAGGGACTGGAGACTGTAAGATGGGATGGTTAGAGGAAGGACTGGAGACTATAAGATGGGATGGTTAGAGGAGGGACTGGAGACTGTAAGACGGAAGGGTTAGAGGAAGGACTGGAGACTATAAGATGGGATGGTTAGAGGAGGGACTGGAGACTGTAAGACGGAAGGGTTAGAGGAAGGACTGGAGACTATAAGATGGGATGGTTAGAGGAGGGACTGGAGACTGTAAGACGGAAGGGTTAGAGGAGGGACTGGAGACTGTAAGATGGGAGGGTAAAGAGACAGAGGCTATGTTCCATTATCCTACAGATCACAAGTTAGGATTGAGTTTGGTTACTGCACACCCTTTGAGTAAAGGCAGGTCAGATATGGCAGTATTCTTTTGAGATGCAGTAAAAATGCTTGCTTTGTAACGTGTTGTACTAATTTATCCTGACCATAATATCCCCACCCTGCCAACAGTACTAATACAGCTTTTCACCAGATTCAACTCTAAAGAGCTTTGGATTTCATTATGACACAATAGGGTCATATGCTAGGTTACTCTAACGAATGGAACATTGTCAAATAATTTGGATTACGACACATGGAATTTAAATGTAAACTGACAACTCTTGTTTGTGGATTAAAATGAACATGAACATGGTGGTTTGTTTACAGGAACTACGGAGCATCTATCTACGCCCAGTATGAAGCAGTGGATTATGGGTGCCAGCAGGTCCTCTGGCTGTACGGAGACGACCATCAAATCACAGAGGTCGGAACCATGAACATGTTCCTCTTCTGGAATAATGAGAAAGGAGGTAATCATGGTCACTTTCAGCGTCATAGCCAATGAGATTAGAGATAATACCTTTGCTTTACTAGGGCTATTGCAGTTCGACAAGGCCAAAGGAAATATAGGTTGCGTTCCCATGCTCAGACATTGCATGCATCAATGGTTGCATGCCACATCATTGCTAGAACATATGACGTGGTTAGCTGATACTTAAAATACCTATCCAGGCATTGTAAGAGCTGGCATGCGTCAGCAACGTCTGAGCAGGGGAACACAACCATCCTCTTCTGGATCTGTTGATATGGACATAATATTACTGAACAGGAAACTGATCTTTGTGTCCGATTGTACAACAGCGACATCTAATGGGCAGAGTGTGTAGCACAGCAGCTGTAGTTTTACATAGCCAGTTTCTTCACCTCTTCTCTTATCTATGAAAACTTGGTTCAGATGGGATATTCCATTGACACTAAATGACCTGTTTAATTCATTTGTGCGTACAATGTTTTTCTCTCCAGAGGAGGAGCTGGCAACACCCCCTCTGGATGGAATCATCCTCCCTGGGATCACGCGGCAGAGCATCCTGGAACTCACCAGGAAATGGGTATGAGAGAGAGATAATTATATAACCAGTGCATTCGGAAAGTATTCAGACCCCTTGACTTTTTCCACATTTTGTTATCTTACAGCCTTATTCTAAAATATCAATCCACACACAATACCCCATAATGACAAAGCAAAAACTGGTTTTTAGAATTTTTTGAAAATGTATTAAAAATAAAAAACAGAAATATTACATTTACATAAGTATTCAGACCCTTTACTCAGTACTTTTTTGAAGCACCTTTGGCAGCGATTACAGCCTTGAGTCTTCTTGGGTATAACGCTACAAGCTTGGCACAACTGTATTTGGGGAGTTTCTCCCATTCTTCTCTGCAGTTCCTCTCAAGCTCTGTCAGGTTGAATGGGGAGTGTTGCTGCACAGCTATTTTCAGGTCTCTCCAGAGATATTCGATCGGGTTCAAGTCCGGGCTCTGGCTGGGCCACTCAAGGACATTCAGACTCAGTGGCGGCTCCTGAAAAAATTCTCAGGAGGGGCAATTTTTCTGATGATTTAGGTGACCTACACACGTGCACGAGTCCGTGCACGCGATTCCAGATATCTTTACCTCTGAATAAACTGCCTTTATTATACCATATCCACCCTGTCCAAAGTCTCTACTTGGTCTCAGTTCTCCAGTAAACTTGTGATTATCAACAGTACACAACGGTAACAAACAATTGGGGGAACTCACGGGGCAGATAGTAACCACTTAAAAGGAAGCGATTCCCAAACCTTCCATAACAAAGCCATCACCTACAGAGAGATGAACTTGGAGAAGAGTCCCCTAAGTAAGCTTGTCCTGGGCCTCTGTTCACAAACACAAACAGACCCCACACAGCCCCAGGACAACAACAACAACAACAACAACAACAACACAATTAGACCCAACCAAATCATGAGAAAACAAAAAGAGAATTACTTGACACATTGGAAAGAACAAACAAAAAAACAGAGCAAACTAGAATGCTATTTGGCCCTAAACAGAGAGTACACAGTGGCAGAATACCTGACCACTGTGACTGACCCAAACTTAATGAAAGCTTTGACTATGTACAGACTCAGTGACCATAGCCTTGCTATTGAGAAAGGCCGCCGTAGGCAGACCTGGCTCTCAAGAGAAGACAGGCTATGTGCACACTGCCCACAAAATGAGGTGGAAACTGAGCTGCACTTCCTAACCTCCTGCCAAATGTATGACCATATTAGAGACACATATTTCCCTCAGATTACAGCGATCCACAAAGAATTTGAAAACAAACCCAATTTTGATAAACTCCCTTATCTACTGGGTGAAAAACCACAGTGTGCCATCACAGCTGCAAGATTTGTGACCTGTTGCCACAAGAAAAGGGCAACCAGTGAAGAACAAACACCATTGTAAATACAACCCATATTTATGTTTATTTATTTTCCCATTTGTACTTTAACTATTTGCACATTGTAACAACACTGTATATATACATAATATGACATTTGAAATGTCTTTATTCTTTTGAAACTTCTGAGTGTAATGTTTACTGTTAATATTTATTGTTTATTTCACTTTTGTTTACTATCTACTTCCCTTGCTTTGGCAATGTTAACACACGTTTCCCATGCCAATAAAGCCCTTAAATTGAATTGAATTGATAGTAAGGTCGCAATGACACAGAAAGCAGTTCAATGTCGGGGTACAGAGTCGCTCTCTTACCAGGATCGCGGTCCGCTCTGACCAGGGTGAAGGTGGCCGGCTCCACTTCTCTGTCCGGGACTCATCCAGCCAAGTCTCCCAGCTGTATTGGGATTCAGCTGCCAGCAGCGTTTTCATTATTTAGTCCGTTCGTAGCGGGTATGTACACGATCAACAAGATCAGTCCAAAACCAACCACTGGAAATCCATGGTTGGCAGAATGTTTGTAAACTAAGTCTACAAATTAAAAACATAAAATAACGCCGCACTGCAGGTCGCAACAGAGACGCTTCTAGCCGCCATTGTCTTAGTTACGTTCAACGTTACGTCACGTATGACGAAAGCGCGTAAGTGCAAGCCCACAGACACCCATAGAGAATGTATTGAAAGCTTTGAAATGTGAAAAAAATAGATTTTACATGACAGGCTATGAGAGACTTCTGGGCGATTTTCAACTTGACTGAAATCGCCCCAAAAACGGGCGGGGCCATTTGAAGCACGACTTTAGCCTGATTTGACATTTAGTGGCTGGCAGATCAGACGTGAACACTGATAACTGCTGTTGCCGTGATATAATTGATTAGAAAAAAAATCCCTTCCTTTTCCCGTTTGGCAGTGCGTCGCCCATATCGCCCTATTGAACAAGCCGTCCCTGTTCAGACTCCTGCGTTGTCTTGGCTGTGTGCTTAGGGTTGTTGTCCTGTTGGAAGGTGAACCTTCGGCCCAGTCTGAGGTCCTGAGCACTCTGGAGCAGGTTTTCATCAAGGATCTCTCTGTACATTGCTCTGTTCATCTTTCCCTCCATCCTGACTAGCCTCCCAGTCCCTGCCGCTGAAAAACATCCCCACAGCATGATGCTGCCACCACCTTGCTTCACCATAGGGGTGGTGCCAGGTTTCCTCCAGATGTGACGCTTGGTACTCAGGCCAAAGAGTTCAATCTTGGTTTCATCAGACAAGAGAATATTGTTTCTCATGGTCTGAGAGTCGTTTAGGTGCCTTTTGGCAAACTCCAAGCGGGCTGTCATGGGCTTTTCCTGAGGAGTGGCTTCCGTCTGACCACTCTACCATAAAGGCCTGATTGGTGGAGTGCTGCAGAGATGGTTGTCCTTCTGGAAGGTTCTCCCATCTCCACAGATGAACTCTGGAGCTCTGTCAGAGTGGCTATTTGAAGAATATCAAATATAAAATATATTTTGATTTATTTAACACATTTTTGCTTACTACATGATGAGTGCTGCAGAGATGGTTGTTCTTCTGGAAGGTTCTCCCATCTCCACAGAGGAACTCTGGAGCTCTGTCAGAGTGGCTATTTGAAGAATATCAAATATAAAATATATTTTGATTTATTTAACACTTTTTTGCTTACTACATGATTCCATATGTGTTATTTCACAGTTTGGATGTCTTCACTATTATTCTACAATGTATATAAAACTGTAAAAATAAAGAAAAACCCTTGAATGAGTAGGCATGTCTAAACTTTTGACTGGTACTGTATATATAGAGAGAGAGGGTAAGAGGGGGGCAGGTACAATGTGTTCTCTAGGGGTAAGACACAACATAGTTCAACGACTACACAGGGCACAAGCTAGGGGGCAAGAGAGAGATAGAGGGTTGAACTTGCCATGGCACTAGGGGTTTAAGGGAAAGATGGACTGGACACTCGCATGGACATACCACCAGGGGTGCTTCCATCTGCTACAGGACCACAGGCACTATACCAGCGGCTATCACTGGCCATTAAACCAGTAGCCTGGTTGCCAGATCAGATACATGTATAGCATGACAAGGAATCTTGGAGGACTTGGCTAAAGCACAGGCAGATCTGGCAAGAGAGAGAGAGAGCGAGAGAGAGAGAGTGAGAGAGAGAGCTACCGTCCTGTAGGTTTTCATTCCACCCCTAATCTAGCGTACCTTATTTGAATAGCTGGGTGATAAACTGAATCAGGTTACAACTGGGGTTAGAGTGATAACCTACAGGAGGGTAGCTCTCCAGGAACAGGGTTGGAGAGCCCTGGTATATAGAGAGAGATTTATAGGGAGAGAGAGAAATATTGTGCAGAATACAGGAAGTCTTCAGCAGAGATGAGTAGCTAAGTGTTTACAGAAGCCTGTCCTTGTATGGGTTTCATTACATATATTTTCTCCTCCACCTCCCTCTCTCCTCATCCACTTCTCCTCTCCTCTTCTAGGGGGAGTTTAAGGTGTGTGAACGCTACCTGACCATGGCAGACCTGCGCTGTGCTCTGAAAGAGAGCCGTGTTAAGGAGATGTTTGGCTCTGGTACTGCATGTGTGGTCAGTCCTGTGGGACGCGTACTCTACCAGGGAGAGGTACACAACCACAACTCACTACCCTTACAACATATGGATGAATGAATGGATGGATGACTGAATGGATGAATGAATGATACAATCAAGCAAGCAATCAAAACATTACAATCAAGCTCTTTCACATGTTTAGCACTTTGTCATAAACCGCTGAACAGCTACTCCAGAAAGTAGTATTTTTAAAATTGTGTGTGTATGTGTCTCTCTCTAGAACCTACATATCCCCTGCCAGGAGGATTGTCCCCAGCTGGCCTCTAGACTGATGAAGGAGCTCACAGATATACAGGTAAGATCACACCCCACTGGGCACAGACATCAATTCAACGTCTATTCCACGTTGGTTCAAAGTAATTTCATTCAACCAGTGTGTGCCCAGTGAGACACGTGAAATTGTACTGTAACCTCCACTGGCGCTATCAAATTGTAACCTTTTCGGAGGCGCAACTGGCTAAGACGTTGTCAAATCGGCGGTCACGTGTGTTAGCGAAGCAGTGGATCACTAATTCGAGCCCAGAAAGTGGACAGGGACAGTGAAGGAAGCTATACTGTTAGGTAAGCACAGTGTCGTCCGTCACGCACGCAACCAGACATGTACGTATGCAGGCAGACACACACAGCAGATGTGGCCTCTCCCACAGTAATGGTAACAGCTGGATGGACATCAGGGCTTGCCAACTGTCTGACCTAGACTGATGTCATCCTCAGCACACAGTCTATTCCATAGAGATACATACTAGATTAATCTAGATTCTTTCTACACTGTGTTTTTGTATCAGGGCTATTTTGTATTAGTAAAGTGTAGTGTGTATTCTGCCCTGTAGCTTACCACATATCTGTTTATTCTACACTTTATTGCCTTGGTTAAGAGCTGTAAATGGATACTATCACCCTGCCTGCTTACCAGAAAATATTTGCTAGTGGGGGTGTTAAACTGAGTGGGTCATTAATTCAGTGTAGATCTTACTCAGTATCTCTGGTCCTCTCTCTCTCTCTATCTCTCTCTCCTCCTCTCTCTCTCTCTCTCTCTCTCTCTCTCTCTCTCTCTCTCTCTCTCTCTCTCTCTCTCTCTCTCTCTCTCTCTCTCTCTCTCTCTCTGTCTGGCCGTCTCTCTTTTATGTGTGTTTGTGTCCATCCCTGCCTCATATCATTTCACCCTGTCAGGGCTAGGTCAGGTGATTATCATTTTCCCTCTAAATCTCCTCATTGCCACGGCTGTGTGTGAGAGCTTGCGTGCGTCTCCTCTGCCCAATCACTAGTGCTGTGTGTGTGTGCATCTGTGTGTGTATGTAAACCTTATCTGAGTGTATGTGTGGCCCTAGCGATAGCTTCTCTCCCCCCTGTAGCTCATTGTGGCGCCGACACACAGCCAGACAGAGGAGAGAGAGGGAGGTTAATGTAGTAATGGCTGGGCAGGGATGGGAGATAGAGTAGACACACAGTCCTGAAAGCTCTCATTAAAGATGCCTGCTGTAATTACACAAACCTAATTATTGTCTCAGCCTTTGTGATCAAAGCCAAGACGCCGCAAATGAAGCTGCTTGAACAAGAGAGAGAGAGAGAGAGAGAGAGAGAGAGAGAGAGAGAGAGAGAGAGAGAGAGAGAGAGAGAGAGAGAGAGAGAGAGGTGGGAAGGGGTAGAGGGAGAGACGGAGGAGCCTAATGAACAATAACATCGACAAAATGCAAATAAACTCAGCCTGATGTTAAATCTGTTGACATTTCATTTGGATGAGAAACAGAATGGCGTGCGGCACCCGCCTCTCCAAGAAGAAGAAGACATTGGGCACAAACAAACGCGTTGTCTAAGACGAGGGGAGCGAGGGATGGGAAGAGGAATGAAAGATGGGTTTACTAACACGGCCCTCCGTTTCTCTTTCATGTTAATTAGAAATTGCATTTCTTTTGTTTCTCTTCGCGGGTGCTTATTTACTTTCACGACTCCGTCCATTAGAACTAATTTACAACATGAGACGTAAATAATTGGATTTGTCTCCACGGTTGTCACAGTTCAGGAACATTCTGTTTTGATTTGGTTGTTGTTTAGTTTGTGGCTGAGTTCGCAAGATTTGCTTGGGAAATTTGTTATTTTTTGTTTTGTGTTTTCGGTTGCACCATTCACTGTGTTGTAGCAATGGAGTTAAAACAGTTTGTGACTACTAATTGTTGGCCTGTGTTTTTATGCCTGTTTGACCCAAGTTTAACCTTTGACCTTCTCATGACCTTTTCTCTCCTTGGTTACAGTACGGCCGGACCCAGAGTGACTGGTCTGTCCTCGTGTAACCAAGACACAGTGGTGTGGGAATCTGGGACAAGCACACACACACACACTGTATATGCATATACACAGACATACATGCACACACACACAAAAGCATGTAGACATACAACATAAAAGCAATACAGGAATTTCTTGCGCACATAAATCCATGCAACAACACCACAAACACACACACACACACCAAATAACCAGACGGCAGTGTAACCTCTATAAATGTGAGCTCTTTCAAATGTGCAATAATCTTACTCAGATTGCAGGATACTGGATGTTCAATTTGAAGTTCCATAGGGTCAGTAGCAATATTATTCCACTCTAACTCCGCTCAAATTGTGCACGACTTCCCCATTCACACACCCTGCCCTCCGCAGAACTGACACACAGACAGTGCAGATCTCAATAGTCTGCCCTGGTGTGGCAGCCCTGCTAAAGGGTTGACATTCAAATATTACCAGCAGAAGATTTCGAGGGGTAGCAATGACCAGCAACTAATGTTAAACCACTTTGACTCAATAGACCTTTAAAAGGGTCATGTTACCTATGAAGGTTATTATGTATTTCAGTATCATTATATGCAAGTGTGTGTTTGAATCGTGTCATGCGAAAACGTTATTTCTGAATATGGTATTTCTATTTTGAATGGAGGATTTTAGAATTTTATTTTGAACAAATATAACTATTTTAAAGTGAGCTTAAATGGCGGAGCAAGTTTCTCATGGAAAGCACGTTAGTACAGCTAAAAGAGAATAATGAATTCATTAAAAGAGGGCTCTGAAAGAACGCCTGATATATCATGTCTTAAGCTTTGAACCTAGAGAGTGGTAGAATGATACACAAATCACTGGTATCAAAGAAAGCAAAGACTAAGTCTAAGTAGCACAACTATTGGTAATATCATTCCATGCCAGTTGCTGTGCACATTCAATATTAAAATGTATGTTATCTCTACAATCTGTTGATAGGAAAACTGACATCTAATCAAACGTCCCTTTGTCACAATAATAACAATGGTGATTTGTGTAGAGGTGTTCTATCTTGGACCAATGTCTGTCATTTACTGTAGACCTGTATTGCCTTGATTGACCTATCTCTCTATCTGTATCTAGAAAGTGAAGCACAATATCTGTTTTATGTAAAGTTCTATATATACTTAAATGTAAGACATATATTTATGGAATCAATGCAATGCGTCGAGTGATACAATATTGCCTATTCTATTGATCCAAATAATAAATACGCACCAAAACATAAGTTTGTGTCTACTGCATTATGTTCAGTACAGTGTGTGTGTGTGTGTGTGTGTGTGTTTGTGCGTGTGTACCCTTGTGTGTGTGGTTCCCCAGGGCAGGGCACATGGTTCCTGGCTAAACTGCCTTCCAATGACGATAGGGCTGTTTGGTGCTGGTTCCAGCCCTGTGCCCTGTGGCAGGCTGGTATAGAGCCCAGCACACACATCTTACCACCTTACTCCCTGGTACAGCTCCCAGCTCCCAAGGTCTTAGATACAGTACTTTTTCCCCTTGCACTGTAGTCCTTTTTAACTGGCTGTTGATCGCATGCAGGACAGGAAACTGTAAACAAATTCCCCAACATATGGCTGCTTGCAGGAGCATACTTCTTCTTTCCATCCTATCTCCTTCTCCCTCTTCTCCCTGCCTTTTCTCCTGAGGATACATCTCATCTCCCTCTATTCTCTCTCTCTTCTCTCTCTTAGTCCTCTCCATCATCTCTCTCTTTTCTTCTTCCCTCTTTATTGTCACTCTTCTTCTCTTTCCTCTTTGCTTGCAGAGTCCTTGCCCTGGAGCGAGGAGCTTACATCCACTCCCTCTCTTCTCCGCTCTCTCTCTCACTCTCTCTCTCTCTCAATTCAAGTTAAGGGGTTTATGCATGGGAAACATTGTTTACATCCAAGCAGTGAATAGAAATAAACAAAATGAATAAATAAAATATGACAATAAACATTCACTCAATGTTCCAAAGATAAAGACACTCCTCTCTGTCGTCTCACTTACACAAGTTGGACTTGTTGCAGATCTGCTCTTCAATCTCCAGATCCTGTCATCTATAATGTACCTGATATGTAGTGTTCTTGGATGTAGTAGCTTGATTACTGTATGTATGCAACATACTGTACTATTTAATATAGTTTTCTGGGACGTAGTATACTGCATATTATGTAGTTTTTTTTGGACATACTTAGTATTACAATAGGTTTTGTCTTTATCTTGACATAGGGGGGGGGGCTTTCTCCTTGAGGAAACCTGCTGGAGAAATACTAAAAGAAAATTTTCCATAACCTGTAGGTCTATAGGACTGGGTTCTGATCGCAGAGTTCAGAGCTTCTGCTCTTTTCTATAACCTGTAGGGAACACAATATATGGTCTATACTTGGCATGTAGTTTTCTTATTTATGGATGGCACAAATTGGGATATGGGGGAGGGAAATGGGCAGGGTATATGCAAATTAAATACTGTAGTATTTACTATAGTATTTTTGTTGTTGTTGTGTTTTTGCGGACTGTAATGTTTTTGCTGGACATTACTGCAGTATTTACTACTGAGTGTTTTTGCTGATAATACTATAGTATTTACTATAGTATTCTCCAGTATACTACAACATTCCATAGTAAATACTACATATGAACCAGGGATACTACAGTGTGTGGTATAGTATTCTACAGTATACTACAGTTTACTACATAATAAGTTACTTTACTACTATAGTAAGTACTGTAGTATTCTATAGTAAACTGTAATATTTTTTCATGTGGGTCTCCTGTGGTGCCGTAGCCCTACAACCCAGGGACCAGCAGGGACCCTATCCACCCTCCTCCTCTCTTCTCCTCCTCTCTTCCTCTTAGCCTAAAGATAAGATGATGTTTTAATTGTCACATCTTATTTAGACAGCAGTGACATTCGCTAGGGGACAGCACAGAGCGGAAGGGCGGGCCAGAGTAATCAGAGGAGATGAGAGGGAGAAGAGGGAGAGAGAGAGAAAGAAACCGCTGGCGCCCAGTCATCAAGCAGCTGCAGCAAGCGGCATTTAGCTCTGAGCGCTCTCCCTCTTCCTCCCTCCCCTCCCTCGCTCTTCTCATCCCCGTTCCTTCTCTCCGACCGCCAGGGCATGATCTGATTTGACAAGCACGACGCTGTCATCTTGAGTTTGTCCAATTTGAAATGCTAATTAATGAACTCGCAGCCACTTTGTGTTTCGTTTCTCCGCTGTTGCTGTTGTTGTTGTTGTTGTTTGTCTTCTATATGTCTTTTCTTTCCCCTTTCTCCTCTTCTCCTTCTGAGGCTGTAACTTCAGACCCTGGTCTGTGTCTGAGACATAGATAGTGGAGGAAGATGGTATCAGGGTCTTTAGGTCAGAGCACCATGATGAGGAGTCACACAGGATCAGGGACAAACAGAGGTGTGATGATTGAGACAAACGGAGTCGTCATGATTGAGACAAACGGAGACGTCATGATTGAGACAGAGACGTCATGATTGAGACAGAGACGTCATGATTGAGACAGAGACGTCATGATTGAGACAGAGACGTCATGATTGAGACCGAGGCGTCATGATTGAGACAAACAGAGGCGTCATGATTGAACACAAACCTCTCTGATAGAGAGTGCTGGGAGGCCAGGGGTGATAATCTAATGGCAGACAACTCTCTGCCTCTCAGTTTCTCTCTCTATATGTTCTTTGACTTCAAACTGACAGTTCCAGGGGCTAAGACATAGAAGAAAAAAGGGAGAGAGATAGAAATATAGAATGAGAGAGAAAAAAAGGAGAAAGGAGAAGATTCAGAGGAGAGAGGGCATACTCCACAGCCATGCCCCACATCGCCAGCAGGTGGCGGTAGCAGCGTACACCAGCTGTGGTTACCGCCACTGATCCGTCTGTCACAGCATCAGAGCCAGCCTGCCTCATGTTCCTCATTTTCCCATTTTGGGATCTTGGATCACTGCCAATCAGAATGAAAATGGATGTAGAAGTAATCTATGTCATGGCTGTCTTAATACCCTAATACAGTGATGAAATCATTTAATCACAAATCACCATCATCTCCCTCTACCGTTGCTCTCTCTGTTAAACTCTGCTGTTACATTAAAATGTTATTTTTTTTTAAATAAGAGCCTCTCTCTGTGTGATTAAGAGGCGATTTAAGCGCTCTGACAGACAGCTCCTAGCCTAGCTCTCCCTGTCTGATGCCGTGTGATGGGTTTTGTTAGCACCCGGGACAGAACATTGGGTGTCAGTTGTAGAGATGATATTATATCAACGTTATCCTCGCCTCACACATGTTATCTGCCTTAACAGAGTTTTAGGGAGTTTTAACTACAGCGCTGCTTAAGGGCTTAAGGATGGAGGGATGGTGGTAATGGGGGGATAGACGGATAGAGATCACTCTTGTCTCTTCACTCACTGTCACACTAAAGGCTACTGTGGTTTGTGTGACACGCCAAATGTCCTAGCCACAAAACGGACCGGTTATATAATACTCAGTTTCTACTGACTTCAGGTCTGATGATAAAGGTCTAAATGATTTCTATTCGTTTTATCAATGTCCAAAATGTAGAACAATCCTACTGGGCACAGACGTCAATTCAACGTCTATTCCACTTTGGTTCAACGCAATTTCATTGAAATGACATGGAAACAACGTTGATTCAACCAGTGTGTTCCCAGTGGGATGGAACAATACCATTGTTCAGCTGTAGGCCTTTCAGACTATTATTCATCTTCATTCATTGCCATATACAGTAGTGGAAAAGTAGGGCTAGATGCTTGGGTGTAGCACGTCTGTCTGTGTGTAGACCTCCTGTTGTGTTCTCCCCTCTGCATCAACCCCTGTCCAACACTACACTGTCCCACTCCATCTCTCCACCTCAATCCATCCCTCTCTTCAGGGACACAACACAGACAGAGTAGAAAAGGGGTCTATGTGGGGATCCAAACATTTTCCATGTCTTCTGAGTTGTGTGTTGGGGAGCATATTAGTGATGATGATTTTATTCACTTTTTCATGCGCTATTTCTGTCCTGCACCTGAACCAATGGGATGCGTGTATATTTTTCTTTTCCAAAGGGTCATGATAAACTGGCAGTGGAGTTTTGAATTTGTGTGTGTGTGTGTGAGTGTTTCTGTCTCTCTCTCTCTCTGTGTGTGTGTGTGTCTGTGTGTGTGTGTGTGTGTGAGAGAGAGACGGGTCCTGATGGTGAGTAATGTTCTCCAGGCCTGGCGGCTGGCACTGCTCTGTCTCCCTGCAGGTGGCATGAGTCACCGTACACACGGACACACACACACACACACACGCACGCATGCACACACTCACAAACACACACACACAGACACACCACTCTGCCAGAAGAGAAGCCACCCAGAGCGCCTTGACCACCTCGGCCTCCTGTCAGCCAGCGAGCCAGAGGACGTAGCAGTCAACTGGCCAATGGGCACCAAGACAAGCCAAAACTACATATCAGCACAGCACAGGAACAAGGTGCCCCTCTACTTTCTCTCTCTCTCTCGCTCTCTCTCTCTCTCTCTTCCCTCTCACTCACTCTTTCTCTCCCTCTATTTCTGTCCCTCTCTTGCTTTGCTCTTTCCCTCTCTGCTCCACTCCTCTTTGCTCTTTTTCTCCCTCCATCCCTCACTCCCTCCCTCCCTCCCTCCCTCTCTCTCTCTTGCGCTGTCTCTCTGTGATCAGTCACTCATATCTTATAGAGTCATATTTAATGGTCTGTGTGCTGTACAACACTAAAAATCAATGTCCTTTAAGAGATGACTTCACTCTAGGTTGATGGATTCATCCATCAATAGAACACGGTATTTTATAGTCGACTGATTGGTGTGTGTGTGTGTATGTATGTAAATTTGTGTGTTTTAAGTACCGTAACATACATGGGAGCGGCAGTGTATTGCTGCCTCTAAGTGCCGATAAAACGGTTAAACACTATAATTGTAATTTACTCCCAGCTGTGCTAAGATTCCCAAGAGAGGTAACACTACTCGACATGCACACACTCTCTCACACACTCACTTGTCTCATCCTCTGCATGTTTTAAAAGGCTCCATTTGTAACGAAGACACCACACACAGCAGTTCCTCTCTCCATATTCAACATCTCTCCCCTGCAGAGTCAGTGGTTTGATCTTTACATCGGAACAGACTTCAGTCCTCTCCACTCTCTGACTACCACTGTGGCCTGGCACACCCTACTGGGAGTTGTGGGTCCCTACTGGTCTCTT